CGGTGCATGCCTCGACAGGCTTCACCCCATTCGGTGTAAATGGATTGGTCAACCCTTGCGCTCCTTTAACGCTACCCCCTGCCACATCAGGGCTTAGTGGGGGGAGAGATAGCCGAAGGCTTGGCTGATATCAGCCCTGTTGCTATGCGCAAGAAGGTGGAAGACGTTTCTGTCAACGCGTTTTGACGTATTACGTCGCGTTAAAGGCGCTATGGCTGAAAGCCAGGATGTCCAGAAGGAACACGCGGATGCCAAAGGCACAAAGAACAAACATGAGTTCAAAGTGGGTGATTTAGTTTTATTAAACGCTAGGAATTTAATGCCGTTTCTGCGGTATACAAAACCAAACTGCGTTCACGCTTTATTGGACCTTTCAAGTCATAAGCAAGAAAGGTATAGCCTATACGCCAAACCTTCCGAAGAAGATGAGAACACATCCTGTGTTCTATGTGGGCTTACTGAACGACATATCTCCACCCCTCGGTGGACTTAGAAGGGGTGGCCCCATATCCCCGGCCGAAGGAGGCGGGTAGTACGGCACCGGAGGTGCATATGGATGCTGAAGGCGTACCAGGAGGTCGATCTGACATCGCAGTTTGGCCTGAGAACGCTAAATTGCCGTTAAGCGATCCGAGGTCTCAGAGCGATAACGCTCAAAAGACCGACGGTGTCGATCGACACGGTCATCAAGTGATGACAGGTGAGGCTTCACCGATGCAAGAGCATCACGCTCCAGGAGCGTCAGGCGACGCTCAATCTCTGATATAGAGAGGTCAATGCGTCATCGACCTCCTCCGACGTTGATTGATGATCAGGGTCATCAACAGTTCCACGTGGAACGCCTCTTGGCTCGGCGCCGTCACCAGGGTCATACCCAATATTTGAAGGTGAAGTGGAGGGGTTACCCCTAGTCGTATGACTCGTGGGAGTATGAGGTACCCCATCGGCATGATTGCCCCGACGCCGTTGACGCTTTTGACCAGGACGGTCAGAAGCGACGACAGCTGTCGTCGGACGCTTTCTAGCACTAGGTGCTGTGGAAGTAGGGTCAGTAGGCTGGATTCGCCTCCGACCTTCAGAAAAAGCCAATGTTGGTACATCACTCGAGTGAGAGGTACGGGCAACAGCTTCAGAAGCTTGTCCTCCACAAGTCTTTGACCTGTATGTAGAGGGTAATCGAAGCTTTGCTTTGAGCTTAGCAAAGTTTAAACGTAGACATTGCTCTAACCAAACGTCTTGCGCTTTAGCGCTTAAACGCAAGTTTGATAAACTTGAGAGCTTACATGCTCGTTCTACCGAACGGGTGAAATGGTAATCATCTTGCGTAGATGTTTCATCTGGAGCAAGCACCACTGCTATGTCGTTCAGTAGGTGCACTGGCACCCCACGTGACTGTCGTGACAGTCGCTCCTGATACGATTTCATCGTAAACCCCTGAGGAGTAAGGAACCGCTTACAAAGATCAACGCATTGTGAGCCGTACAGGCATGGTACCCAATGACATAGGTACGCAAAGATTGCGATGCAGCGTGTCGAGCTTCCTCATTGGGGTCCCGAGGCACGAACCCATAATCACGTCGTGAAAATATCTGTTTGGGTTGTGCCAAATCGGCCGCTCAGGCCTCGTCATTGAGTTTGCGACGCTGTGCAGCGTCAAGAGGGTTGGTTATCTCTTCGTCTGTACCCTCTCGCGAAGGAAGAGGAGGTGCTTGGCACAAAGGGGTTGTCTCTCTTGGAGGAGAAGGTCAGAATGGGATCGACGTCTCTCGCTCGGTGAGCGTGATGATCTTGGGGTACTTTGACCCGAAGGTGGCTCGGCTTCGCCGCCCGTAGAGGCAACGTCACTGTCATCGTCCCCAAAAATGTCGTGATGCATTGCTTCATCCATGATGGAGCAAGCGCTATCGATACAAATGCTTTCTAAAGCAAGTGTTCGTGAGCACTATAATGCTTAAAGCAAGTGTTGTGATCACTGTAATGCTTCAAAGCAAGTGCTAGGCACCTTGTGCTGTAAACGCAAGTGTTCCTGAACACATAAAGGGTATTAATAATACCAAGTGCTCGGCACTTAACGCTTATAAGCAAGTGTCGTAACATTTAATGCTTTAGCGTGAGTACGATGCACTATATTCTCAAGAGCGAGTGTCGTAACACAAGGATGCTTAGAAAGCTTGTGTGCAAGGCACGGGTGCTCAAGGAGCAAGCGTCACAACGTTGACGCTTTGTTCGCAAGTGCAAGCACTTATTGCGAGGCAAGCAAAATGGGTAGAAAATGAAATCGATGCCTTCAATTAAGTTCGAGAATCGTGGGTACGTCGGGTTTCATGGATTGGTGGGGGAGGGCGTATCGGGGTTACACAAAGGTGTGTATCTACATACACACCTGCCACATCAATGTGGTGTGGCTGTACATTGTGTACAAGAGTAGGTGATGTGACCGTACCTGAAGTACGAAAGGTCGCATCGTGGCAGAGAGCCACGTGGTCACTATACTTATTTAAAGTATAGTGACTATGCATGTTTGAACAATAATAATAGGCTATAGAGCCAGTAAATAGTGACTAGCACTAAGTATAGAGTAGGTGCTTCTATATTTAGTGTCAGAAGATAAACATAAATATAAATCAGTTTCAACCTGCTCTGTATAGCACTAGTTGCTAGAGCGTTCGATTCCTTTTGTAAGGAATTGCATCTTTGATACTAGTCTCTCTGAGACTCGGTTGTTTATACCAATAGGCACAAGCTTACGAGCTACCCTAGGAGGGTCAAACACCCTGAGACCTAGAAGCTCTCTGATCTTGTCTTCCTCTGCACATAGTGCATAAGTAGCTTTGCTACAGTAGTTTGACTACTTCTTCTGCACATAGTGCATCTGCACATACTGCATAAGTAGCGTGGCTACGGTAGCTCGGCTACAGCGTCCTAATGCTTGAAACATCCGCAAGTAGCACTGAAAAGATGCATAACAACGTGTTTGCTTGTCACGCTCGTAGTGTAATAACGTGCTCCTTTATTATACGTGATATACTCTTTGTCGATATATTTGAATGCTTCACACTTCGAGCCATCGTTCATTCATGGCTTACTCGAGCAGTAATTTTGCATTGTGTTTTTGACAGAATAGACGTATGTATGTATGTTTGTATGTATGTTGTGACGACCGAGTGAGACGAATACGACGTATCCCAGTAGAAAACATTGACTTCCTATGAAACGTTGTGTTGGCATATTCGACGGATGCAACGTATCCCAGTAAAAAGACCGATTTGTTTTGTCTTTCGTCAGTCGAGGTGGGTACAAACTCATTTGACTATACATATCACTTCAATCAACGTCAACCGTGATGGCAAGGAAAGTTCTTGCACATTTTGCAAGATAAAGATCAGACTTCTCTGACATGAAAGGAAATTTGAAGACAGCGAAGATGAATATACATCTCAACTTGCTTTGACGAGCACAAGTACACCCGAGTTTCAAGATGATGAAGATCTCCGCACTTGCCGTCGTTGCCGCAATCGCTATCGCCAACGTCTCTGGTGCCGACCAACCTGCTTTGCGCTCAGCGACTATGCCAGTGGAAACAGCACCTGGTACGATGACGACTCCTGATGGAGACAAGAAGGAGCATTTCTGGGGCGGTGGACCTTGGGGTGGACTTGGCTGGGGTGGAGGATGGGGCAGAGGCTGGGGCTGTTGTGGCGGCCTTGGTTGGGGTGGGGGCTGGGGCTGGGGCTGGTAAGAAGACGAAAGACGAAAACGAGGAGGGCAGGAAATGATATCATGCGCTTGACACGTCAAACCGACACGCACAGTACCCATAGATTGACAGCTTCGTTTCCACTTGTGGTTGCGAGTCTGGTTTAGGTATGATACTGATAAAATGAATATTTCACTTCATCGAGAATGAACTGAAATTGATCTTTTGGATTGTCTTGTCGATGAACGTCGATTGTGTTGGTATCGGCATCTTATGTACATCACTCGCATAACATCTTCTGTCGCGACTCATTTAGAACTTCAAACATGTTCACGTCTGAAGTCCGCCAGATGTTGCTATCCGATACATCCATTGTTTCGATACCAACAAAACTCATCAAAATGCGTGTATATCTCAGCATCCACTTTTGGGGCATCCCAATGCTTGAAACATCCGCAAGTAGCAATGAAAAGATGCATAACAACGTGTTTGCTTGTCACACTCGTAGTGTAATAACGTGCTCATTTATTATACGTGATATACTCTTTGTCGATATATTTGAATGCTTCACACTCGAGCCATCGTTCATTCATGGCTTACTCGAGCGGTAATTTTGCATTGTGTTTTTGACAGAATAGACGTATGTATGAATGTTTGATGTATGTTTGGATGTATGTCTGATGTATGTATGTATGTTGTGACGACCGAGTGAGAGATGAATGCGAACTCAATCTCATTCACTTTAGGATTTCCAACCTTGTAACAACTTTTCATTTGCACATTCGACCTTGTAACAACTTTTCATTTGCACATTCGACCTTGTAACAACTCTGTCATTTGCACATTCGTCCCATTTTGTAGAGAAAATTTAAATCATTTGGCTAAGTTTATGTAGGGAAACTTATTCGATAGCAAACTACGGGGATCGTTCGATGCGACGAATGTGGGAGTAAAACATTAACGATTTGTCTCCTAGTGACGCATTTATTTGACAACTCTTAAGCTCCGTACGAAGAGGGTAGCATTGTCTTATTCACGACTGTAACACATTGCTTTACAAACAGTGAGACTTTCTTTCTTGTCTCCTACCTGACAACTGCATTCAGTCGTATTGTTGCTTGCATCTCAAAGCTACTCATGTGAGACGAGTTAGCAAGCTATTTGAAACAAGGCAGAAACTTCTTTACAAGGTTTTTTCCAAGGGCGTCTCGTCACGAAATTCCTTTTCAGACCGCCAACAGTGTTGATACAAAGACCTCATGCGTTAAAGTAGAAAATACTGCCATCCTGTCGCAAATGCTGTTTACTCAGCTAGGATGTAAGCCAAGTTGAGTCGATCGCACCTTCCAAATGGCGATCCTGAAGTCGATTCGAGTTTCCTAGCCCATGTAGCACTAGTTCCGTCCACATCTGACCAAACTTCTCTTGACACGGCACTAAAGCGCTTGCACCTTTCAAATTTCACTTCTTTCACACTGCCCAGCTCCCTTCCATCACACTCGTCCCCAATCAAGTGGTCCTTTCTGATCAGTGCACTGCCCATGACGCGCGCCACCAGCTCCGGATGCTTCAATGCTCTTGTCAATGCACCAACAAAATCCACCTCGGGAGTATACCACTCAATCTTACCATTTGGATCAAAACAAAAGTGGTTCATGCACGGATATGTCACCTCCAGTCCAATGAGCATCTGCGTCAATACTTCGTCTCCAGCTAAATGCGGGAACACCTCTTCGATCGTACGTCGAGAAAACTTTACACGTAAGTCCGCGTTGATAGAAATCATCAGCCGGCTTTCTTCGCAGTATTTGTTCAAAACCAGTTCTTCAGGCTCGGCCAGCTCAATCACTTCCAGCGACTTCATTGTCCATTCGATAGCCGCATGGTAAAGCGAGTAGCGTTCCCACTGGCCCAACAAGGGTTCGATACCACAAAAATCGCCAAACTGCACGTCTGTATTCATCACAGCCTGCAAGAAACCTCGTTGGGCAGTGCTCGCATGCGCCACTAGTGATGCAGACACATCGTGCTCGTCCACGGCCATTTGAACAGGTGCTCCATGATTGAAGAGCAGACAATACTCTTTTACAATACTAGCAGCCGCACCAAGTGGCGTTTGTCGCTGTGATAAGGTCAGCTCTAGCTGGACCTGACGAGAAACCTCTAAGGCCGCAATCTCATTACGAAGGGTGTTGACGCGCTCCTCAAGGTGTGCACCGTACTGCTTGCGTCTACGTCGATAGTATTTACCACGCTCACTGTTAGACATGAATTTAAGAGCCGTCGGCGGAGAATCATCATTTAAACATGTACGATACTTTTTCGTAGAGTAATAGGTCTTTTGACTATTCATAGTGGCAGATGGCAATTGGGAGTAAAATATCTATTTGTCTTTTTGTTTGCTGAATGCGGAATAATCTATGAATATAAAAGATAAATGGACGTTCCTAAGGTAAAGTTGGTAAGGTGAAGAAGATAAAGGGTATAACGATCAGTAAGAATAAAACGTGGTTGGGTAGAAAAAAGTCTGACACTAGCAGTTAATGCGTAGCGGTTATACAACCCTAAAAATCCGAGTTCATTTGCACGAATTATCTTCTTGATAAGTACGTTTATCCACTCAAACGGACCTCGCATGAACCCTCACACAACAGCTGGATTACATAGTGACATCAAAATTCGTCACCAAGTAGAGAACAAAAAAGACAAGTAAATTAAGCAGTTTTCTTGTATAGCAACGTCTCGTATAACGTCCATGCTATGATCAAAGCTGTTCAGGAGCTACATAAACCTTACAATAAAAAGAAATGATTACAATGCAAAGAAACACGTGTTACTTTAGTTATCTACTACTTGCAATAAAAAGATAAAGGTTATTGTTTTATGCGCCATAACTGTTTTCATACACAAAATTTCTTTTTCACTTTTCTGCGAGTGAAATACTACTTTCGTCATTTGGCCATATTAAATGTATATATTATATTCTAATGTTTCAGCACAAAGATGACTATTGTGGACATTTGTCTCAAACGTCCTTTAGAGCCTTTCGGAAGCCAATGCCCCATACAAATAAGAGCTTTAGTATGTTACAAGCTACATCTCCAACGGCTCTTAAATTCATGTCTAACAGTGAGCGTGGTAAATACTATCGACGTAGACGCAAGCAGTACGGTGCACACCTTGAGGAGCGCGTCAACACCCTTCGTAATGAGATTGCGGCCTTAGCGGTTTCTCGTCAGGTCCAGCTAGAGCTGACCTTATCACAGCGACAAACGCCACTTGGTGCGGCTGCTAGTATTGTAAAAGAGTATTGTCTGCTCTTCAATCATGGAGCACCTGTTCAAATGGCCGTGGACGAGCACGATGTGTCTGCATCACTAGTGGCGCATGCGAGCACTGCCCAACGAGGTTTCTTGCAGGCTGTGATGAATACAGACGTGCAGTTTGGCGATTTTTGTGGTATCGAACCCTTGTTGGGCCAGTGGGAACGCTACTCGCTTTACCATGCGGCTATCGAATGGACAATGAAGTCGCTTGAAGTGATTGAGCTGGCCGAGCCTGAAGAACTGGTTTTGAACAAATACTGCGAAGAAAGCCGGCTGACGATTTCTATCAACGCGGACTTACGTGTAAAGTTTTCTCGACGTACGATCGAAGAGGTGTTCCCGCATTTGGCTGGAGACAAAGTATTGACGCAGATGCTCATTGGACTGGAGGTGACATATCCGTGCATGAACCACTTTTGTTTTGATCCAAATGGTAAGATTGAGTGGTATACTCCCGAGGTGGATTTTGTTGGTGCATTGACAAGAGCATTGAAGTATCCGGAGCTGGTGGCGCGCGTCATGGGCAGTGCACTGATTGAGAAGGACCATTTGATTGGCAGCAAGAGCGGCGGACGCCAGCTTGATGTTGTTGAAGTGGAAGATGAAAACAATCGGACAGAAGTGTGCATGCCTGAAATGATGGAGGACACAAGTACGAGCATGTGGCCGAATGACGGCAAATTCGTAGACGTGACTGTAGTAAGCAGCGATGAACTGGTTCCTGAATTATCATATGATCGGCCGAAGCGACTGGAGCTGTCGTATATTTTATCGACTGAGTAAGTTGTGATTAAAAGTCCGTCCATGTTGTATCAATGTAAGTGTTTACTGGGGCTTCAAGTACAAGACTTGGTATTCATCTTCTCGTCACGAGCTACAATGTGAATTTGTTTTTACGTTTTGGCAAATGGATCGCTGTTGCAAAACTAGACTAGACTTGTGATGCATATGGTAAATGTATGTCAATGACGACAGTGGCGCCATGTAAAAAAATCCAAGTTGTAATGTCGTCACAAGATAGAGCGTAGGGGTCCAGTCGATGTGATACCTTAGATGTCACTTGTCTTGCATTGCGACCATCGTAAGAAAAGACTGTTCTGCTCCATACTTTATATTGCGCCTACTGGTGCTGTATACCATCGTTCCACTTTGCGTGAGACAAATCATTGTAAAAACCATATGGAAAACACGGCCGCATGAATACGAGAGGAAGGCACTTACCTTCCTAACGATCCAATCAGCATCAAGTGTAATCATTTGTTTGGACATACACAAAAAGTTCAAAAAAAAGACAATTGTACAAAACATCTATTTTTAGAGCAAAAGACGACCTATGACGACCATGTAACACGTCTGACACTTTGCAATTCGGCGGACAACAGAGTCTCAAGAAACGCGTCTTACCTCTTTCATTCGAACCATTTCTTCTTTTAGATTTCTATTATATAAATAGCTTACAAAGATGAGTACGAACGACCGGCGCATGGACATCATGACGCTATGCAGTACCGAGGAGCCGGTTTCGCTCGACTATCACGTCGCTGATTCACCTCTGCCTCGCGACGCTTCTATTCGTCGCACGGGTTCCAGCCGCAAGCAGAATTTAGATGCAGTCGCCAACATTTCAACTGTGAAATTTTCACTCCAGAAACGTTCGCGCCGCTTGTCCAACAGCGAACGCGGCAAACTTTACCGCTGGCGCCGTAAAAACTACGTGCAGACACTTGAGGAGCAGGTAGAGCAGCTAAAACAGGAGGTCGACCAACTCTACCTCAGTAGCAGCTCACGGAATCAGCGAGCTGTGGCCTGGTCACTTCCACGTCAGCCCATGGGCTCGTCATTTGCCAGTGTTGTGAACGAGTATTTTTCGCTTTTTAGGTATGGAGTGCCTGTAGCTGAACAAAATGACATCAAGGCTGTCCCACAGGACCAGCTGCTGCTTTTGTCAAGGCAGGTAGGATTTCTGAACGGACTCATGCACCCGGATGTGGTGTTTGGTGACTCGCATGGCGTACATGAGCTGTTGGATCAATGGAGAAAGTACTCGCTGTATCATGCTGGGCTCATATACGAGATCAAGTCTTTGCAAATCATGGCAACGGATCCAAATTTTGTAGTGGTTGCTCCCGCTACGCTTTACGTGCGCTTTACGCGACGCACTGTTGAGAAGATCTTTCCTCACGTGCTTTGGAATGAGGCGTTCGTGCAGCGCCTTATTGGCAAGGAATTTGCGTACCCTGTAAGAAATACTTTTTACTTTGGTGACGACAACAAGATCCATCGGTATGACACGTACGTGGATTTTGTGGCTACTTTCATGAGTGTGTTGGGTAACATTGAAGACAGCATGATCATGATGGAGAACGCGCTCATCCGGCAGGAGTCTATGATTGGCGACCTGCTTGAGGAGCCGCATAGCTTTAAGGCAGAAATGCAGGGCGTGGAGTTGGCACCCCTTGTTCAGATGGTGGATACTGATTGTCATCGCAGCAATAAGGGACCGAAGCTGACACCCATTGAATTATTGCTGCATTCGTAGGCGGTAAAGAATAACAAGTATTGTTTGGACTGATCTCTGCGACAGGGAGACTCTCGTCATCTCCAAATGTTTTGTCGTGAACGAGTTTGTTATTGACAAGAGTTCCAGTCGCTGACAATTACAGTGCACGCACCACCACTTCATGGGGAAAATGTATTTGCTAAATGTGCTATCACTGCAATGTATTGCAACGAATGCGATATGACTTGATCTCAATAAGTACATTGCTTTTCAATTAGCTGTACCAAGCAGCATGAGCACCTCCCCGTCTATCGCTAAGTTGATTACAACTTCGCTATACCTTGATTGTGGTATCCTGTGTACAACATGTCACGTCATCATGAAACCATATGACGGACGCGTCTGTACAACATGTCACGTCATCATAAAACCATATGACGGACCCGTCTGTTAAAAGGACAGAATTTTATATGAAATAAGTGCACTATGTGATTTGCCAGTGCTTAAGCTTCAGTATTCGAAAATTTAACAGAACGCTATCGAGTTCGCCGTTTTTGCACGTCACTGCGTAATGTATATGCTTGGCCTCGCAAAATCCATTGCTTCGGTCAAGTCGTCAGTCTTGAGCGCATTAAACGCATGTTGGTCCCATTTGAATCTGCTTTCTTCTGTAAAAAGTGCAAGAGCAGCTTGCTCTTGAGTTTGTCCACGTACGTACACATGACTAAAGAAAGGTAGAGTCTAATTTTCCTTGCGTGATATTGTAGATCTCTTAGCAATTACCTGCAAGGTCTTAAGTACTCCTGCTTTACTCTTACGATATCTGCTTGCGAGTCACACATGAGTGGGTAAGCAATGCTGTCGGTAGGTTCGATGATCAAGTTCGACTCTTATCGACTTTGAAGAACTTTGTGGTGTACGGTTCAACAAACTTCAAAGACGTGAGAAATGCAGCTTTTTGTCGGAAACATCACCTTCGACGAAGAGCTGCAGCTCTAGCTTTAATACTATTTGATTTTTTGTAGAAGTGCTAAGTCATGAAGGTCTCGGTTATTGTTATCGTCCGTCCTTTGAATGACATCTGATGATGATGTCAATTGTGTAGCCATGTACCTGTTTGCATCAGGTTATTTCTTGTATTATTTTACCGATTACATTAACATCTAATAAATTACGCATCTACGTAAATAAATTGCCATTTTCTCCATTACCAGCTTTACCATGTCATGCAATTTCTCTCTACGTGGTGTTAATTTTACTTTCCATTGCTTGTCACTAGCGGAACGTCAAGAAGTAACAGCTCTGCTCATACAAAACAATGGCAAACTCTATGATGCAAGAAATAGTCGAAAACCCAACGTTGTTTACGTCATTACAAGCTACTGGGCTGACTGTGAGATTCATGCAGCCTTAGCAGATATGACGTTGCGACTTGTCACGCGTTATTGGTTACACGAGACACTTCGTCTTGGACGATGGCTTCGACCTAATAGTAATCCATTCTTTGAACCTCCTCCAAGACCGAAGGATCTATGGCTACAATATCCCATAGGATATCAAGACGCAACTGGACATGATGAGGTAAATGGAGAGAAGGATATGAACATGCAGGATTCAAGTGCAAGATCAATATTTCCTCGAGCTGTTCGACTGCCTTGTTCGCCCAAGTTTTGTTTTCGAGGTGTTGTGCCACTCTGGCCATACATTGCAGCATATCTTGCACAGCCCATACGTAACGTGCATGAACTCGCAGCTCGACTGCAATTGTACTAGGCCAAGTGTTTTTTTTGGATGCTGTCATGCACAAGAGATAAAGAATGTTGTAACGTGGTGTGTGTTGTATCAATACGTTTAGACTTACCTTGTCACATTCAAGACGCAGATTAAATTGCTTGGAGTATGCGGTGAACGAGGTTCGTGACGTCCTGTTGAAAATGATATCGTGAGAGTAGTTTTTGTTGGTACTGGACGAGTCTGACCTTTTCCATTTTTGCGACGGCAGTTGCTAACGACGAAGGAGCAAACCATGTTTTTCAAAGATGTGCTACCGGAGATGACAAGAATGGTGCTGGCCCTACCGCAGATGTTTGCTACACCGCCACCGCTATTGATTCCACAGGAAGCGAATGGACGAGTCAATTTGGGTAGCAAAAATGAGGCTGGTTCTGGAAGCACGGAAGATAACGCGAGAGAAGAAAGTCAAGTTGTCATTCAAAGCCACCGGTTCTCAAAACTGGAGGTGTTGACGTTAGTTTGTGGCTGCTTCTTTGGTATTTTTCCTGACCAAGACATTGCCAAGTCTGGACAGATTTTACAAAGCAGAAGACCAAGGCGACAAGGCGATGATACTGGTAATGGCATAATTCAGTTTCCCCATTTTACTGCGGTTCGGATGTTCTCGGCTCCTGGTAACATGAGTAAGATGGTTGTGCTGAAAGGCCAAAAGATTTGTTGTCTTTTGCAGTACTTCTTGCGCGTAGTTCCACTTGCCATGTCAGAGCGTAATGCGTTTTCTACAGAGGTGATTGACTTTGCGCGTGTTGCGGTGCACTTACCACCATTCGTGCACGGGCCAATTGGTGCAGAGCAATCATCTAAAGAGCTTTTTGAGATATTAAAAAATTTGTCACGAGCACACTGTGCTAGCCAAAGTGCTATGAATGCACATCCTCGATTGTACGCTGCGACGTGTGTGTCAGATGTGCTAATTGAAGACTTGGACAAACATTTGCAAGTCGACTTCGCAAACAAATTTGCTGGAGGCGGAGTGCTTAGCTCTGGGTGTGTGCAAGAAGAAATTCGCTTCTTACTGTCACCTGAATTACTGGTATCCTGCCTCGTATTTGCCAAGTTGGAACCCCACGAAGCGTTTGTAGTTCATGGGACGGAGCGCTACAGTACGTATGAAGGATATGGCGGATCGTTTGTTTATGGTGGCAACTTCAAAGACACGACACGCTTGAATTCTGTATCGAATGGATGCGTCCGCCGAGAATGCGTAATCGTGGGGATTGACGCAACCGATTATGGCTCGGCACAAGTGCAACGACAATATGAACGTGGGCATGTATGGCGTGATCTATTGAAGGCTTATGCTGGTTTTGCCTATCCCGAAGCAAGCGACAACGAACACTGTTGGCCTGTAGCCAGTGGAAATTGGGGCTGCGGTGTATTTCAAGGTGACCGCGAGCTGAAGTTTTTGATTCAATGGCTAGCAGCATCGCTTCACCATCGTGACTTGGTCTACGTTTTGTTCCAGTGCGACTTGGACTTTCAAACAAAAGTCAATACGTTGTTAAGGCTAGTCACCAGTTTGAAGTCACGTGAGTGGGACCAACAATGTGGTGGAGTGATTCAATGGCTCATGGATTTTCTTTTTCATGAGCTTCGTGTTGAGTTAGGTGAAAGCAGCGTGCTAACACGTGCAATACTTTCACTTGAACGAGCATTGGTGACGCTCGACGTACAAGACGGTATGTCAAGAGGTTACTGAGAGTAAATTGAAACAATTGCAGCCTGAGAAACAAGCAGCACTGCCAGAAACCAATCTGTTGGTACTAGACACCAAAGTTGAAGTCCCGGTGACCATTACTCAAAGAGAGGAGCAACGTAGTGAGGCGATGAAGAAGAAGCCCAAAATTATGAAGAAAACGTTCTACCAGACGACCATGGAGGAGATTTATAAGCCCAAGTAATCTATACTTCTTTTGATGACTACCATGGTAGAGTTACTAGTAGTTAAAGTTTATCTATCGCTCTGTTCAATGGCTACGGCACTTTCAAAGATAAAGAGTGCCGTAAACATGCATGCAAAAGATGGATTACCACATCATCCACTGGCTTAGATGACTGTGTCGTAATGGTCGAGTCTATTTCAATGGTAACAAACAAGAAAGTAGAATGCAAGGTTGTCGTATTGATGTGCTTAGTAGAGTAAGAAATTGCTCGGTTCTGTCTTGGTTTCAAGCACAGAACGTCATTTTGTCACGACCTTTCTTACAAGGTGGTGAGCAGACCAATGAGAGTCACCACGCAAAGACAAGTAGCCGTAAAACTGGGTGAAGCGTACATTTGGGCCGACGAGGAGGCCGGGGAATCATCATCGCTGCCGGAGCTGGTTGGAAGGATAATACCCGCAGTTGTGTTACCTGCTGCAATTGAAGCTGCATTGATGCCCGAGCAGTCGTAGGAGGTGGAGGTAACGTTGTTGTAATTGTAGCAAGCATCCCGGGCTGCAGTTGCAGCCTCCTCGGTACAGTTGAGAGAGCTTTCGGTTGCTTCATTGTACTTGTCACAGGCTTTCATCGCAGCATTGGCAGCTGCTTCTGCTGCTGCACTTGCCGTAGGCTCGGAGCATTCAAGGGTACTGTTATTCTCCTTGTTGTACGTGTTACATGCTTCTTCTGCAGCCGCAACTGCTGCCGCATAGGCGTCTTTCGTAGTTTCAAAAACGTCCTTGTGGAACTCGTCAATAGTACTAGCAGCATTGTTGATCCAGCTACCAGCAGCGGTAGCTGCATCTTCAGCAGCATTGATAATTGCGTCCGCGGCATCCCTGACAACGTCAGCAGTTGTTGGGATGGTCACAGCAAGCACAGCAAGTCCAGTAACAGAAAGGTACGAGAAGAAGCGAGTCATGGTGATGACAGTAAAGATGGTAGGGGGATAGTTGTTTTACACTTTGATTCTTGTGAGCAAATTGAGGAATGATACAGCTTTCAGACCACGAAAGCGACTGTCGATCTATACGCAAATCTACTCTGAGGCAGACGCAGACACTGTCTTTTCTCGTGCTTTGATTTTCAATATCCTGTCTCCTATGATCTCTCAAATGGGTTCGCGTTGATCAAACGGTGCAAGTACCTGTATCAGAGATAATCAAGAAACGAATAGGTCCAGAAAATATGGCGCATAGGCGTTTATCGTCTTGATGACATGTTTACACGCATCATTCAAGGTGTTGCTTTTGGTAGTAAACATAGGTGCAGTCATTCTTTGTAGGTTTTGTGGGCTTCTTGTTTAGTGATTGTGCCATGTATGGAATGGTTGCAGGTGCGTAAAAGAGAATCCATCTTGCTGTAGTCGACCGGATTTTTCAAATCGTGCAAAGACGGATGATTTTTCTTACTAGAATAACAAGTTCACTAAGTACTACTAGTAATATCCAGGACCATAGTGGTAGGAGAGCATGGTTGAAGTTTAAGAACCATGCATATTTCCAGCTGGCAACAGTGACAAACTTGTCTAACGACTCCTCCTTATCTCGAACCTTCCACTCGTGTCGTGTCCAGAATATAGTTAGCATTACAACAACAAGTGTTTGATTTCTTTTGCGCCAGCAAGTTGTTCTTACGTGATCTCAAAGAAATTTTGGTAGGAAAGCACCATTGGCAGAGATTATTGGTTTTGAGCTATTGAATTATCATGGTCAATACCAAAGAGATGTCCATCTCAAAGATCAATAAAGACAATCTGATTGTCCCCGGAAAGTGTCTTTGAAACTTTTCAACTCGAGTTGTGTTGCTGCTATTTGGTTTAAACGCATCAGTCAACTTGAGTCAAATCAAGCTTTGTGTTTACCGCTTAAGTCTTTCTAGGTCGTGAATGACCTGTTGGAGCGACTGTAGAATTATGACCCTTTTAACGAGTTTGTTTGTTCTATTAGATCAGAAATTGATGTGTACGTCAAGCACATGTAATACATCGATTCATAATCCATAGTCTCCAGAGACAGCAACTCGACTATCTAACGTGTTCAGTTGCTTGCTTACTCGGAGACTAGGGACAGACCAGGACCAGTAGGTACATCTGATGACCATTTCTATAAAGTGCTGTATGTATGTGAACGCTTTACGCGAGCCGTCTTGCCACCGAACTGGCTCAACTTCCGCATGCGTCAGGTTATCTCTCCTTCTCTACATTTCTCTCTACTCTCGCCAGGGTCCATTAAGCGGCGCGCGCTATAAGCGCCGCGCTGAAGGCCGTCAAAACTGCACGATCCTGTGTACATTGGCGAAAGAGGTACAGGTCTGGGGCCAGTCGACGGCGGTGTCCAGCGTGGTTTCTTGCTTGATCCCTTGGATGTCTATCTTGTCAACAGGGCCCAGGAAGGGTCCTTGTTGCTTGCATCGTGAACAAAGAATTACACGAGCGTACCTAAGCGGAGATGCCGAGACTTCGGGGCTTCAGGCGTGGCGGCGTACATCGTGGCGGCTTGGCTGGCGGCTGGCGGGAGAGCGTCAAGAGAGAGGTGTGTAAACGGAGAGAAAACCAGTCCAAACTGACAATGCCGCGAAGCACCCGTCGGAGGCCTGAGCTAGCACCAGCTAACCCAAGCCTTCCGGGAGAGCGTTATCTCAACCCGACCAGGATTGTAAGTGATGTATATGGCCTTTAAACCGCTGGTCATCAACGCTGGAGATGAAGTAACTCGAAACATGTCGGCTTCAGCAGTGGCAAGTACAAGCATGCTATTACAGAAATAACCTAACTAGGTGTAACAACAATGGTGCCGGACACAAAGAGAATTTTCTTGGGATTGCGAATGGCGACTTAAGTTGTAATTGCCTTCAATTTGCTTCTCCTTTCTCCCATTACAAGCAGCCATCCTTGATTTGAGTGCGTCGGTGAACGGCAAGATACTACCTCTACGGATCCGTTTGAAAGCGATGTTTTATCAATGTTGAACGTGTCAATGTATCGAATTGCCGAGGGTATTTAGTAGAGGTCGTTCTCACCATAGTGATGATTTGAGCCTCAGGTCGCTTTCATAGTTTCCAAAAAAAATCTAGTATTTCGTACTTTCGTTCTAGCAGCACCTCAAACCCTCTGCCTGATACAAAGTCTGGTCATATTAGCTCACATTCTTGCTTGCCTTATGCTCATGACCCACATTGCTGCAATTACTACTTCACTTGCGTTGACAGGTGCTATAAACGTTTCTATGCTACTGTAAGGAACGCATACAGAGATGAACACGACACGACGGCTAGCCAGATCGATGAAGCTGTCGATATCGTCTGTAACACGACTGAAATGTCTTCAACACAACCTCAAGCATGGCCGACACTGCTGTCTTTTTCACAGACGCATGAGGTGGCTTCCGCCGCCGCAATAATACTACCATAGGCCCCGTCACCAGCTTCCTACAAGTTGCATACGACATCAAGCTACAGCGCAGATCACGTAGTCGACGCAATAAAGCCTGTTCTCACCTTTCATTGTTATGCTGATTTGATCAGTAGTCCAAGACTCGGTGCGACATAAATCTGGATCTCGATGCTTTCGTTTAGTGATGAAGCTTTTACCCAAAGCCGAATATGCAGCACGCCATTCATATGCAAATATAAGTTGAAGGAACGTGTACATCATGTATTCTATCTTGAACGAGGTTACGACTTTTCATGCGTAGCTGAACTTTTCTTGAACTTTCCGGACCACGACCAGGTGAACGATCAAGAAAAGTGATCATGCTAAACATACGTTGCATTAATACCATATGTAATGAATGAGCATATGCTCGTTGCTTCTACTTTGGTTCGTCTTTCCTACAGCAAGCTGGTACACTTCTGAATTTGCTCAAAACCCACCAGCACCACTCATGATGCGTGTCCTCATTTGCCTCGTTTTTGTTGCACTCTCTGTCGTCGCGACCGCCGAGAATGCGGTTGTTGATGACCTCGTCAACAACGTTGCTACTTCTGCTACCGATGCTGCTACAGACGCCGCTAATGAAGTCGTGAGAAATACTACTAACGCCGCGACCAATGCGGCTGCCAATGCTGCTCACAATGCTGTAGACGCCGCTGCTGGTGCTGCCGACGATGTCGTGGATTCTACATTCAATAGAATCTCGAGCACCTCTGGCTCCGATGACGATGTGGGAAGCGCCGCGGGCTCCACTCCCCCCTCTCGCTCCTCGACGGCCTCATCGATGCGTGAGCCTTCAGTTTTTGTCATGGCTACCCTGACAGTTGCTGGACTCGCACTTTACTTCGTCTAAATTGGCAGGTTGAAGTACATGTAGACACCCTAGAGGTATTAAATCAATCCATTCGATGGTATGCTTTAATCATTTGCCGAGTTATATCGAGAGGTAGGAATCTTGTAGTTCTTCTTGACGCCATTCATACAAATATATTCGTTATCTTTCTGGGTTGGGATTGATAAGTATATTTGCATGAATGTTGGAGTGCTTTACTCTCATGCAGCACTTCTATTACAGCGATTGACTTTGATTGCTACTGCTACTGCTGCCACTGACACATAGTACTGGTAACATGGATGATGAGATAAAAGCAAGATATTTTAAAACCATATACGTGCTTTCTTTAAAAGGTACGGCATTCTCCAAAGGAAAATGCTTAATGCAAAAGGCAAAAGCTGACATTATGTCAGACCACGTCGCGTTTGTAGATCCCAATTCTATCGTAAGCCGCCATCCAAAGGGTGATGAACCTAGATAAAGAGATTGATGATGGCGATGACAGCCACCGAAGCCAGAACAATGCCAGACGTCACTGGCGTAGATGCCGACGACGCAGTGGGTTCGGAGGTTGAATCATCCATTCGGTCTGAGGCTTCTGAGGCCAAGTCGTCCGTGTACGAGCCGATTTCCGTCTCGACGACCTCGTTTGAAATGCTGTCCGAGATGGCACCGGACATCTTTTCGTTGGTAGATTCCGTGGGGATCCCTGCTACGTTCTTCGCTCTGCCATCATTTTTGGTCGAATTGCCGGGCACCGTACCGAATTCAGCGTTAGCCGCGTCGGCCACGTCGTTCGGGTCTGGTATGTCATCATCATCATCCAAATCGGATGCTAACTGGCCGGTCACTACCACGGTGGCGATGGCCAAAAGAGCAAGGTACGTCATGAGGCGCTTCATATTGCAGTTTTATCAGTTAGCTGAAGCTTAGTAGCTACACGTCCGAGCGTTGAGAGAGGTCTTGTGCTTTGGGGTGGTTATTTTTTAAATGAGTCAGCAGACTGCAAGCTCTACTCAAAACCACAGCAGTCACATCCGACCGAACAACAGAGTAGAACGTACCATCTCAAGAACAAGTTTGACGTGATAAAGCTGTGCAAGCCCAGCAAGTTTTTCCATCTGCTGCTGCTGAAGATGCATCTCGGGATTGAAACCTTGTGAAATACGGAGAGCAGCAATTGCTGCCATTGTATTGATAAGAGTCCTCGCGATCTGCGATCTCCCTCTTTTACATACGAGACCACAACAGCAATAGTGGATTGCAGGTATGTTGCAGCGCATGTCTCATTACTAGCGTTAAAGGCTAGTCCATGAAACAAGTAAAATTTATCATGTATTCGCTAGCTGTCGTTCCTATGCAAAGGGGGAGTGGCTATTACGACTCAAATCGTCTATTGTTAGGCTTTCGACCAGAAACTGATCATGCATGCTTTGAACAAATGCAAACCATTTGCAACTTGTATTTCGTCTTGATTCGCACTTATCACATACTAAGACGCAAGACGGTATAAGATTACTGACGCTTCATATGCATTTGAAACGATGGGATTGGAAAATACCGACCAGTTCTTGTCAGTTGAGACATAATGTGACTACACGTTCTTTGTAGAAGGAATGGCTGCTACGAACAGCGAGTGCTCACCTCAGCCGTATCTAGTCAACACTGCTTTTTAATGTGGTCTTCATGGCAACATCTGCATTGGATAAGTGACAGTTATCCGAGTTTCGTCGTCAGCAACTCGATTGAAGTAAATTGCGCAACGAGTCAGCGCAGGTCTTCAGAGTTCTGACGGTGTGCCCAGACAACCACCTAGAAACGTGGATTTGCGAGCGCATCCATGCAAATGACCTTTATATTTAAGTGGTGGCGCGAGTCAGTATGTGCCTGGAAGCCGTGTCTCTTAGCAATACAAACTGGCTCATGACATTTGACTCGGTGCAGCTTGAACCAACATATCTGGTAAGTACTGAAAACACGCTAACGTTTCCCCAAAAAGCAGCGTGCGGATGCCGCAGTTACACCACGTGATGTTTCCCGTTGCCATTTCCATAGCTGATGGCGCCAGCTCCTCAAGCAACGAGCTCTAAGATTGTTGCAGGGGACGTCAAGCCGGTTATTTCAAAGGCTTAACATGAAATAGGTGCGAGAAGTGTACATTTCTCGGCTATCAAGTTTCCAGGAGGTATTGTTTCATAAGTATCAAGTACTTTGGTCGTGGCATTCGGCGGGAGTTGGGTTAAACACGTCGCGCCATCCAGTAGCGGTGGCGGTCTAACCTGAATGTGAACGGTTCGATCCACATCGAATACTGTTTTCCACAGGCCGTACTTAGACGTCTTGATACAATACCAAGGTAGTGAAAGACTGTGTGTGTTTGTCGCGTCTCATGTTCTAGCTCGATATTACCGGTCGCAGGTCAAAACAACACTTGATTTACTGAAAGACAAGTTTTACAATTTGGATCGATGCCTTGCACCTTCAGAATCGACAAGTACCATGCAAGACATGATAATTTGAAAGACTCATTGCTCGATCTGCAGCCCACTACTCAATCCTTAGCACGGATATGTGGGTAGTGGATCTTGGCACTTGTACAATTCACATGGACGATAAGTCGCACCACTTTCCTCGATTCTCTAGGCACGGACCACCGCTCATCCAGCAAAATGACAGCACTGAGCAGCGTTCCAGTGACACAGCAGAAGAGCGCCCTAAAAAGCGTAAGCGCGCATCTGTAGGCTCGGGCATCACGTGCGCCCCCGAGCAGTTGACCTGCCGCTATGCCAACAAAAAATGTCTTAATCCGCGTGCTGTCAAACGCACAGGCGGCCTGCACACTTTTTGCTCCATGCACCGTGCCAATGCCAACCGGAACCAGCGTCGTTTGGATATGCGCAAGCGAATGGCTCGACAAGCTTTGAAAGTGCAGCAAACCAATGAAGCTCAAGCGCCTTTGAGCCTCGATGCAAACAGCCTTCACCCACAAGCACCTTTAACACCAGAAGTCATAGTGTCCATCTCGTCTCCTTCAGGTCAAGACATTGACCCACGTTTTGAGCCGCTGCGTTCGCCCACGCCACTAGAGGAAGAAGATATTACGACTTTGATCTCTCTTTTCCTACCTCGCTCCTGAGGCTACTGATACTGAAAAGCGAAGGTTTGGATACCAATCAACTCAACGTCCAATCATCCCAACAAAAGCAAACGATTCCGACCCACCGCCATTTGGCATCACCAATCTGAAGACTGCACAAGGTGAGGATGGAAACGCAGCTTGACGATCATACATGTAGAAGGAAAGTGCGTAGTAGATGTATAACAGAGTGACAAAACGATATGCTTGATGAAGAGACTTATAGCAAAGACATTTCCTATCGCTGGAATACGTTAGTGTACATACGTCTACGATCTATGTCGAAGAGATTGGATCAAGGCCATTCATATACTAAACAACTGGCACAGGCATTATACAACCCATTTGCTTGCTGTGGCGAAGGAATTTAATGTCTTACTGGTAGGTCACATTCTTCGCCAGCAGGAATGGTATGTACTTTGTGATTTTGGAAGCTTTGCACGAGTTCGACTGTAGGCCTTTTCATCCTTGCCGCTGAGCAGCTACGTGCTGTGCATTCACAAAGTCGACGGTAAAGGTCGTAATGATACAGAGCAGAGATAGATGACATTCTTTAGTGCCACCCAGCAATGCCTTTCATGCTTTGTCTAAGTACATATATATACATGGTACGAAGATGTGCAGTAATGCAATGCCAACCAAGCGGTATCGGACAAGACCCGCGAGGTGACAACCTACACCGAAATGATAATCGAAGAATAAGTCAAAGAAGCTGACTGAAAGATACGCACTCAAACGAACGTTTGTATATTGTTTGATGTAGCGTCACCTTAAAGTACGAAGTAAAAGTCCTATTGTATCTCATTTCATCGCGTAAGCTCAAACAATTGCTAATGTGTCAACATCTGTAGACGTCCGATGAACATCAATGCTTTGAAATCATTGCGAGTAATACGAATGGCCATTTTACAGCAACATTAAAGATGGAGCATTTTGCTACCGGGCAAAAGAGTCCAGTTCGTCGGGTAACGCTGTGATGCGCTTCGGGCAACAAATATTCAAGATGGAACGCCACAACGTGCCTATCCCTCTAAGCAACAAATATTGAAGTAGAAACATCACAACTTGCGTCCTCTATAGTCTCTGCCATGCTCTAGTAAATACGGTTTTTTAGTCTGACACAGGTGCTGCTTTGCAAGCACAGCCTAAATTTTCGAGGGTTCTCAACTTGAGGCTTCGATGAATGCCGAACGAGCGGCGACGTGAATCCCATGATAAGACGAAGAAATCAGGTGTGGCGTGCTTTATAACTGAGCGGTGCAGCGACAGGATCGATTTCGATGCAATACGAAACTCTTACGACAAAAGTAGGGGAATCCGGTCTGTTATAAAATTGAATACATAAGCGATATATGAAAGCGCTGCATACTGAATTAATGGGTGGCCAAGGCGAGGAGGAGGTGACGGCAGCACCCCGAAACAGGAACAAGTACATACAATGGGATATCAGCGCGAAGCGTTCAGATTACGACGCCACGTCCATCTCACGGTGTTCTGTTCCTGTACAGCTGGGGTTCTATAGTATAACAAATAAAAGATAACAGGTAGATTACAGGATGTAGGCTACTAAACTAGCCTAAATATATGAGCTGAGCAGTCTACATTTTAATCATTGTTTACAGAATATTAATTTAACAAGATATATCTCTTTGATCACGTCGAGCAAGGAGAGACAGACGGGACGTGTCCTCTGATACAAACGTAGCAGTGCTCTGCTGGCTTCTGGTCAATCATCAAGTTGTCTCGAACCAGTCAGTACAAATAACCTCAGACGATGGACCACCTACTGAATGACGAGTCCTTGGACGATGCTACCGACGTCGTCGTCATCAAAAACGAGACCGTTCATGTTACCGAAGCACTTGTCACAGCATCGCAGACACTGCCATACCTCGCCAACTCTGTTATCCATTCCGACCATTCTGCTGCCAGTCTTGGGCTGCATATACTCTCAGCATCAGCAGCCACGCCATCCGTATTGATGTCTGTTCCAAAACCACCTCCACGACTACCACCTATTAGTCTTTTGACGGCCGCCGCTGCAGCACTGCAGCCTATGCAATGCAATCCGCTGCAGACACCAGCGTTACCATCTCCACCCCAGTCCCGGGTGTTACATCTTAGGATGACCCCATTGCAAGCTGTGAGGCAAGCTTCATCCGCCCCTTCTTCATCCTTTCTAGTCCCACCACCGTGCAGCGACCTACTCCAAGCGGACGACATCTTGTGTCGCTATCGCAACAAGAAATGTGGCTACCCTCGGGCCATCAAGCGCAACGGGGAACGTCATAATCTTTGCGAGCGCCACCGTGCTAAAGCGAATCAGAACCAGCGTAAACTTGAGAGTAAACGACGCGTCAAGAAGCGAATGATGCAACGCGTGGCGGACCGAGTTGTAAACGTGAAGAGGATGGCAGCGTCGCCAAATCGCGAGATTAAATTCACTTTGTACGGCACCACCCTTGCATGAAAGAGACGGGAGACAGTGAAGTAGGAGGAGGATAGCTTGTCGACGAAAATACTTGGAGAGTCGAGATGAAGAGCCTTTTCAAGTGTATGATGTATTGATAGGAAGCTAGCCATAATTTATGCATAGGTGGTTAAATAGTACACTCTATTGTTTGAAACTACAGTCGTTGACCCTTACGAGGTTGGTCTGGTTCCATAAGGCTCACCTTTTGTCGCAACTTGGTCAACATTTACATTCCTTCATTGTTGCTACGTAAAGTAACAATCTCTTTGGTCTTAATGCTCCATTCGACATGAATGTCAAACAAACGGTTGATTGTCTAAGATTCTACTCCATCTCATGATTACAAAAGACACTGCTAGATTTGCCATCGATTGCATTTCCCCGTGTCGAAATGCAAAAGTCTCGTTTCTGCTTGAAACGCTATAATTACCCTGCGTCAGCTTCATTTGGAGCTGTTGCTGCTGCAATGAGTGGCAAGCTAATGAATATATATACTTGGTTGCCGAGGCTTTGATGCTATATACCAAGCATTTATACCAAGCATTTTCAGCTTTCTTAGAGCCCTCTACTTCAACCTTTAGATTCAAACGAGGATGGGTACTGTCAGCGGCCCTTCACGACGGTCGTGTGGGCACAACAAAGATATGTCACAGCCGCAATTGAAACATCTTGTTGTCGAGGATACTAGCTGCTATTGCTGGGCAAAATGGTGCTAGAGGCTTTCAACGTCTCTACTAAAGAAGGCCTTTACTAAAGAAGCGAAATATACTGGTTGGAGCCACGCGCTTGCGTAAAGAATCCTCAATTTTTCTTCTTTCCGGAAGACTCTTAATACATCTAACAATGTGAGACGCGAAATAGAGACGTAGGTTGGCCGCAGCTACGTCCATCAGTCCAACCTGGCACTGAATTTGCCTTAATGAAGATTATGCTTTTTAGGAGCGTTTACTAGCGGCATTCGACACCGGAAATTATGTCGTCAAAATTGCTTGAGACCATCGCATTTAATCACGACTGCTGCCGTCAACTTGTGCAAACCATAATGTTAGATAATGAAGATAAGCAAGAGCTCCGTGGACAGTCACATTCATGGTGGTGTATTCCTGTGCGTATTGAGGACACACTTTTACTGCTTCGAAACACGATTGAGCCCACGTATCCATGTGTCGTTAGAGTTCGTCGTTTCGTCGTTTGAAGCAAGCTGCTCTTGAATGTCTGATACAAGTTTTGCTGACGTAGCCCCAGCTTTCAAACTGATCTTCAAAACGAAGCGCAAGAAAGCCGACGTCACATCCAAGTACGTCGCGTACACGTAAAGACTGATCAATTTGCTGCATACACGTGCATCAATAAGGGCTTGCCGCTCGTCAAGATCGTAATACAATGCAGGGCTGCTGTGACAATTCAGTTTCGAGCAGCTACCATCGCTCGAGACTAGAGTTTCCGTTGTTCTGCTTTCAGACTTGTTTCGGTCTAATCAGAGACGACATACTACTGACCGGTAAGCTATTTGACCGAGAAATTGCATCGACGATGCCGGCCGGACCCCATTCATTATGTGGTTCATTTTTTCTGACGGGTATATTTATTCAAGCTCAATCGATCGCCGCACTGAAACAGTCAACAGCTTTACGAGTCCACAGGATGAACTTGTTTGCAAGTGCAAGGGCTTCTGTTGCACAGAACCGAATTGTAAAGCGATATAAAGACCTGCAATCTGTGTCAAGTTCACTGAAAGGGCAAAAGTCGACTACATTTGCTCCAAAACCAGACTCTGACAGCGCCACCATCTTGCCCAAAGCCATTCATCCTCAAAGACCTCCCCGACTCGGCATCGACAGCTCCACGATGCCAGTATTGGACAAGCAAAATGCGAAGTTGTTACTGTAAAGCATGTACAGAACCGTGACGCTGTTAACACTACTGAGCCGTTTGTTATAGCATCCAACTGAAACTTCACTCAGTTTACATTCCTTGCCATGCCATAAGTCAACGTTGTTATAAAGCGTGCAATTTCTGCTGGTTTGCTAACTCATGTTGATGGATAGCGGATAGTGCATTGCAATTGACATATTTTGTCAGCAAAAAGAGATTGTATTGGTCAGCTAGAGGCCAATACAGGCTGGCTGCTCTCCGTTATCATAATGCTGCCGACGATATGCTTCTGGACCTTTGACCTCGTGCGTAAGAGGTGGTACTTCTGGCTTATACCGGGCAAAGCTTGTAGATAAAATTTCCCATCAAAGTCCAGCATGACGTCGGATGCGGTCAAAGTAGCTGCTTAGCATAGTACTGCAAGCTGTTGTTTATCAGTTCGCTCCACGTAGTGAATGCTGCTCCTTTGAATCTCGATACGTGAATGCATCCATTGCTGTGTCTGGCTGACATGTCCAATGCTATCAGTAACTGTAAACTCTACGTCGTAGCGGTTTCAGTCTCGGCTTCTCTCCTTTTCGCCCGTCTCTCGCCTACGTCAGGTCCCACCAGGCCCGTCACCACTCGCAATCAAGAAGACCACCACTCGAGCTTTTCCACTATAGAACGCACCACAATGGACCCAAATCAGCTTCGAGTATTGCTCGACAAAGACGGACACAAACTTGTCCAGTTGCCTACAGGCGGACGCGTCGCGGTGCCGTACGACCCACTGTACGCAGCAGAGCAAGCTGCTGCTGAAGCCGCTCGAGCCATTGACCCACCCGACGAACTGCGGTGCAAATACAAAAGCACGCGATGCTTGAGCTCGCGCGCCAAGAAGCGAAACGGTGAGCTGCACAGCTTTTGTCAGATACACCGTGAGCGTGCCAACCAAAACCAGCGCAACTCGGAACAACGTAAACGAAATTGCAAGCAGGGAACTTATTCAAAAGGTATCCGACGGGCTTCACAGCGACAGGAGCACTCTGGAAATCAATGGGATCCTAATTTGAATAACCAGGACCAGGATAAAGACTTGGGTCTTTTCACTCTTGAAACGCCTCCTTTTCATCTACCAGAGCCACTTCAAGGTAACGACAGCCCCCACCCAGAACCAACTTATGATGAACTAAAGGAGACTGCCATGCTACTTAGCTTTCCCGATCACGACCGCGAGTGAAAGACAATCGGTCGACTCTCATGATTCACTCGGCCACTTCATTATGAAGTACTAAACGTCCTAACATCGTGTTCAACCTACCAGCACTTTGTTCGCACTTCCATTTATTCGGATATATGTAACACGTAGAAACTAAGTTTGTTCCAATATATTTGACCAAAGTCTCGCTACTGCGTGAGACCGACTATCAATCTCTTCTATCCCACAACTATTTGATCACCTAACAACTACGATGCAAGTTGGTATCTGATACTCAGCTGGTATCGTAACGCTCAAGAAAATTTGTAGGGTTCGCCAATACGACAAGAGGAGACTGGAAGTGCATGCGCAAGCTCGAAAATGCGAAATGAAAACCATTAGTACCCAGAGAACTTAATGCAGAGGTTCACATGTAGAAAGGTTCTTTTTTTTGGATGAAACTGAGTGAGAAATGGGTAATTTTGAGCAAAAAAACGTAGTAGAATGCAGTTACAAGTATTTCAGGATCAGGTCAGCTCGTATTCAGGACGAGCAGGATGAGGATATATTTAGGATCAGTCTGTTGGCGGAAACACGAACCTCTGTTACCGCAGTTAAAGCATGAATACTGGTACGACAAGAACAGACTGAGGCAGAAGAAGCAGCGCAGTATGAATCGAGTTCAAGTTTTGGACCTGGAAGGAAAGAAAAGGGTGGGGTGGGAGCAGTAACGAGGGCATCGAAAAGCATACGACTAGCCCGTGTGAGTCCACATGATTGTTGCTCGCTTTGGGTAAGACCATTTGGCTGCTCGTAAAATGATACGGAAAAGGATTGAGATGGGTTGTCCTGACATGCTCACCCGAGGAGTTTGGAATGAGACGGAAAACAATCAGGACGTGATGGGAATGTACAAAGTAGATTACAGGTTATGCCGTTGTTGACAAGGCGAGTTCGACGAAGAAGCAGCCACGACGAATCGTCTGACACTGAGGCACGAGACACGTCGAGCTGCAGGACGTAGTTGGTCGATAATTGCCGACGATAAAGAGGTTAAGTAGCGAGGGATTAGGAAGAAAGGCTATCGAGTGCGAAGGCCGGCTCTTACAGGCGTAATAACGGTGGTATCTGCTGCTGTGTCGATAGTGCGTTTATTCAAGCGCGTTGAAGCTACTCTGTGTATTGATAATGGTGAACGTAGATCGTGTACAATTCCCCATGTACCAGAACCATTGTTCGATTAAGTGAGCTATCGATTCAGCTCATTTGTTATGAACTGATGGACAGCAGTTTGGTCTTGGAGCAAGCTGCTTTCACTGATATGTTTCGTGTTTAAGTTTGGCTAATGCATTTGCAGAACTCAAATACACTTGTGACAAGGAGCAATCTTGGCTCGTCTTTTGGTCTCTTTTTGGCCTGGTGTTGCTTTTTTGTCCAACCGCTAAAACGCTTAGGTCCCAGTTTGCGACCATCGTGATGTAAATCCTTACATCTACGCAAGTTTATCCCTTTTCCGCTGCTTTTGCATGTTTTGCGGCAGCTACATTCTGGTCGTGTACATTTGGCATTGTGAACGATTCAACGCAAGTTTTGTCCGTGCGGACCTCTTTTCTGAAAAAGATTAACCTCACCTTGCTTATGTTTGCAGCCTTAAATGTGTTACTCGCCAGAACATCAGATCCATACACTCGTCATCATGCAACATTGTTCCGAGCATGTGCCACTCGCCAGAACATCAGATCCATACACTCGTCACCATGCAACATTGTTCCGAGCATGTGCCACTCAAAGTAAGAGGACCATTGCGCTGAGACCAAGCACCCTGTTAAACACGGCACTTGTACTAAATGTCGCCCGGACGTAGCGAAGGGTCCAGTATGTTCTCACCTTTATGCTATAACTACTATGATAGGACCCACAAGGTGGTGTGTGACGTTATCGTCGGCATATTGACCACTGATAACCAGTATACCCAGAGACTAATGTTACAAGTCTCAATTTGTTTTAGATCTCTACTGCGGCATCCAGCACTGCTTCACGAATGTGTATTGCCCATACGACCGCTTATGATGCATCATATAAGCGAGCTCAATTCATAGGATGTCAACTTCAAACTTGCTATTCCATCAAATAAAACAGCCCTTGCGTACATTGTAACACTAAAACTTGTCTTGGACTGATGCTGTCTCACTAGTAACTTGTCATTGTTGATAAAATGTTGCAACCCCAAGCTCGTCCACAATAGAGCCACAATTTGCTATCTGATAAATTCTGTCCAAATCATCAGTTTCAGAAAAGTGTACAACCGCACCCGATGAACATTAGGAACCTTCTCAACTATCGAGATGAGGATGTTGTCACATTTCTACCAGACCTGGAAAAAGCAATTCATGAGCATCGATATACGGAGATCAATGATGCCACTGTGGTGAAGATGAGAGTAAGGAACTTGCTCGCATTTCCTGCGACCGAAGCACATAGGGGTAATCCACTCACTAGAAACCTTCATATGCAGCATGGAGATACCAAGGACCATATCATGACGACTTTGTAGCGGGTGTAGGCCAACCTAAGAGCTATCAGAACTCGCAAAACTGGTGTTGAAAGGCATCCAAAGCTATTAAGCATAAGAAAAAGTAGCATGTTTTGACGGTCACAGAATTGCCGGACCCGTGCTATTGAGCTTTGACGAATTCGTCATCCACGAGATCCTTTATAGCAATGGAATCGTTTGCAGCAGTGGCCTCCTCTAGAATAGCTGGCAATCGCTGATTTGGGCGAGACGGAGGGCTACGCTGCGGATCCTGCAGTGTCTGAGGCAACTGGCGCTGTTGCCGGTTAGACATCGCTCCATGTCGGAATCGCAAGCCAAACTACTTGCAAGATGTCCACCTTATTCTCCATGCGTTGCGGTGGAGGGTGGTCAGAGGAGTGATGATAGTAGGTCTCCAAGTTCCGAACGGTCCCACCATCGGAAGACAATGTCGTATGTAAACAACATGCTGGAGCATATTTTGGAAGTGACTGTGTGGTTGCTTGCATGCTGTGATCTGAATGTTGGTGCGCTTAATTGTGAGTTGAATATGATGTTGACTTACAGTAAAGTAGAGTAAGTGGTTGTGATGGTGCAAATAGCCAATTGATGCGGAACTTGCCTTAGCTGTTTACCAATTTAGCGGATAAACACTTTGGTCCCAAGGTCTCAGTTTAGACACGTTCTCTTGTAGATGTGTCAACTTCGTGTCCCTTCAGGAGGCGACAAGAAGGTGGATTTGCATCCTCTGGTTTTCACTATGCGTAGCATGTATATTGGATCGTGTACATCGTGGAGTTGTTGTTTGAGCAGAAGAAGCACGTTCCATGAGCCAAAGTGCTTCGAAGGATTTCTTGTCTCAGACGTGACCAAATGATACTCTCGTGATCAGCTAAGGCTCATAAGTTTGATGGGGCAAAGGCAATGTTCGTGTTGCTAGTAGCTGTTTGAATCGCGTGTTTTCTTTACCAGCGTTTTTGGTGAACAAACAAGTTTGCGAGCGATACCATATCGGCTATGAAACCTGACATAGCCTTAGAGGCTAGCTCATATACGCCATGGGGTCATCTTCAAGTCAAATAGTGTGGTAATTGTAGTCTAGTGTACGAGTGGCCATGTATCGCAAAAATGAAAAACATGCGAGGCAATCGAAAGCTTAACGGAATACTGAATGGTAAAACGACGGCTTGAGCAGACTTTCATATCTTTAATCTTGTCCTCTACATCCGAAGATTCAGAAAGTGATCATGCATCTGTAGTTTTGCTCCATGTCGTCTGATCTCCGATGATGTTCATGTCAGTGTTTAGTCGGTCGGAGCATTGCCCCCACATAAGTTTATATAGAGTCTCGCGACATGACTCAAACAGAAGTATCGCTTTACTCTCTTGCTCTAAAATTAACAATGCATTGTTCAAGAAAGGTGTTATTTCGGTTATTATTCATCGGGAATGAAGCAGACATGCAGCGATGTAAGGCTAGATGATGAATGTATTTGGAAAAGAATGTTATCGGCATGACCACCAATTAAGCCATGCATACGTTGAGTTATGCTTATGCATTGTAAATTGATGACCATGCCAATAACTTTAACGACTAGACCAGTTACAGTTTCAGTACAGTATGGTCGTGATTGCAGCTTTTTCGCTAAGTGGTGCTTTCGCAATTCAGCAGAAGTCGTATGATGGCATGTCTTTGACAGGCTGTACAATTACATAGGCAGACATGTATTTAGAATTGGTGCAACAGCGAAACTGAGTAACGCTGGCATTGCAATCATCTGAGGAATATGTTGGCTGTCTGGCTACCATTGTGTGCAACTGCTGAACGACAAAAGACTACACCCTACGACTAAGATATATCGATCAGTTTTGACATCGATACGGCGCTAGCAATCGCTTTCACCGAATTCAAAGCATATATATTCTACATATGCTGCTGTGTCTGCTCTCAGGAACTGAATGGAACTAGATCTTTGAGTGCATTGATGGCGTGATTAACAAATTTGCTGGTATCATCAATACATCTCCAACTCTGCAAGCTGTAAACCCTAGCGATAGATGTCGTAGAAAAATAACGTACGATCACAAAGAGCAATTTTCAGTGGCTCCGCTTGCCACGCATATGTCATTTGTTAATGTATTGTAGAGATTTCAAGAACCTGAATCGTTGCAGCTCCGATCAGATACTAAAGCACATTTTATTTCTGCATTCAATGCGTACTGCTTCTATAATCACAATAATAGATTTGTTTCATTGTTATCATTAGCAACCGAAATACTCGATGAAAGTCAGTAGAGGATTTGTAATGTATAGGATTTAGAGTCGAAATCAGATACCGATGCTGTTTGACCGCTCTATTGCGACTTGCAAATAGGAAAAGCTCTACTTGATTTGGCTCTGACTTCAATTTGATTGGCAAATTGATTGCATTGAGACAGTGTCTCGATACGAGACAGTGAATTGGGATACTATTCAGTGCTGAAATCTGATACTATTTGCATAAACTCATCGAAATGCCAACCTCTCTCTATAACGACATGTATAATGACCATTGAAGATTCTTTGGAGCATTTATCCGACGGCGGGTGGGCAATAAAAAACGCATTTTCTTTGCCCTTTCCACCAAAGGGTTCATAGCCGCCCATTTTAACAATTGCTCTATTATAAAGCAAAGACGTAAGCAAGAAGTGAGGGGATCGAACATGGAAAACACGATGCCAAAAGTAGACCCCTTACCATTACCAAATGGAGACAATCATCAATATAGTTTGAATTTCTTTCTATCTCAAGAAAATGTTGTCGTCTCGACTGACTCCATTGGAATAAAGAAGGAGAAGAACAAGATCTTTCGCTGTACATTTCCTGGCTGTGGTCGTGAATTTCAATTGAAAGGGAATTTAAAACGACATGTGAATATTCATAAAGGTGAGAAGAAATTTGCGTGTAAATTTTGCAATAAATGTTTTCTTCGTAAAGCAGATATGGAAGTCCATTATCGTGTTCATACGGGTGAAAAACCCTATCGTTGTAAATATAATGAATGTGGGAAGTGCTTTGCCCGTCGCTCTGATTTATTAAGTCATGAACGTACACACACGTACGTCTTGTTGTTATTGTTGTTGTTGTGGTGGTGGTGGTGAATTGTACAAGTAGATGACGATGTAGTTGTGGTTTTCAACTTCTTTTTCGTTTTTTGTAGAGGCAGAAGGCCTTATGCATGCACATTTTCTGCTTGTGACCGCAGGTTTGCACGCAAGTTTGATCTTCACAAGCATCAGCGTCTACATGAAGACCAAGCTGACACTTTTGGAAAGAGTAAAACCAAGAAGCGCAAGTTGTCATCGTGTCAAACACTTGCTTCGACACGTAACGAGAGCTGCGACTGTCCAAGTGACGTTGCAACGCCTTTCATTGGTGGAGCAACGTCATCCAATGCAGCTTTGACCGCTGATGTCTTGCTGCCTGGATCAGCAGCTACGAAAACCCCAGTTGCCAGAACGATGGCAGCGGGTCGTCGCAAGATGTCAGCTACTGCTGCGTGCTTAGACACTCCAACAAGACCGTCACGATATGAACTCAAGTGTCCGGAGAACCACATCGACTCGCCACCTGCATGCCTTGCTGCGCTTTCCTCGTTGGACGCTTTCTTGTTGTCACAGGAAAGCTTGGATATTTCTCGTCCATTTTCACTTGACGCGTTCCCACCGCACTGTCCTTCGACAACGATCGGAACAAGTTGCTGTCCAGCACATCTCGAGCTGAGACCTCCGCCACCTGAAGGCAGTTTGGTGTCTACTGAATCAAAGATGCCTCATGGACCCGATATGATGGACCAGCTCTTTACGACATTCCCGTCCGCTTCGAGCAACAATGCGCTCGCACCTAGGGACTTACAAGACTTGGAGCCTAATATGGCGGGTGAAATGTCATTCATCAGTAGTTCTTTTACACACTCATCTCAGCCTGGTTTAGTGGGCAACTCGACGGGTCAGACAGTTACTGAGTCCAGCTTGCCTTTCAGCACGCCGAGCGCAAAGGGATCGACTTTCAGTCCTGACAGACTGCTCTCCCTCTCGACTGTCGATGCAGCTTCGGTTCGTAAAACGATGGCGTCTAGTGCTCAAGCACATTCATCAGCTTTACCTGGCAGTCCTGTAAACTTTGGGAATGTCAGTTTAACCGACCTGAACACCAGTTCCGCAGGCGCTGTACCAGCTGCCGCTCCAGTCAAATTTACCGTTGAGAAGGCATGTTTTTCAACGCCAACGTCGTCGTTGCTGGACTACTCGCGGCATAATCGTTCGTGTGGACACTTGTCCATCCAACACGGAAACCACCGCGATTATGTTGTGCAGAACCACCTCGTTTGTCAAGACAGCGTGACGAAACTTGGTGTAAAGCAGCGTAGTTCGTCTAGCGCAAAAGCAGAACCTAAAGCGGGGGCCTCAAAGTCTGTCAAATGCACCTCGCCGAAAGATACTCATCGCCCAGGTTGCGGCCACCTTCCCGTGCGCCACAATGATCACATTGACTATGTCGTTGAGGACAACTTAATTTGCCAGCAGGCTAGCTGGCTTGAGGACGATAATCTGGAATTGCTTGGTGACGACTTCTGGGACTTCTACGGTGCCATTGACGCCTTTCCGACCAATTAAGAAAGTCCAAGGCTGCCCGCTGAAGTGCAAATATATTGGCTATATTTGCTTAAACAAGTTGTTAGGTTCTGACCACTATCCTCACAGCAGAAATGTTTATTAATTTGGCGCCATAAGACGCGCACCTTCGCCTCCCGTGGCGTTGTTGCCACGGTATCGTGCGACACGATATGACGGGTTGAACGCCCAGGAAAGTGCATTTAACAGACCTTGCGAGTAAAAGCACAGCTCTGAAAGATACAGGCAAAAGCCCGACGTGACCCAGTCTGCACCAAACACTTGCAGCCAGCCAAATAGAGTCGGAAGGAAGAGGGCGGCAACGGTAGCCACGCAACTGGATAGCAATTGCCCACTGCTACGACGTGCACGTTCCGCTTGTGGCGGGAGCGACTGCCCCGAAAAGCCGGTGACCACAAGATACACTGCAATTCCAGCAAGCAAAATTGTCAGCGTCGCTGGAAAGTAAAACAAGAGGAGGCGAGCCCAACCGGGGCTATGGCCCACAAAACATGCTTGGCATGCACCAGCTCCATCCGGCAGGAAACCAATTACTCCCGTGAACAACGAAAATGTTCCTGTGACCGTCGCATAGCACCAGGTGACAACATGATACACCATTTTGTACTCTACAGTGCTAGAGTGAGTCCAACGTGCTGCTCGAATTAGCTCCAACCCAACCGCAGCACTAAAGAATAAAATAGCGGTGCCCAAGAACTGCTGCATGCTTCTGAGCAAAGCACAGAATATTATATGCGTTTGGTGTACCCGCCACACTCCGGCAATCCAGAGAGTCAAGCTGTAGCCCAGCGTACACAAAGAAAGCCAGAAGAATAGCGAGAACGAGCGGAAGCTATGCAGATTCGGGTACTGCACAAAAGAAGACACAATGAAGCCCGAGCCAACGAGTGACAGGCCCGACATGAACAACACCAAAACGGCGTGGGTGTCCATATCGTACATGTTGAAGCTGTTCTCGAAGAATGGCGATGATTGCTGAGCAGACGGCAGATCATTTCCATTCGTGCTTACAATACTGCCCTGAGTGTCCACACCGCACAGTGCCGAGTTGGCCGGACACGCAAAGCCCACTTTTTTCTCCTTGACGTCATAAAGTGAATAGAATTTCTTCATAAACACATCGCCCAGCACCCACATTTCCTGTCCACTCGGCTGCACTAGCACGATGCACGTTAATCCAACACAAAGTGTGTAATCGGATCCTTCCAAAACGTAAAAGTGACGTCCTCCCACGCCAATCCGCAACGGCGGGAAGTCTTCCGCCGCACACAAAAAGCACTGAAAGCCGTACTGCACAAATCCGCAGTAACAACCCTGATTCTGCGCGAACGTAGCTACTTCATACAAAAAGTTCAAGTACAGCGTTCCCGGGATGCCAATGAGTGACGTGCCCGAGTCTACAAAGGCTACACACCCATCTGAACATGCATTGCGGTGCTTCCCCACATTAACACTATGAAGATGAATTCTCCAAAATGTCCACTGTCCGAACTGAGGTAGTACATCCGTCATTTGCCAAGACGCCTTCAGCGCCCCCAACAATTCCTCGTCGTAGCCTCCCAAGTGTAATTCCGACCCGTTTGTATTTGGATTTGGACTCAAGTAGAAAGCAAAGACTGGATCCAGTTCTGAGTATTGTTCCAATAAAGCAAAAAACAGTGGTGGATGTGAAAATGTCGACAAGCCGTCAAAGCCAAGACCGAGCAAGCCGTCCGCCTTCATCATGGCCATAGATTCCTCTTCCGTCTTGACAATTCCTACAGTTGTATCCTGTATCTCAAACTGCGCTATGTGCACGACATCCTCACCAAAATGACCACTTACTTTACCACTGCCATACTGCACAGCAAAGCCAGGATGTGTCTTGGATTCGTGATACGTGCTTGATTGCGCACGATTAAATCGGTACAGACCTGCGCAGGCTTCACACTTTTTACTAGGGACCCATAAATCACTTGATCCTGTATCAAAGCACACGAGAATTTCCTGTGGTGGAGTGCCAATAGCAATCGGACCAAAGAATTGAAACTCCATAAAGTTTTCCAGTGGCACATGACCCGCAGCATGTAACTCCTGTGCATTATGCAGAATATCCTGTACTCGTAAATTCTTTTGATCGTTATTATACTCAGTATGTACGATACTGAGGCTGTTAAGAACGTTCTCCACTTCCAATGCAGCTGTCTTATTGCTAGTCCTAAGCTCGCTTGGCTGTGTGTGGAACTGAAGAAGATTCTGAGCACTACGTTCGTGCTGTGTGGCCGTCAAAGGTATGTGCACAATAGAATGGACATTCTGAATAGACAGCGCAGCCAGCGTTGCTACTACAAGCGCTGGTATTGGCATGACAGATCTCTTACGTCTGTATTGTTGCAAATTGCAGAATGAGATGATAATAGTCAGGTTTCACGTTGGTTTTTGTATTAGCCAATGAAAAACCTCGATGGGTTAAGTCTGCCGTGTCGCAAAAGATCGCGACGTTCTAAATCTTAGAAAACCACATCAACAAATCCCGGTACATTTGGCAGTCATACCGGTATGATCGTGTCTGTCACTATTTGATACAATGTCACTATTTGATGCAATGTCACTATTTACGCTACAAGCTTGCACTGACATTCACTCCTATTCCGCATTACAAAATATGCGCGCAAAGACGAATGTAGCGAGCGCAGACGTGAAGCCGGTATTTAATCTACAGGAACAGCTGAATTGGTTAGAGAAAGTAATGAATATATAGATCAGACGCTGGTCTTTCTAATCACGTATGTTTCACGCATTAACAGTTTCTCTCTCCTTCGCCATTTTCGTCATTCTTAGGCACCTAAAAGCTCACTGCAGCAATGTCTTAATTCCCACGTCATTGAAACATATCTTGACAGTTGTAAGACTAGAAAACAAAGGTAAGAAGTTGTTGTATATATAGTGAAGTTATGTGGTGGTGTCACGTGAGTAAAACTGTTTGTTTTGTATGATTTGTGTGCTTTTTGTGCAGTTTGAATGATGGAACAGCCGATAAAGAAAACTGTTTGGAGACGATACAAAGAGGACGAGAGGCACTGGAGAAGTTCCAAGCTTTACGTGCGAAATCAAAGGCTTCTACGAAACTTAAAGTGATTCCGACGCCAAGGATTGTCCTCGGGACAATGCCGGTGATTAATGCGACACCAGCTTCCGTGTCTGTAAATCCGTTGGAACACTTGGATGATTCGTCTGGAGATTGGAAAACAGGTGGAGCGGATCATACCTCGTCTTCGGCGGGATCACTTGCTCCTGCTGGCGTAAATGTTGTTGTGGATCTGACACGGACGACGACGTTGTTGCCCTCTGGTCGCGCTTCGACAACATGTCAGAAGAATGATGAAACAGATATGCAAGCGCGTACTACAATGCAGCAATCATCGTATACAGAACTAGATGATGATGCTGATAGCTTGTTTGATCAGGTGGATGTAGATGCTCTGGTCGCTAACCATCAACGTGCACAGCAACAGAGTCATCGACTTGTTCCACAGAGTATGTTGGTGTCAGACGAAAGGTTTATGTCTCCGCTACCTAGTGCGTCTCAGGGGGGCCACAGGTGCTGTGATGGTAGAAGAACTGCGTCAATCAATTCAACAAACGAGGGAGAATCTTCGCAAAGTTCGTGAGGAATGTGACGACGCGTCGCTCGAGGGAGACGTGCCAGATTTCATGCAAAAACGTCGTTCAGCGCTAGAACGAGAACTGGAGCAATTAAGCAGGAGGTACAGAGAGTGCAAAGGCACAGCAAAAGCATCTCCACTCAGTGAGGATGTGTCTTCGATGCAAGCTCCGCTTCAACATGTGGAAATGCCGCAAGTGGATAAGAGAGGACCTGACGGACAAAACAATAATCCGACTTGCTCTTGTGGAATGACAACTGTGGAAGCTCGAGTACAACACGGATCAAACGCTAATCGACTCTATTATCGGTGTAGTACGTGTGGGTTTAATTCTTGGGTTGACGGTAAATTTGGAAATGAAGAAGATCATTATAATAATAATGGAGATAATCGGACTAGGCAGATTGTTGTAGAACAGCCCTGCGTTTCTAGCGATCCACGTGTGACCTCGAACATGCAGCGTGCCAAGCGAGTACTCCGCGACGTGTTTGGCCATAACGCGTTTCGACCTAATCAGGAACGGACAGTCATGGAGGCATTTAGTGGTCGTGATGTGTTTGTGCTAATGCCCACGGGAGGCGGTAAAAGTCTTTGCTTCCAGCTGCCTGCTTGTATAGATGATGGCGTTACAATTGTGATTTCTCCTCTCGTGTCGCTAATTCAAGACCAAGTTCAACAGCTGGAGGCTCTCGATGTGGGTGTTGCGAATTTGAAGGGTGACCAAGACTACGATAGTGTACAGCGACCAATTATCTCGGAGCTCTTTTCGAACCGCATTACGATTAAAATGCTATATGTGACTCCTGAAAAAATTGCTTCAAGCAACCTGCTGAACAACTTGTTTGAATCGCTCGAGAAGCGCGGCCTCTTGGCTCGGTTTGTGATTGATGAGGCACACTGTATTAGTCAATGGGGTCACGACTTTAGGAAAGACTATTTGAATTTGGGAACGCTACGATCAAAGTTTCCGTCGGTGAGTGGTTATTGTGTTGGATCTTGTTTGTAATAGAAGGCACGCATAACTTGCGTATGTGGATTATCAGGTACCTATCATGGCTTTGACGGCAACAGCCAACACGCAAACTGAAGCAGATATTGCCAGAAATTTGAAGCTGAGAAATCCGTTCGTCACTCGTTCAAGTTTTAATCGGTAAGCTCATGCGATATGCGGATGACACATTACCTTTCTAACCATAAACATGCAACAATGGCAGACCAAATTTGACATATGACGTACGCAAGAAGACTCCCAAGTTCATGACGGAGATAGCAGATTACGTCCGGAAACACATCGATGACTCTGGAATTATCTACTGGTACGTCTGCAGCCACGATTTAGAATTGCTGTGACGTATTGTTGTGGACCAATCTGCTTGTATCGTTTGTTCAAACAGTCTATCGAAAAAGGATTGCGAACAAACAGCTGAGAAATTGATCAAGGCGTTGGGATTTGAAAGCACTCGAAAAGCAAGTCAGATCTCGTTCTACCATGCAGGGTTAGAACCTTATGACCGTGCTTCTCGCCATCATGAGTGGAGCAAAGGCAAGATTAAACTTATATGCGCCACGGTAGCCTTTGGAATGGGGATCAACAAGCCCGATGTGCGCTACGTTATTCATCACACGATTCCACAGTCTGTGACGCACTACTACCAGGTACGAGCTTTGCTACAATTTCGTGTCTACGGTAATTGATTGTCTTTGGTTTCATATGTGTTATTACAGGAAGCTGGACGAGCAGGGAGAGACGGCGAAAAGGCAAATTGTATTCTCTACTATTCCTTCTTGGATTTGGTATGATTGGTGTTTCCCTTTAATAGCTTTCAGTATCTTCACTAACGTCCCTCATATTTGTGCAAACTAGACTCGACGACGCAAGCTAATCACAAAGGATCGCGAAAACATGCAACATCGAAATGTGCATCTGCAGAACCTTCGGCGTATGACAGAGTTTTGCGAGAATCAAGTTGAATGCCGACGGACATCTCTTCTCGAGTATTTTGGTGAACATTTTTCCAGCGAGCAGTGCCACGAAACTTGCGACAACTGCAAGAATAAGGCTTTGGGAATCACGTTTGAGAAGTCGGACGTAACTGAGGACTGTATTTTGCTGGCAGATATGAGTAAGATTGTACTGATTCTTGAGATGTGTGAAAAGGTTTATGTTCTAATTATTGGCGCTTGTTAAACAGTCAAAACCCTCCAGGAAACTCGAGATCCCGCGACACTAGTGCAAGTTGCTCAGATATTTCTCGGCTTGGTGGTCAAGGGAAGAGAGTGGAAGCAAGATCAGTTTTCGCAGCTGAAAGGGTTTGGCAAAGGCAAGGGACGCTACTCACGCAGTGAAGTGGAGCGCATTTTGTATCACATGATACTTCGGCAATATCTACGTGAAGTGGTAAGCTTACGTTTTTCTATTGTTCGGGACAAAGCATGCAATTATTTAACATTTCTATCTGCTACAGGATCAAACTAACGCAAAAGGCTTTACGACAACCTTCGTATCTCTTGGAATCAACGCAAATCGACTTCATCGTGGTGAACGAGTTCGCATTGTATGCAAGACAAAGTATCAGTCGCATGCTTCTGTCGGAGACGGTACTCTACAGAGTAAGGTCTCCAAGAAAAAGGAGCCAAAGAAAACTGCTTCGAAAAAAGCAAACGCAACCGATAAAACGTGGAAGGCGATTACTAAGAAGAGAAAAGCGAGTGCGAAGGACGCTGTTGAAGAGCTTAGCGATGACTATGATGATGATGTGGTGACGGTCGTTGCGCCAACGTCGACTACGACACAGTATTCTCTTATTCCAGAGAGCACGTCTTCAAGAAGGTGTGTTATTTGTTCGTTTTTCATACTCTGCGTGTAGACTGCCTAACCGACCATCTTACTTGAATACAGAATCCCCGAAAAGCACGTTGAAACACTTGCCCAGATGCTCAAAGATTGGCGTGCAAGTGTGTGTGATAGCGAAAATGTCATGCCGTACCACATTCTCACGACTGCGGGTATTGCTGCAATTGCCAATTCGGTTCCCGTTTCAAATGCGGAGCTATTGAAAATCGACGGTGTCGGGCGCATTCGCGTAAAGAAGTATGGTGAAGCCATCATCGGTATTGTCAAGAACCATCTCAAAAAGGTTTGCTACTGCGGTATCTTGGTGTTTTGTTGACCGATCTGTTTTGGAGTCTGACTGATATTCCTGCTTGTACAGTACAACTTGACACCAACTCCAGTACCGACACCCCGCTCAAGCAACGTGCTGGACAGCCTTGACGCATTGGATTCCGATGTCGAAATTGTCGAAGCACCTCCAACAGCCAAGTCGTCTCCATTTTTCCAGGACAAGAATACGGCGACTACCTCGGTGGTGTCTACCCGGCCCAGCGCAAGTGCAAGTATTGACGATGGTCTTGATGACATCGATTGGGATGCATGGGATGCAGACGTGTTGAACCATACAAGTTCTAGTGCTACTCGCAAACGCTCGAGGGATACGTCAGGAACGACCTGGACATCAAAGAAGCGAACACTCTGATGAACCGATTTCATCTGCGGCCTCCATCATCCACCATCATTATTACGTGCGCAATATCACAATTTTAAAGTTGTACCAGCTGCTTTCTAGATCAGGTCAAGGGAGACAAAGCTTGCATATCTCTACAGAACGATGTTATCAATCAGGCGGCATTTGCCGAGTTTGACAGCGACGGAAATAATGGCTCCTTCGAGTGTGTCAACCTCGGCTACCTCCTGCATCGTCTTCTTCGATCCCACTGACACATAGTCGATGGCTGTCACAAGTGGTTCACGTTTGTACTCATTACAAACAGTACGACGCAGCATCTTTGCATCAATCGCCGTTTTGCCGTCATTCTTTGCTTTCTGGAACAATTCCTGCGCAAGTACAAGACCATGATGCAGCACACATGCCGCCTTGCGTTCCATAGGGTTCAAGTATTGATTACGAGTCGAGAGTGCAAGCCCATCCGCTTCACGTACAATCGGCACAACTTCAATCTCCACTGGTATGTTCAAGTCCAAGACCATTCGTTTGATAAGCACAACCTGAGCGGCATCCTTTTGCCCAAAAAACGCGTGCGTGGGCTGCACAATATTGAACAGCTTGGTAACCACAGTTGCAACGCCACGGAAGTGACCTTTACGGCATTGGCCCTCTACCAAGTCATCGAATCCTTCGGGGTCCACATAGCAGCAATGGTACGGTGAGTATATTTCCTCAGCTGACGGAAAAAAGACCAGATCGACACCCTCTTGTTGCAACAGGGTCATGTCGTTCTTAAAAGTGCGCGGATACTTCGAATAGTCCTCACTTGGTCCAAATTGCGTTGGGTTTACAAAAATACTGGCAGCTACATAGTTACATGAACTACGTGCCTGCTTGATTAATGACACATGTCCATCATGAAGACCCTGATATGATACGGGATACGATTTCTCATATCTTTTATTAGAGAAACTATTAGAAATTAGAGTGGATATATATACTATATAGCAAAAAATATAACGCACCCCCCATTGTAGGAACAAGGCCTAACGTAGCATCCAAGGGAAGCGCACGACGCGCGTGACGGAAACCATCTATTGTCTCAAGAATTTGCGGTGATTGAGTGCCGGACGTGAAAAACCGACTCGAGAGTGATAGCCGCGTGAGCTGCAAGCGGCAAGTGCCGATCATAGCAGAAAGTCACTGGCTTTTAAGGACGTGTTGTTTAGAGTGCAGTAATATATCGACAAAAGGACTATCCCCGTCATAGATGATTGTTGAGTGTCACGTGGACCAAAATGGAAGTAATTTATGCTGCTTTTGTCCTATAAATTACTAGATTCACACAATGTTGGATATTCCCAGGGCAATTTTGCATGCGTACAGATTTTTTAATGTACGCACAGACAGGTCAAGAAGTATCATGAAAAAAAGACGCTCATTGAAAACGACTGATTTGTACCTTTCAACATCAGGAGGTATCTACAATTAACAACAGGCGGTTCTCAACATCATTTTCAATTCATGGTCTTCAAAATTTCATAAGTGAGATGAAGAGCGGGAATCAAGTGCATTTTCTTCACGTGTATTCAAACCTTATGCTTCTGATCTGATTGTGAGTGTAAGTGTCGAGGTTTTGCACTAATTTTCGAGACATCTTGAAATTGACGACCGACTGTATTTTACTTGAAAAATGAACCTTTGGCGCTTTGTTTTAGAGCTGTGAAAACGTCTCGAGTTGTTTCTAAAGGAAGGTCCGTGTGTCACTTGAGAGAAAACTCCTCCTTCTTTAGCACGATCAGTTTTAATTAGTTACGCTCAGTTTTCCTGCATCTTGAAGTAATTTGCGTTTTTTATCACGGTTGCATCGCTCTACACGTCACTGTATCGTAAACGGCTCTTCTGATCGGGTCTGCAGATAATACTGAGAGCAAGCAGCAGCCGCATGAATTCTCCAGACTTTCATCTCCATGGACTGCTATGTGGTCTGTCTGGCTTCAAATTCGACAATCAACACTAGATACGAGGTTTGAAAGCAGTCATGACTCTAGTTTTCAATACGAGGAGAGTGATTCTAGGACTGCTGTGATTTGGTTTTTGCTGGAGATGGACTCGAGTCACACAGTACGACACTTGTCGTTACAACGAACTCATGTTAACGTAGCAATAGTTTGCATTGCCATGAAGTGTACTTACTCTTTATTACTACTGGTCACTGTAGTAACAACTTACAGTCATCATGAGATCATCACTATGTTACAACGACGTTATTAGATACCAACTCCTCTTGTCGAAAGGAAGAAAAAGCTGACTTGATGCATCGTCGATCACCGTCTCGTTTGCTCGTATGTGGAGCACACCACGATGGGTCACGACGTGGATGGGACGACGGTACCGTCGCGGGGCTTTTCATTGCCGCCACGCGCGCTCTCTGCGCCGTCTGTAGCTTTGCCAAGCAGCTTGGAACGATCCCCGTCTTAGTATCGGATTCGCCATCCCCTTGAGGTTTTTTTCCTACTCGTGGTCTTGTCATGACCCCATCATCCTCGAGTATATCCACGCGTCATAAACGCATTAAAGTATGTGTTCGCCTCCGCCCCTTCACTCGAACAGAGAAGCTCAAGGCTGGTGGGAAAGCAGCTTGGACGTGGTACAACAAACAATAATGCAATTCCTCATTGCGTTTCAACAAACCGAATTTTCATTCAAGTGAAAAGGACTCATGATGTTTTTCTTTGTCTCTTTGTTGTAACTCCATTGTCGTTGCTCAAACTTCCTAGGCATGAAACTACGCTATATCAACAGATTTTTCCAGCTCAGATTCCATCACGGGTAGTTGTTGGTACAAGTGAAAATAAAGAGACGAAACGATATGGTGGATCCACATCCTCATCAAGGTCTTCGGCGTTACGAGATTCAGCAGCTACTTTACCTTCATCCTATTCGTTCGACCATTTGTATCCTCCAGTGACGAAAACCCAAACGGTTTATGAAGAAACTGTCAAGGTGAGGATGATAGATACATGTGTACTTGTCGATCCAATACAGTGAGCCACTTTGGGATTTCGCCACGAGCGTTGTTTCAATGTGGCTCACTCGTACGTTAGCTGCTATTGACGTACCAAAGGATGGGCTTCGTGTCCAACGCGAGTTTTTATCCTTGACACAAAACAACGACGGATAAAGTTTTTCAACATCCAATAACTCACTCATTCCGTGCTGTTTCCAAACGTTTTTTATGACGTAGGATGCTATCATGGCAGCTACAGAAGGTTATCACTCATCTGTTTTTCTCTATGGACAAACGGGCACGGGAAAGACGTATACAATGCAGGTTTGTCGTTTGTAATGTTGTTGTTTGTATTCAAGAAAGGCTGTATGAAGTACCTGACAAATCAATCTTTGATGCGAAATATTCATTTGCATTTGCTTGCTGGTAGGGTGGACGAGGAGATCCAGGTATCATACAGCTAAGTGTGCAGGATATCTTTGAGCATATTGCACAGCATCCGAGTATGGAGTTCTTGCTGCGCTTTTCGTATTTGGAAATTTACAACGAACAGATTCACGATTTACTTGCGGCGGGAGCAAAATCCGACATCAAAATCTATGATGTCCACAACCGAGGAGCTACACGAAGCGAAAACAATCGCGATGGGTTTGTTACCAAGGACGTAGTAATTAAAGGAATACGTGAGGAGATTGTGCTGTCTACAGAGCACGTGCTTTCGCTTGTGGAAGTGGGAAATTTGCACCGTCACATGGCTATGACCGAATCAAATGATCAATCTTCTAGGTCTCATGTGGTTTTCCGAATGGTAAGTAATCGTGTTGTTTCTTTATAGCTTTGCTTTACTTGTCAAGTCCGTGTAACGTGGATAGCCCTCAGCAGACAGGGAGCTTCTCGACTTGACTACATCCTGCGATAGAGTAGGACAGTGTTCGAAACTGACATAATACTAACATTGCGGTATACTTCTGTCTGCGTTTATGCTTTTGCTTGCTTGAAGGTGATTGAGAGCCAAGCGAAACGGAATAGTCGAGACCGAGGCGAAGTCACGCCAGTGCGCTCCGCAACCTTAAACATTATCGATCTAGCCGGTTCTGAAAGCGTCCGACTCGCCAACACCACAGGGCAGTCGTTAGAGGAAGGTAAGTTTATCAACCGCAGTCTGCTTACGCTCGGACACATCATCTGGAAGCTCAGTCGCGATCGACACAGGACAGGGCTCGGTAGTAATCAAACTCCCAGCACACCGCATCTGCCGTATCGCAATTCTAAGCTCACTCGACTTCTGCAACCGTCGTTGGGTGGCCAAGCACAAATCGCGATTGTTTGTACTGCATCACCATCAGTCGAGTGCTTAGCGGAAACGCACAACACGTTGAAATTTGCAAGTCGTGCACGAAGGGTGCGCAATCGTGTGGTTGTAAACGAAAGTCTGGGCGAGTCAGCATTGCTGCGAAAGTATCGAGCTCGAATACAAAAACTGGAAGAACAGCTTCATCATTTACAGATACGTCAGCGACCAAGAGATTCTACCCAAATGAGCAGTTCCAATCAAACGACGCTGAACGAGCGCCAGATGGAGCTCAAATTTGCCATCAACAACATTAACAGGGTGATCCTGAATTCCTCGCAAGCACAAGAGCGACCTGACGAGGAGGAGCTTGCGTCTGTGGATGAAACCACATTTCCTGCAATGGTAACACCCCCTGGAGCTGTAGAAGTACGTCAGCCACCATTACCTACTCAGTCGACTCGACGAGGTGAATACGCCACAGGTCAAACACAACGAAAACCAACCCCGAGGCAAGTTGCAGCTCGACAAGAAGCGGAGGAGATAAAACTTCATCCTTCTCAGACGCAGTCGAGGGCAGCATCTCGGCCGTTACTGCGCAAAACACCAGTACACAGTACTAGTAGTGTCAGTCTTAATCAACCTGATCCGAAAGAAGAAGAAGAAGAAGAAGAAGAAAAAGGCAGGGAGGACGAGAATCATGCACGTCGTCGACTCGTTCAGACGACAAGCTCCGTCAACACATCAAATAAGACACTGATTGGGAGTGGTGGGAGTGCAAGCACAAAGACTCTACCGCTCTCATCCTCGTCATCTCGACACCTCACGGACAATGATAATGATATGGCAGAGACCAAAGAAGAAGAAGAAGATAGTGAACCTGAGCATGAAAAAGATGGACTGCAGGCGACTCGGTTCTATCCAGAAGCGATTACGCAAGACGTCGTTATTGATCCAGTGCCTTCAATTGCTCCATCCTCAAGAGCATTGACTAGCACTAGTCGTCCGTCTCTTACGTCAATGCTCATGACAAAGTACGTGAATGAATTATCAAAGATGAATCAACGAACAGGACGGTGGCAATATACAAATGATGACGAGCTATTCAAACAGAAAGATTTGCTCTCAGAATTTGTCCGTGGACTGGAAATTGCTCATGCTGAACAGGAGACACGAATGAGCAAAATTCGAGAATTAGAGTTGGAAAATCGTCGACTACGTCAAGTTGTACAGACGTTTGACGCGTGATTTATAATAGGGACGTTGTCACGTTTGGAGCAGCGGTAGATAGAGAGAGACAAGTGAAGACATTGGAAAGAAAAAACCCTATAGATTGTATAAGAGGTCATTGATGTTTTAACAGCAGAGAATAAGGGATTGAGAGCATTGAAATAGGGTCTTTATAGACGAAAGCTGATCTCGGTCGTTTTGGAGTGTTCTATTTCGTCACCTTATGAAATCTTATATAGGATGTCTGTCATGTTGTTACGAAGGCGTAATCAAGGCGTGCTCTATATTAAATAGAGATCGCTAATTTACAGTCGATTGAAGCTATTTAAAAACCTCAGCGCGTCTTTTTTAGTCCATTCTGCTATGCAGCTAAAACCTTGTTTAACATTGATAAGTAAATACTATTACAAATTTTACTCACAATTTAATTACCTGCTAAACTGTATATTCACCTTTCACAGTTAATATCTAGGAAGCGATGTAAAAAGTAGCATGATGAGCCTTTTAGATAGACGACGTCCCACCCATATCATCAGAATTCTTCCATCAATGTATCTACTCCATTGACTTCAAGTCTGACGCAACCGTAAAAGATGCCTCTGTACGCTCACGAATACCATCCACTGTAACGGTTGGTGCAATTTCAATCAACACGAGGCCTTTGCCATCTACCACGTCGAAAACTCCCAATTCTGTAATGATAGTGTTCACAACGTTCTTACCAGTAAGTGGTAGAGAACAGTCTTTGAGAATCTTTTTGGCCCCGCCCTTTGCATTATGCTCCATTGTAACTACGACACGATTACCACTTCCAACGAGGTCCATTGCACCACCCATTCCCTTCACCATTTTACCCGGGATAATCCAATTTGCTAAATCGCCGTTCTCTGCAACTTGAAGCGCACCAAGGATCGTAAGATGCACATGACCGCCACGAATCATAGCGAATGATTCAGACGATGAAAAAGTGGATGAACCTGGCAAAAACGTTACAGTTTCCTTGCCAGCGTTGATCAAGTCCGGATCTTGTGCGCCCTCGTTGGGATATGGCCCCATGCCCAGGAGCCCATTTTCACTTTGTAAGATTACCTTGACTCCGTCCGGTATGTAGTTGGATGCTAGCGTCGGCAAACCGATGCCCAGGTTTACGTACATTCCATCTTTCAATTCTTTAGCTGCGCGGCGGATAATGCGCTCACGATCTGGTGATATTTTATACTGCGAGTTCTGAAAAAACTTGACATTAGCCCAGCTCTGGCAAGCATTGTCAAGTGAATACAAGTCAAAAGTTTGACTCACCTTTGCATTGGAAAGAGTGAGTCTCTCAATTCGTTTCTCCATCGTGTTGGCCTTGAAAATACGCTGCACGTAGATGCCCGGCAAATGAACTTCGTCTGTTAGCAATGATGGATAACAACAAGCCATAACGTGTTACGAGTGTCACAAGCCTCACACGACTTCACCAATACCTGGATGAATGTCGCCTGGCAGCACCAGCTCCTCCACTTCTGCTATCGTAATTTGACCAGCTTTGGCTGCATCAGCATTAAAGTTGCGCGCTGTGCCTCGAAACACCAAATTGCCGTCGGTATCTCCTTTCCACGCCTTGACGAGCGCAAAATCGCCCGTGATTCCCTCTTCCATCACGTAATTCCGGCCTTTAAACTGCCGAACTTCTCGTGGAGCACTTGGAATGTCGATCGAACCATCTGACTTGAGTTTGATCGCAAATCCTCCTTCCTACAAGCATTTTCACCTCAATTAGCAAACAGAAAGACAAGTTGCTTCACTTGAGAGCTAGTACACACTTGAATGATGGTCCCATAGGCCGTTGGTGTGTAAAACGCTGGAATTCCACACCCACCAGCTCGAATACGTTCAGCAAGTGTTCCTTGCGGTGTAAGTTCGACTTCCAGCTCCCCAGTCAGATAAAGTTTCTCAAAAAGTGCATTTTCTCCCACATACGACGAGATCATTCGTTTAATCTACACAAAAGTTCGCATATAGTTATAACCTCAATCTATATATATATATATATGTCATACAAGTATCTCGATTGTCTACTGTATCGGTAGTACCTGACGTGTTTGAAGCAGCAGTCCTAGCCCAAAGTCGTCTACACCTGCATTATTTGATACAACCGTCAAATCTTTGGCTCCCTGTAATAATTAATACTTTAGTATAACCTAATTATAATACGGTTAATACTGGCTGTTTTGTACCAACCTGTTTTACCAATGCTTGGATACTATTTTCTGGAATACCGCAAAGCCCAAACCCGCCCACGATCCTGTCAAAATTTATACAAAGTAATACACTCCTAAGTAGCTATTAGCGTGGCTATTATATACTATCGATCCACCTACAGCGTGGACCTTGATGGAATATCGCCAACGGCAGTGTCAGCATTCTCATACACTTTATGGTATGATAAGAAACGAGCATGACCAGCTCGTATACGTAAACATGTAAGTACGCGAGCATTAAGTTGATGCAGCATTTGAAAGTGCATAAGATTTGGCAGTTTTTCAAATGACGTTATATGATTCGAGTTTACGACACTTCAAGGTGCTACTTCAACCCTGGTCACGCATCTCATCAGTATGTTTACGACCCGATATTTTTACGGTGAATCAAAATGACAAAATGCGTCTATATATCCAGAAACATCATCAATAATACAATAGCGACATGTAACCGATATACGAGTACTGGTCCACAAAACGTTCATAGGAGTCAGTACGATTCACGAATCTCTTCAATCCAATTGCTTCAAGCTCAAGCTCTAGGAAGAAAAAGAAGAAGAAGAAGAATGTTTACAAAACAAAACCTGAATGATCCAAAGGTTCAAAAGGAGGCACTTCAGAGCTTGGTCAAGACCATTCCCATCGTACCATTCAAAGGCGTCGCGTTTTATGACATTGGTGGTCTATTGGCAAACCCAAAAATGTTGCAACTGACCTTTGATCTGTTTGTACATGCCGTCACACCGTTAATGGATCAAATCGACGCCATTGGCTGCTTCGATGCACGTGGCTTTTTATTTGCACCATATCTTGGTGCATTCTTCCAGAAACGCGTCTTTATGCTACGTAAACCGGACAAAATGCCAAACGTAAGCGACACCATTGAGTACTTTAAGGAGTACAAGGGCGATCATAGCGACGGTGGTGGTGATCACTTGAGTATCCAAGCGTATACTGTTAACAAGGAAGATCGCGTAATCCTAGTGGACGACCTGCTAGCAACGGGTGGTACGTGTGAGGCCGGGATTCGCCTTGTACAGCAAGCAGGAGCCTCGGTCATAGCCTCTATTTTTGTAATAGAGATTCAAGCGCTGGGTGGTCGAGCACGCGCCATTAAGGCCAGTACGGATCATAAAGCTCAGATCATCTCGCTGCTTACGGAGAAGGATTTCTAGTGTCGCCATTTGGACAAGACTAGGGAGAAGCCGTCAAGTTGAATGCGGCGTGTACTGATGCTAGAAAAGCAGTGTCCGTTTGTCGCGAATGGAGCGATGTTTGTCGAGTTCTACCAACGACTTCATGAAGCATGAATGCAGGCCATCCACGACGAGCTGCTAAGAAAAGTGGTAACTGAGTTTCATCCAGCGCCCTGCGAAATCACTGCGATAATAACTTCTTAGGATATCAACGCTTTTGCTGAAATCAACCATTTTTGTCTGCGCTTGGATGAAACGGGATGCATCTCTATTGTTTGAAGTTAGTTTGCTCGATACAAGTTGGGATATAATGGTCGGCACAACCTCAGCTTCCTCTTTGGACCAAGGCGGCCTATGTTCGTTCCGCAGTCGTGCCACCTACACTGTAACATGCGAATAGTGCAATGGCTAATACATGCAGCAGTCTTTTTCCATACCGATAGACACTTGTTGAAGCGCGGTGTATGCAGATATCGCATACGCTATTATCGAAACGATGGCTGTCGTTGTCGACCACAGCAGTGAAGAGGGCTAAGCCCTTGTGGTTAGAGTCTAGTAGATGACAAAGACGCCTTCGATTGTTCATGTAGTGTTCATCAACAAGATGACGCAAACGGACATGCTCCTCACGCAGTGTCTCCTTGATTAACAACGTACTGATAAACATCTTGCGCAGCTTGACGTCTCTTCGACAACCGGCAGCCTTGGGAGTCTCATCTCTCTGGTAGATTGCTTTCAGAGCTAAACAAAATTGCTGCTTCAAAGTGTCGACTTCCTTTCGCAGGGTCTCAATCATGTTCTACATTGCAAATGCACACCAAGTAAGCACCTCAATTTGTCAAAGCTCACAAGCATAGCCGCAGCTAGTTTACGATCTTCTTGTAGTAGCAGCGCTTGACAATGAGTCTCTGTTTCATACGACGACCGAGGTGTGTCAGCTCTGAGAAAAGGAAGCGTGTACTCATCGTCTTGCCGCCGACTCCAGCTCTTTGAGGTAAAACATCACATGGCTTTATCATGTTCTTAATGGTCATGAGCTGCTGCGATGACCCGTAAAATGACAGCATAGGAGCGACTTCTTCGTGGCCACCTTCTCCTGCAGTCTAACTCCAAAGCAAATATATCACAGCATCAGGCAAAACTGCACAAACAGAATCGTGTCAATGACGGCTAGATCACACCTTTAGAGCAACAATCTCACTCAGGTCAAGGTTTGAACGAAACACGGTGCCTGGTTTAGTTTCCATGCAGGACACAATGTGCTCGTTCTCGTTAGCCATAGCAATCATTGCCATGGCCGCATCCTGATCTTCGTTGACCGTCGTTCGTCGTTCTGAAGCAGACCTGCTCACAATCGCATGACCGTGGGTCTTGCTATTCGGCAGTTGACTGTCATCCTCGCCAATGTTGTTCAAGAGATTCGCAATGCGCAACATATTCCTCTAGATAACGAACTAAGTGTAGTGTCTTGGTATCCAATGTTAGTTTGCTAGCTGAATAGCAACGCCAGACATGGAATAGGCGTTTGGCGTGAGCAAATGAGCTAAGTGCTTGTCAAGGGGCAGATTTTATTGTAAGACTATCCCTTCCATTGCGACCAGCTCGACCTGCTGGATTGCTAACTCATTTGAAAGCAATAGCTCAGTAAAACGCTCTCAATCTGAAAGACTGGTTGAGTTTTGTTGCACGTCCGGTGCGAGTAACTTTCGTTTTCGCCACATATTCATTCACGTTGCCGTGTCGTGTGTGTATACGGTCAATGGCGATTTCGTGCGAGACAACAACACGTTTGCACGTAATGGAAGCTCTAAGCGGAGATCGAAGACGATGAGAATGACCGTTCCATGCACTTTGACAAAGTGTCTTACTTAGTCTCAGGGCCAACTTTGTCACAAATAGCGCAATCTGTCGTGCCGCCTGAATTTGCTACGAAGGACACAAGTTGTCATAACAGGAGGACAGCCCACTTACGTAGCAAAGGAGCGGTAATGCTGGTATGAGATGGCTCTGTAAGGAACTACTTAACCTGCTTTACTGCCTGCCCTCACGGCGTAAAGCTCTCGTATCATCTCGGAGTTTCGCGTTGAAAAGCTCTCGACCGGCTATTAGACTGCCAGCGTCACTGTCCTCTGCAGCACGGCACTGCATTCCAAATAGTTGTATAGAGCGATTTGTTCATCTCTCCAATTGAACATCAGCCCAATTTTTGGCTGTATAGCACGGCAACAATGGCGCAGATATTGTCGTTGGTATCCCTTCTTTGGTGCCAAATTTCACCTGATGACACTTGAACCAAGTTTGATACCTGCTGAAAGGTGCTGAACGATCTGATTGTCTTGCTTGCTTGCACTTGATTTCTATAACACGCCGAACACACGCTTGATCGCTGCCGAGATAATCATGAGTTTTATGTTGTCAGGTGTACGGACCAAGCATACAGAGCAGGCGGATATCATTTATCTCGCGTCGTCGATTTTTGGTATTGCACGGGCACTGCACGGAAGTTGACGACTTGTAAAATATTTCAAGTCGTGCATCGTAGGGTGAGCTAATCGATTCAAAGTGTTTGGTACCGTGTTGACATTTCATGTTGCAATGTGCCAGAGTGGACTTTAATGAAGACGCGGGTGGCACCAGAAACCAGTAGAAGGATCAACATACGAAGCACCGACTTATCGTCAAGAGCTGCTACTACAAAAAGCTGGTGAGTATGCCAAGCTTCGTGCTTGCAGGTTACTTTGAAAGCTTTGTCGTTATAGTTCAGGTGGATGGAATTAACGTGTGTGTGGTTGTCACTACTGGTTGACACCCGAGATCAATTCACTAGAATCCTTCCAAAAGGCACTAGAAACGCATCAAGACAACAATGATCTGCACAACCTTCGACCAGACCGACAACGATGCCAACTCAGCTTTACACAGAGCAATTGTGACTGATCAAAAGAGAAGACAGAGTTGAAAAAAGGCTCATAGTCGAGCATGCAACAATGAAGAAACAGGTAAAATAGAGGGTTGCTTGCGTAGGAAACAAAGGTGTTGTGATATGTTTCTCGTTGGAACATCTCAAGTACGTTGATTGTTGGTGGTAGCACGGCAGAACAGGACGAGTCGACAAACCAAGGGGTTGGTTCGCAGGTTAGCTGCAACCGCATACATGAATGAATGCTCAGTCGGAAAAGTACTGCACGTTGTCTATAGCCAGAAAAAGCTAAGCTAACTAGTATGTATCATTGTGCGTCAAGATGTATATTTCTATAACTATACGTGTCTGTCTGTCTGTCTTCTCTATCTATCGATGAAACTCATCATAGAATAGGTTGATTGTACCTTGTGTAGGGTGCTACTGATGTAAAGATGAGGGGCAAATAGACGATATGCTTCATTGTACGCCACTTGCGCTATGCTTACACCGTTACAATTTAATGACTACTATATCGATTGTAGATGACACGCTCTTATCCCTTGAGCCTACCGAATTGTAGGCGCAGCCTTTTGTTGCAATCGCTCGGTAGCGTCATTTTGAATAGTACTGTGCTTCTGAACAAAAGGATAACACGATGGCTAACAACGCCGGTTCCTCATTCAAAGTCAGGTGGTTGTACAGGGCATATCACCTTCAGTGACGCTCTCAGGGCTATTTTCCGGGGTGATGATGGGATGGAAACGATCAAGAGTTTCATGCGTCTTTTTCAGTGGCAGAATCAGATACAGAAGGAAGGAGCGACGGGTTCTCCAATGCCTTAACCAGAATTTCATACGAAGGACAGGAATAGCGTCTTATTTGGTGTGAAAAAAGCATTGCTAGCTTCGAAAATCAAGAGCTCAGCGATGGCTCATACGCTACAGAAACACTCGGCGCAGATGTGGGAGAAGGTTACAGCTGCAGCCTCTGGAAGCGGAGGTGGAACTGTCAGTAATGCAGCACCTTCGGCTTCAGCTTTAGCGCAATTAGCCTAAATTGATTGGTGCTATGAAGACCCCGTTGCATTCTAGTAACCCTGAACATGTTAAGATGCTGCACGCGTTTGTGGACATCCTGCTTTGAGTCACAGCCATTTACGGTGACAAACTTGGAATGGAATCGATTGGGATTCCGACATGGTGACCCTGTGCGTGAGATACAATTCTTTATTGCCTGTTGCAGTGTCTGGTCTCCGTTTTTTCATGAGGTGCATCGCACGGTCGCATTATCCATTGTGAACAACCAACACGGACCAGAAGCCTACTCATACGCGCTAGTGGGGTCCCAGATTGCGTACTTGGTCGCTAATTTGCTGCAACTGCGAGATGGTGGATGTTTGGGTTTAGAACGACCGTTTTGGAAACTTTTCGAAGACCCGATAGCTTTTTACGAGCTATTTTGCATTGCTGTCCGTGCCTTTGACGCGTCCTGGAAGCTAAATTCCACCAACACGACTGACGTTAATTTCCACCTCGATTACGTGGGTGACTTTGTTCAAGAATTGCTTTGTCGCGGCCCAGATAATGTACCAAACCTCATTGAGTACGCCCACCAGTGGGTAAGTTAAAGAGTTTTATAAAAAAACAGAGGAGGATTTAAAAAAAAAAAAAAAAGAAAAAAAAAGGTGGAAAATAGAAAAAAAAAAAAAAAAAGAAAAAAAAAAAAAAAAAAAAAAAAAAAAAAAAAAAAAAAAAAAGAAAAAAAAAAAAAAAAAAAAGAAAAAAAAAAAAAAAGAGAAGGGGAAAAAAGAGAGAGGGGGGAGAAAAAAAAAAAAAAAAAAAAAAAAAAAAAAAAAAAAAAAAAAAAAAAAAAAAAAAAAAAAAAAAAAAAAAAAAGGAAAGGAGGGGGGGGGGGGGGGGGGGGGGGGGGGGGGGGGGGGGGGGGGGGGGGGGGGGGGGGGGGGCGGGGCCCCCCCCCCCCCCCCCCCCCCCCCCCCCCCCCCCTGCAGAATTGGTAGACACACAATCAAACGGACATTTGATAAAATATGCAATATATACATTGATTCCATTACGGCTGTAGAGGAATGGCAAGCATAGCCTTGATAAGATCTTCCACACTTGGTGTTGCAGTCTTGGCTGACACGACAAATTGTGGAAACGCATTCTGGAGCTTCTTCATTAGCACTTTTCGTTTCTCTGAGCTCTCCAGCTGATAAAACACAGCGCTTTCCTTGATTTTATCCGTCTAAGATACAACCACAAGAACACGTTACTGAAGTCTGACCAAACACTACATCGAGCATATGCGTATAGTAGTACCAGAGTTGAGTCCTGCAGACCTCGAATAAGTGTTTCTTGGACATCACGATAAACAAAAACGATGCCAGAAGTGCTGATTCCGACAATGGTAGGGTCAATTTGGGCAGACAAGTCACGTATGCCGACTTAACAAAGAATGTGAATGCACAGAACAAAACAGCGTGCAAACAGAGCAAAGCGGAATTACCACAAAACATTGAGCAGGCTGGTAGCAACATTCGGAAGCGCACTAGTCTTTGCTCGCTTTGAAAAGCGTATATTTGTCCACTCCAGGTGCACACGACAATCTACAATAGTCTACGTGTTAGCACAAACACAATTACGCACAAGATTTTTGCTCCCTTACTGCATCATGACGATGACCGTCCGGCGCTGTCATCTCGAGCTTGTCGGCGTTCACCACAGCTTCTGGCAACTAAGCAAATTATGATGGAATGAATCTAAGCAAACACCCAACCCAGCAAATACAAGTACCACGACGTCCTATAAAGTACCTGAAAATCCCACTGCCTCTCTCCCAATGATGAGAACAGCGACACAAGACCGTTCATCGATACAAGCGCAACCATCCCTCGCTTTCCACCCAGCTCAATGTCGGGAACCACAAAAGTGATGCCGTCATTGTCATGAAGAGGGCCGTTCCACGGTACAACAGTTTGCTTGTCCACTGCATTTGCTTCGCTTGATCTGTCAATGCAAAATATATGACCAGAAAAGCATCGAGCAAGAACCCGAGGTGATGCATCTGGATTCTGCAGGTCAGACTGCAGCATGATCAGCGTTTCAATCTCTTCGTTAATTTCCACTTGTGCGACCTGCACGAACTCTGCTAGCTGAGAACAAGATATGGGATCGTAAGTTGTCTTTTATTTTTTACGATATAGAAATTCAAACCAAGTCGATGCATATACGAACGTCGTCGGCGTTTGCTAGATTGAGTCGATATACAAGCACACGTCCATCACGCGTGGCAACAATGAGCTCGCTGTTCAAATAGACAGTGTCACAGATATTGAGCGCAACATTCTGCTCGATGGCAGACCCAGTGGTTACAATGCTGCAAGTATTCCAATACACACGAAAAGATCAATGCCTTCTTCTTACAAACTCAGAGCACAATTGCAACACTCTATTGCCCTCTACAGAGCAAAAACTAGAGCATTTGCCTTCTGCTGTTGCCACAAGAATCCGTTTTGTCTGTATCATCATCATCATCATCGCAACAACAAAGCAAGCAGAAGAAAACAGCAGCAGCAGCTTCAGTTTATCCCCTTTTTTCCCCAGTAGATAAACGAATAACGTCTAGTCCTTAGCGTACATCTCTAACAATGGACGAAGCTAGACAAAGAGACGTGACAGTGCCATTCACGTTGCAGCTTTTCCATTGAACCAGCTGATTCTCGATACTCTACGGCATACATGAAATGATGATCTGTCATAATGAATAGTATTATTTATAGCAGTAACTTTATCGACAAAGAGATCGATTATTACAAGTACTGTCCAATTTAATATACCTTAAAAACGGATACTTTACCCATCAGTGAACCAAATAACAGTTCCGTCGCACCATCGCCGTCTATATCACCCATTGCATGTGCATTGGCAAGAATCTTTCCATCTAATTGTATTTCATAGGTTGGTGTTAACTCGAGCTAATCAGAGAGATCGAATTAACACCAAAGATACATTGTTCATTCGTTACTAACTACTGTAAGAACGTATGTAGCCATATATCACAACGTACTTGACCTCGCATGTGTCTTATGAACGTTTCTAAATATAGATTTTTCTAGCGATGGTATGAAATCTATTTATAGGATAAAAGCTATAAAACACCGTCGTTTGGATAACTTTTCGATTTATAGTATGAAAGATAGTAAAAACAACGATCTTTGAATCCGAGCCAAAACGTTACCAATCCAAAATAAATCAAAAAATTGTCATTTTCACTTTTGCTCACACACGTCTACCCTCTCTATCTTTATATCATCTCGTCATGATGCGATTGGTCACATCTCCATTCTGTCCAATTCTCATTGGACGTTATAATCCTCCCTTCCTCCACTTTGCTCCCTATTCTATTATTGGAGGTAAAGGACCATTGGCTCGATCACGAAAGGCTCAACAATCCAGTGGCCATGACGCGAGCAAATGTGTGGACTTAGCACTCAATCGTTTCGCAGTAATTGGTGGTGGAAATATGGCAGAAGCTATGATTACAGGTGTACTTAATGAAGGTCTTCTTCCTAATTCCAAGGTTGTTGTATCCGATCCAAATCCTGTTATTCGTACAAAGTACGAAAAATATCACATAGAGACGCATACACGCAATAGCTTGGCAGTGAAAGATGCCGACGTTATTTTAGTTGCAGTAAAGCCTCAAGTGGTTAATGATGTACGTTGATGTATTTAGTATCGATTGATGTATGTAAGTTTATATGAAGATGACAAGGTCGTTAATGGTATTCATAATTAGGTGCTAGAAGCTATCAAGACGTCCATGAATCCAGATGCCTTGGTGGTTTCTGTGGTAGCAGGACAGAGCATTAAACAATTACAGACGGTGCTGGGTCCAACTAGCCATATTATCCGTACAATGCCAAATACACCAGCTATGATTGGAGAAGGCACAACTGTATGGGCGCAATCGGCTGAAGTCACGAGTTTGCAGCATGAACTGACAAAACAAATCCTTGGATCTTTTGGTGTGGAGGTGATAACAATACGGAATGATTACGCTGCAAAGTAATAAGCATTTGTTGCCATGATTGAGTTGCTAAGTGTTCATGTTTATTGTATTTATCCAGGTGTTTGTAGACGATGAAAATGCATTGGATATGGCAACGGCATTGTCTGGATCTGGACCTGGTAAGCTGCTCTCAGTACTGTGTGAAGTCAGTCGGACTCGAACGATACCCGGCACTAACTTCCGTCTTGTGTAGCCTACTTTTTCCTTGTTGCTGAAGCGATGATTGATACTGGTGTGCACATGGGGTTTTCTCGTCCAGTAGCAACGGTATGAACCAATCAGCTAGTAATCATACTAGACTATAGGATGTATCGTACTGACACATGTGGTCTTCATCATGTATAGAAATTGGTGCAGCAAACAATGCTTGGATCAGCACTTTACATGCAAGCCGAGAATGTACATCCAGTCGAGTTACGGAACAAGATCACAAGTCCCGGTGGTACTACCGCTGCTGGTTTATACCGTGCAGAAAAGAACGGGTTTCGTGCTGTTATTGCTGACTCCATCTGGGCTGCCTATGAACGATGTCTTGAGCTTGGATCACCTGAACCAATTCAACGTCAACGTCCACGTTCTTAAATAAATAAAATCCCCATCTATCTACAGTTTTTCCCATTTGACGCGTCAGATTTGAATTCAGTCGTTCTAAAAAAATTCAAACACCAAAAACTAAATGTTTCATCAAGGCATGTTCTTTCATAGGTTTCTACCTGACATAGTATGCGTTTCCATAGGTTCATCGGCGTCACCAGTCATCTCTTAATTGATCAAGAAGTCAGTCAGTCAGCCCCACCTCATTCCTCGCTCATGGCTCGTCGTTCATCTTCTCCACGTCGTAGTCGTAGTCCTCGTCGTTCTCGTCCACGCAGTCGCAGTTCGTCTCTATCTAAACGACGTTCACGCTCTCGTTCTCGCTCTCGTTCACGTGATCGTCGTGGTCGTTCTCGTTCCTATGACGGTCGTCGAAAAGATCGTCGAGAACGTGGTAGAGGAGGGTATTTACCTCCTAGTACTACTTCAAGAAGTAGTACAAACACACGACGTCATCGTTCCCGTTCCATGGATCGGACTACGACTACTTCTTCTTCTTCTGCTTCTCGTCGTGAACCTATTAGTCTTCTTGTCCGGAATCTCTCCCCCGATACGACGCAAGATGAATTACGTCGTGCTTTCTCTCGTTCTCCTGGTGATATTCTGGATGTTTATATTCCAAAGGAATTTAATTCCAATCGACCACGAGGTTTTGCATTCATTGAGTTTGCAGATTCACGAATTGGACGTGATGTGAAATTTGAAATGGATCGATCGAGTCTTGGAGGACGTGAAATTGCAGTGCTTTTTGCGAAACAACATCGGAAAAGTCCGCATGAAATGCGACGTATTTTGAATCTACCGCCAGATGAATCGTACGTTGTTAATTGATGCCTGTCTGTGGGTTTTCTTCCTGTGGGTTTCTTACTTGGTTTTCTTTCTTGTGTCTGCTTTGATGATGTTATTGTTGTTCTTGTTGTTCTTTGACAGGCCAAAACGCTCGTCTAGACGACGTTCCAAGTCGAATTCACGCTCAAGTTTTCAAAAGAGGTGATAGGCTGTTTATCGACATATTGGTGGTGGATTCGTGCAAGACTGAGTGTGTGGGGTTTGTGTTGTGAAATATAGACGCAGTGCCAGTCTGGAAGACAAACAAGAATCGACCTCGCCACGTGCTTCACTATCACCACGTCGTGCTTCTCCTTCGCCAAATCGGTAAGAAGAGGCTGAGCTACGGTACTGCTTAGAAAACTGGATACTTACGTTGCTGGCGATGTTGTTTTTGTGAAAATAGCGAGGAACAAAGCACTGCTCGCAGTCCGTCAGCCGAGTACGTATTCTACACATGCTCTGCAGTTTTGGTTGACTTGTAGTGGCGATGTTAATATGTGTCGGCGTTTTTTATTGTAATTTAGCGGCAAGGCCGGTGATTCGATGTCCGAGGTATGTAAAGCACTTCAGCTGCTTACGACACTTGAAACGTTGCACATGTACTGAATAATTGTACTGGTGCTGTTTTGTAACTTTTGAAGTGAGCCGGTGCAAACTTGTCTCAAGCAGCATGTGGTCCTCATTGCTGGCGGTGCGAAGCGATATACTTCATCAGTTGAAGTTGCAAGGTTATGCAAAAGAACAGATAAAAGCGAAGAGAAGGAAGCTATGAAGAAACAGAAACGGGGAAAGAAGTCTTGCATTTTAACTCGATCAAGAATGTTTCATGACGATGCTTGCATTCGAAGATGACGCCGCCAAGGTTCAAGATGGTTATTTTTGTGCTGTTCAAGGTTTTTACAAGCATGCAACAGCAGGACATCAGGAAGCCATCACATGCACGCGAATGTCATTTGTATAGCCCGCCACACGTGTTGGAGCGCAATGTGGTAAGTACTGGCACGCAAGACCCTGATACGACTCGTGACAAGCGATGAAAATCACGGTGAAAGATGATTAGCTGAACCTGATCGAAGCTGCTTCTAATGCACCACTGCATTGGCAAGCTGTCGAGGTTTTGTGACTCATTGACATACCGGATTCTTTCTAATGCCATGTACATGCATCCGTTGCATGGCACGGTGTCACAAGAGAAAAGCTTTGGACGCCAACGCTTACGACTGAAGGAAGAGATTTGTCAATACCAATGATGCGTGCGACCACCGCAAAATAAATTGTAGCAATAGGCGGATGGTGATCAGTATATCATCCTATCGCCATGTTGATACCACCGTACGCAATGATGGTAATTTCTTGGCGACTCACTGTTAACGACACAATTGCTTGCATTTGTTTACAGGTAGGTCCGATACTGCATAACAGCAAGTGGTCGCTTGGTTATCCATGTTGTACCTGCTTCTCCATTATAATTTGGTTAATAAGTGTCAAGTCCAGGTCCAGAGATTGGCGTTTGTGTTTGAACGCAACGACGCAATTTACTCATTAGCGCTGATGAAGGGTACGTACTGAAAAGGCAGACCAATGAAGAAAGAAAAAGACAACGCTCAACATCTTGTAAAGACGAGATACATGTTCAGTCTGAGCTGTTGACCAACTTTGTTACATTTCGTCTGGACTTTGTGGCTCTTTGTCACGAATTGGTTGTACTTCACCATTTGACAAGCTACGTTGTCTGCTGCTTTTGCGTTTACCACAACTAACTTTAGAGACCAGCAATGTTTTTTTGGGTCACGTGGTTAACCAGCATTGAGTCCAAAACTGCTGAGCGACGTCGACGTCGACGCCAACTTGACCTTTTTGTGTATCTGAACAGGAGCAGCAGCAGTGTAAATATCACGGCCACACAACGGCCTCATTGAGTTGCAATCACATGCCTACTCTATCATCTGCTAGCACCGCTAGTACAAAGATGCTACCAGTAGGTCTAAAACGTGACTAGCGACTCCACTGTCAATGCTTCATCCATTCGTATGGGATGCGATAGGACTGCACAATGGCGATATGTGCTTGAGCCTCTCCCATTCCGCCTGCAAACCAGAAGATGAATGACCGTCAGACCGGTCATGAAAGTTTTATCCACAACACAGCTCATGGTGACTCACGCAATAACAAAACTTGAGAAAGTTATTGTCTTGTCCATCGTCAGCGAGCAACGTTGCATGTAAATGGACAACTTTTTACACGAGCCAACATCGCTGTTTTGCAGCAGCAACATGTTCTTCTATCCGCCGATTAGAATCATTGGACGGTTCTTTGCCTTTGACAACCCATACATATCTCCATGACCTCCTAACACAAACTTCTTGCGTTTTACTGCTACGCTCGATAATAGCGCAAATGTCCTCGTCGGCAATATTATAGCGCATCGCGTCTCGCAAGCTAACCTCAGTGTTTCCAAATAAACAGACTTTCAAATTTCCGTCAGCAGTCAAGTGCAGACGATTACATGAGCCACAAAAATGCTCACTCATCGAAGTAATAAAGCCAAACTGTCCTTTAAAACCAGGCACATGGTAAGCTTTCGATGTATCATTCACTTGGTCTTGCAGTTTCTCAATCACATGAAACTCCGTCTGAATGATCTTGATCATTTCTTGATACGACACAAAAGCTTTATCATTCCATTCGTTGCTATCAAATGGCATCCACTCAATAAATCAAACATCTACTCCACATTTCTCCGTAAAGGCCACAAACTCGACAAGTTCATCCAGATTAAAATGACGCTGTACAACACAATTTATCTTGAGTGGATGAAATCCCAGTGCCTGTGCTTTTTCAATCGACTTCATCACTTTTGCAACTCCTTGTCGTCTTGTAAGATGACGAGATTTGTCTGGAGTTAATGTATCAAGACTAATATTTACTCGATCAATTCCTGCTCGTTGCAATGCCACTAGCTTTTTTTCAAGTGTCATGCCATTTGTTGTGATTTCAATGGACTGGATACCTTGAATTGCTTTCAATTGTATCACCAATTCAATTAAATCTCTTTGTAGTAATGGTTCACCACCTGTTGATCGAATTCTTGTAATCCCTGAGCGTGCAAATAATTTCGTTGCTTGAATAATTTCACACGAGGTTAAAAGGTCTGCCACTGGTTGTAATGGAACTCCATTTTCTGGCATACAATAACGACATCGTAGATTCCAGCGTTCAGTTAATGAAATCCGTAAATACGTATGAAGCCGTCCATATTGATCAATTAATTGCGGACTCCGTGTCTTGTCCTGTTCCATTATTGGCTGCAAGTAAAAATACACAATATATGTATATTAGATATCTAGCAATTATTGATTGATATCTATCTATTTTTATTATTGTATTCTTTCATTAAAAAACAATTAATTATCGTACCAATTGTCAAATGTTTACTAATATCCGGAAAATCTGATGCACTGACTCCTTCTAAGTGATGCTATCAGTTGATTTATGACGAGTTTGCGCGATGAAATCCTCGAGTTTAGGACATTGTAGTACTTGATCTTGCCAATCTTTGCGTGTACTGTAGACAGCACTACAACGTCCATGTCGTCGTGCTATGGAAAGAAGCAATTGCTGCATGGTCGAGTCAAGAGAGAGAAGGTCGTGGTGTCTTGAATCTACCGGACAAGTTGTTTATCCGGATCTGAGACTTAGTAATCGAAAAAACACAAGGTTGGGTTTTTTTATCGTTTTCTGTTCTTCGTTCATTCATAGTCTTAATAAACCCAAAGACTGTTTAGTCAAAATGAAAGGTCGGTTACCTTTAAACGGCACCGTAATCATCTTCAAGTCGCTGACGCAGCAAAAGTCGTTTTGTGAGGTTTTGCCAGCGCTTACGAACTAGCTTTTGGTTGTGTGCCATGGCCTTTTGAATTGTCGCGTCTTGTTTCTCCACATGAGCTTCGAGTAAAAGATCTTGATTTGTCTGGGCGACAATAATTCCATTGACTTTTGGTCTCATTTGTCCATGACACAATTTAAAGCCCACTACAGCATGGGCATAATCAATACCCAATGCCTCTGCAATTGTATCAATACGAGACAATTGAACATGGACAGCACCACGAGGGACATGTGCTGGACTCCAGATCTCGAGATTCCCGTACTTATTCCTTGGTATACGACCATTTATCATCGAAAGAGGCTCGAATTCACTTGTTTGCCATCGACCAAACAGTGCGAGAGGCAATGGACGATGATCTTCTTTAATGACTACGTCATGATCACTCTCCTCGTCATCGTTGTCGTGATCATCCTGATTACTACTGCTGCTACCACCACGTTGTAGCCATTTTGCAGGTTTCTCCCGTTCACCTTCATTCACAACGCGACCGAGACGTCGCCATTGAAATGCCGAGTGAAGACGTTGGACATGTTGACGAAGAAAGACGGACTGACCGTTAAATACTCCAACGATCTTACGTGGATGAAGACACTCGAACTGACCTAAATGACGTTCGAGACAGTATATAGGGTGCTTTCGGAACCCTTCCACACTGCTCGGCATACCTTCTCCCAGTTTCAATCTATCCAGCTCTTTCTTTTCATTCATGAGAGCTATGTTCATGTCTACGGCACCTTGTGTTGTAGATGTCACGGAATGCTCGTCGACGGTATCTTCATTGTACCGTTCAAGCACTTGTTCTAACCATGAGTCTGCAAGACGTAATGGTAAACTCTTGCTCCATTGCATAGTATACCGAGATGTTACATCCACAAGTTGCCCGTCGTCCTGAATACTGATGACGTACGAAAAGCGAGCCATCCTACCACGCAGCACTTCAACTTCATGCGGACGGTCAACAAGTCGGCGCACGACATCAACATGAATCCAGCGTGTCGATTTCTCATCCAGTACTTCACACCACAGCCACAATACGCGATCTAGGGTCTCTGTACTCTCCGGATCCCGTTCCTTGTCAACTTCTTCTTTCTCTTCTTCGCTGCCATTCAGCACCATCTTCTTCTTGAGCAAAGCGTTTGCAACCTTTTGCGATCGACGTCGTTTACTTGGTCTCTGTCGAAACAATGATTCAAATGCCTTGCCTCTTTGCACCTGCAGCGGATCCAATGCACAAGTGAGACGATAATGAAGCTGCAGTGCTCCACATAGTGCAGCAAATAGCAGTGGCAGTTCGTAGTCTCGTCCTGCACGTGCAAAAAAGGCGTTCATGAGACTCGACTCGGTCACCATTTCTCCGCTCAGAGTCTCCTTTTCCTCGACTAATTGAAACTCGTGGTTAAACCATCGAACCAACAGCGCGAGCGAGTATGAAAGTGGTTGGTCTTTTATCTCAACAAAGAAATCCACGTCGCTCTTTGCTGTAAGAGATAGTAAAAGCCCTTGCAGCAATTGGGATTGACTAGATCGTATCCACTTGATACGCGTGGCCAGTAGAAGCAGTAAATGGATCTGATGCAACATCTTTTCATGCTCTTTCTCGCCTTTTGTAAGACGAAGTGGCGTCCGTCTTCTCTTACAAGCACTTGATGCTGCATGCTTTTCTTCTTCTTCTTGTTGTTCAAGTGCATGATTCACTTTTTCCCAGTCAATCTGTCGTAGATTCGACGCCAGTTCAGTCGTGTCTTCATTAACATCATCATCATCAGTATCTTGAGCAATAGTCTCTTGAATCTCAACGGGATGAACTGATTGACAAACTTGAGGAGCTACAGTTGACTGTAATGTATCCACATCTTCCCAATCCACTTCATCCATTTCTTCTTCATCGTCCAATTCACCGGCAGAATAGACAAACTCTTCTTCCTCTGATGCCATTCGTGTTTGATACTAAATACGTAGAGATAAACTACCTGCCTAGTTCTCTAGCACACCTGATCCTCTCCTCCTCCCTCTTCCTTCTTACAACAAGTGATCCCTTGGAATGAATTGAATATGAAAACTACTGTATTCTTAGTTACTGATTCAAATGCTCCTTTGTAATTGATATAATAAACCTGTTGAACAGTTACAGAGAGAGAAACGTACTGGCAAAACTGCTTTGCTATAACCTGCTTGTCGTGTGTGTGTGACGTGAGAGAACGCATTGCGTTAAGCTTTGTGATCTCATCATGAAGCTAAGGAGATACTAGCGTTATGGTAAACGATTCATTTACAACCACCAGGTCCATTTGAAACAAGACTCATTGCAAAGTAGTTTTACCGTTAGTTACGCTCATGAATGAGATACGCCTTGTTGCCAGTACACTGTCAAGACTCCCAGAATTGTTTGAGTAAGTCGTAACACGTTACAACCACTGCGTTGTGGCAGTCTCTCACAAGTTCATACCATATTAACATGCGTTATCCCAAGCTGTACATCCAACTTAAGCCTGTAGAGTATCCATATCTTTTCTCCTAGGTTTAGATAATAGTTGTTCCGGTGCAAGAAACTTACTATTGAAAAAAGGACACTGTTTTTTGGTATGTAACTAACCAGCTCGATGACAGACAGACTGTTGTTAGTTACCCTGATTGTGAGAGAGGATGATAGAATCAAGAGGTAGTGAGTGACGCGAGAGATGAAGTGCTTCTGGTCGACCGTTGGTAACGAAAGCAAGCAAACACCATACAGTTTTCAGCAAACAAAACCAGACGTACTGAAGAATTCTGCCCCATTGGCAGCACCGTTTGATGTTGTTTGTTATGCCTTGATCGATTGTATTGAAAATGTTGAGAAAGCATGCAATTCTCTCACAAGTCTTCTCACAGCATCAACCTCAAGCTTCAGTCAAGGATTTGCCGTTACTGAACACGCTTCTACAGTAAGGTCTCTCCAACCCACGGTACTGCTTCTTTCCAATCAGAACAACGAGAATACGTCGCTGCCAATTGTTGACGACTCGATCAGGCGGTAGGTAAGCTGTGATTCTCCAAACAACTTAACGGTAAGTCACTAGCTTTTGCTCACTAGATTATAAATTGAGTGCTTCGACCAGCAGATCGGCTGGGGACTCATTCTTGCCACGTTTCGCGACGTAAGCAAACCAACTGTTTACTGAGGGGTTTGCCGCGATTTCGGCTATGGTGCCAGAAAATGTAAGCCATTGAGCGACGTCGCGTGGACTCTTTCCTGTTTTGACCCAATAATCTATCTGCGCATTCTTCAATCGATCAATCTGTTTCTTCCATGGGACATCACCCACTTCCATTAGCATCCGTCGTAGTTGTGCATCTCCATATCGAAATGTCAATAACGAAATAATTGCTATGTCGGTCTTTTCATTATTGCCGTGATAGATTCTTCTCACTTCGTCTGCCCAAGCTTTATACGAATAACTGTGCAAAATGTTCGGCACAACGGCCTGATCTACCCTGTATCCCTTAAACATGTTATCTGTTTGTTTCTGCATGGCATCGACGCTAAACCGACGTTGTATGGTTCTGAAGAACTTCTGGAGTTTGGTAAGTGCTGACTTGAAAAGTGTTTTCACTGTCGTCTGAAGCGTCATTGCTCTGTCTTCGAGGATAGTGCCATCTTGCTCGTCCACTAGCCTTGTGTTGTTAATTCTTGACTGTCGCTTTGCTTCAGTGTCATTGAGAGTATTCATTAGAGGGTATTGGGACTCGGTCACCGTCTGGGACGAACTGAGACAGACTAGTAGAACCAGAGCACTCCATGACCCAATTGATTTTTGGCAAGTTTCGATAGGCGTGGAGACGCATTCGCAACTCTGACCAGTCAGTGACGCTGCTGCAGCAGCTTATACAATGACAGGTGTTCATTGGAGTTGAAGATCACTCACGAGAGAAAGTCTTGCCGATACGTTGTTTCATCGTTTTTGAGCGTGACCATCCTCGTGACCACAACTGCTCGTCTGATCCGAGCAGATTGACATCATAAAAGTGACACGAGCAAGAAAGTTCGGCAAGACGAAAGTTCTGCTCACACAGCTGTCACTTTGTACCCTGATGTAGCAATGCACCTCATTTCTAGCATAAGCTTCATCGGAAGAGATTCGCAGTGTTTGGGTAGCAGCTACGTTGTCTACTTGCCTGCAGTTTTCGCTACTGTAACGGGCTTTCTTTGACTAGAATCTTTGCAATCGTGATTTCATACAGCCTTGTACAGCCGTAACTTTTAGTGCATTTCCACTTCCGTCAGCACAGCCTTTCGCTGTTACTATAGAGTTCCAGTCACCTTGTATACAAGCTCCAGCTTGCCAGAGCACTAATGTTAGAGCCAAAGTTGTCACTATATTCTGAAGCATCTCTCCTCGTGTTGCTGTAACTGGAGGCAGCAAGAAAGCTTTGTGACCCTGTCCAAGTCTCACATACAGAGTGACAAGAGACAGACACATTTGGACGCGTCCCTATTAGTGCAGCCGTCACCAACACGTCAGGAATGTCAAAACCCTGGCGAAGCAGCGTGTTGAATGTATCTTACGGATCGCAGCATACTCCCCTAGCGAAGCTGTTGCGAGCAAGCCAGGAGATCACAAGATGCTACAATGTAGGCCGCAGGAGTAAAGCTATGAGCGTCAGATTGGATGTTTCGTAAGGTCAATTTGCTACCTGTGACATCATTTTTGGCAGTAGTCATTTGACGATTACACCGATGCTGACTTGAACTCGCTCTTTGACATTGTAACAAGATTCCCTTCTCCACAAGTACATTGAAAACATGGAAAAATATCTCGCTAGGTTTGCTATTTTTCTTATTAATCACAACGAAATCAAGCAAAGACAAAAATCAACATGAGAACTCAACTGCAGAGCAAAAAAACGTAGGACGACACAGAACGCAGCACCAGAAACAAAAACTTCGGAAGGCCAGTACTTGATGAAGCTTTTCGGCACATTCGCGTAATATTCTCCGTACTGCACGAGAATAACCTGATTTGCTTGGTGTAAACGAAGCACCGTTCGGTGATCCTGTAACGGGGGGGGGGGGGGGGGGGGGGGGGGGGGGGGGGGGGGGGGGGGGGGGGGGGGGGGGGGGGGGGGGGGGGGGGGGGGGGGGGGGGGGGGGGGGGGGGGGGGGGGGGGGGGGGGGGGGGGGGGGGGGGGGGGGGGGGGGGGGGGGGGGGGGGGGGGGGGGGGGGGGGGGGGGGGGGGGGGGGGGGGGGGGGGGGGGGGGGGGGGGGGGGGGGGGGGGGGGGGGGGGGGGGGGGGGGGGGGGGGGGGGGGGGGGGGGGGGGGGGGGGGGGGGGGGGGGGGGGGGGGGGGGGGGGGGGGGGGGGGGGGGGGGGGGGGGGGGGGGGGGGGGGGGGGGGGGGGGGGGGGGGGGGGGGGGGGGGGGGGGGGGGGGGGGGGGGGGGGGGGGGGGGGGGGGGGGGGGGGGGGGGGGGGGGGGGGGGGGGGGGGGGGGGGGGGGGGGGGGGGGGGGGGGGGGGGGGGGGGGGGGGGGGGGGGGGGGGGGGGGGGGGGGGGGGGGGGGGGGGGGGGGGGGGGGGGGGGGGGGGGGGGGGGGGGGGGGGGGGGGGGGGGGGGGGGGGGGGGGGGGGGGGGGGGGGGGGGGGGGGGGGGGGGGGGGGGGGGGGGGGGGGGGGGGGGGGGGGGGGGGGGGGGGGGGGGGGGGGGGGGGGGGGGGGGGGGGGGGGGGGGGGGGGGGGGGGGGGGGGGGGGGGGGGGGGGGGGGGGGGGGGGGGGGGGGGGGGGGGGGGGGGGGGGGGGGGGGGGGGGGGGGGGGGGGGGGGGGGGGGGGGGGGGGGGGGGGGGGGGGGGGGGGGGGGGGGGGGGGGGGGGGGGGGGGGGGGGGGGGGGGGGGGGGGGGGGGGGGGGGGGGGGGGGGGGGGGGGGGGGGGGGGGGGGGGGGGGGGGGGGGGGGGGGGGGGGGGGGGGGGGGGGGGGGGGGGGGGGGGGGGGGGGGGGGGGGGGGGGGGGGGGGGGGGGGGGGGGGGGGGGGGGGGGGGGGGGGGGGGGGGGGGGGGGGGGGGGGGGGGGGGGGGGGGGGGGGGGGGGGGGGGGGGGGGGGGGGGGGGGGGGGGGGGGGGGGGGGGGGGGGGGGGGGGGGGGGGGGGGGGGGGGGGGGGGGGGGGGGGGGGGGGGGGGGGGGGGGGGGGGGGGGGGGGGGGGGGGGGGGGGGGGGGGGGGGGGGGGGGGGGGGGGGGGGGGGGGGGGGGGGGGGGGGGGGGGGGGGGGGGGGGGGGGGGGGGGGGGGGGGGGGGGGGGGGGGGGGGGGGGGGGGGGGGGGGGGGGGGGGGGGGGGGGGGGGGGGGGGGGGGGGGGGGGGGGGGGGGGGGGGGGGGGGGGGGGGGGGGGGGGGGGGGGGGGGGGGGGGGGGGGGGGGGGGGGGGGGGGGGGGGGGGGGGGGGGGGGGGGGGGGGGGGGGGGGGGGGGGGGGGGGGGGGGGGGGGGGGGGGGGGGGGGGGGGGGGGGGGGGGGGGGGGGGGGGGGGGGGGGGGGGGGGGGGGGGGGGGGGGGGGGGGGGGGGGGGGGGGGGGGGGGGGGGGGGGGGGGGGGGGGGGGGGGGGGGGGGGGGGGGGGGGGGGGGGGGGGGGGGGGGGGGGGGGGGGGGGGGGGGGGGGGGGGGGGGGGGGGGGGGGGGGGGGGGGGGGGGGGGGGGGGGGGGGGGGGGGGGGGGGGGGGGGGGGGGGGGGGGGGGGGGGGGGGGGGGGGGGGGGGGGGGGGGGGGGGGGGGGGGGGGGGGGGGGGGGGGGGGGGGGGGGGGGGGGGGGGGGGGGGGGGGGGGGGGGGGGGGGGGGGGGGGGGGGGGGGGGGGGGGGGGGGGGGGGGGGGGGGGGGGGGGGGGGGGGGGGGGGGGGGGGGGGGGGGGGGGGGGGGGGGGGGGGGGGGGGGGGGGGGGGGGGGGGGGGGGGGGGGGGGGGGGGGGGGGGGGGGGGGGGGGGGGGGGGGGGGGGGGGGGGGGGGGGGGGGGGGGGGGGGGGGGGGGGGGGGGGGGGGGGGGGGGGGGGGGGGGGGGGGGGGGGGGGGGGGGGGGGGGGGGGGGGGGGGGGGGGGGGGGGGGGGGGGGGGGGGGGGGGGGGGGGGGGGGGGGGGGGGGGGGGGGGGGGGGGGGGGTGGGAATATCCATCGACTAAGTTGAGGGCAGTGTACATCGTACATCCCACCATATTGTTCTGAAGAATATCCTTGCGAGGAGTCGGAGTTTGAGCCGGGATAGTGGCTGCATTCAGCTTATTGTAAACATGCACTATTCGCCACTTCCCATTAGGCTTTTTCACACAAAACGTGGGCGTAGAGTGAAGAGACTTACTCTCACGCACCATGCCAGCCACGTGCTTCGCACGAAAGAACTCGTCAATGACGTCACATTGTTCTCGTGGCAGCGGCCACTGTCGCGTCACACAGTATTTGGCTCCTGGAACCAAGTCAATCTCATGACATACACCTTTATCCGGAGGTAACCTCGTAGGAGGTTCTCTGGAGACAACATCTCCATATTTCTTCAGCAAAGGAAAACAAGGATCCGAAGGGTCCTTCAGGATCTGCGATCAACTGCGCGCATTCAGCGCCTTCTTGGTAAAAGCAGTTCTTCAATGAGGAGTTCAACTCCTCCTCAGGTTGTATAACGACCACTTCGGCGATATCGGCCTGCCTGTAAGGCAATGCCAAACTCGGCAAAGGACAACTCTTCCAGCTTTAACAAAGCACTTACTGCGGGTATAGCTGAAAGAGCCACCGGCTCTTCAACATCCCCAGTCAAACCATTGACGATTGTATATAGCTGTTCGCTATCACCTTCACTCGCGATATTATCATCGCTACTCATGATGCTCTCAGCATCTGACGCGTCAGCGTCTACAGGTGTACGCACCTCAAGGACAAAGACCACTTCTCTTACTGACTGCACCCCACCCTCTTGGGTCAATGCCTCGTCATGAGGTGTTCGCACCTCGTTGTCCTCAAAGATAACATCGATTGATGACTTTACCCGGCCCTCAGGGTAAAGTCATCAATGGATGTTATCCAGGGTCAGCTCCTCGTCACTCATGTCACTTGGACTCATGTTCTGACATCTTGGCTTGCAGCCACCAACACCACTCACGGTGTTCAATGATGTAACATCATTCTCATGACACACACATGTCATATGTGCCATCTAGTGGGTTATCAACCACACCATCGACAGTCATTGGGCCTCGCCCAGGACTATTGTCCTCGACACTTACAGTGTCTACAAATTCGGATATTCCGACAAACATATTGACCGACTCAGTCTAATATCCGCGCCAAAAGCGCTTTTTTTCTAGCAGGGGTGGGTATATGACTCTCCAGAGCCCCACCAGGAGTATTTCACGTTGCGCCTAAGGTCTTCGACTTCCAATCAATCCACGGCTCATGACGTTCTAGCCATGCCATGCATAGAATGAGGTCATACCTCGCATTCAGGTCTAAGACCAAACAGCGTTCTATGCTGTTAAAGTCCAAGAACTTTATATTTAAGTCATCGGGATTTGGGTACCGTAACACGCGTACCCGTAGATAATCGAACTGTGACAGTGTCACGTTCACGCTCACGCGCTACAAGCGCTTCATCATACTGCTGACTACCTTTTACGGTGGCACAGCGCACATAATTGCCCGATGCCCCCGAATCGATCAAAATGATCCATGGCTTATCATAGCCCTTAACCATCCCTTCGACGAATAGCAAGCCTGGTTTGCATTCTCGTTCCATTTCTTAGAGTTCGGATCTCTTTGGGGCTGGGCCCTGTTTATTTCTACCTCCTGGAGGCTCAACAGAACTCATTGCTTCCCCAGTAGGGTGCCCCGCGCCTACTGGGTTCTGCCGTTTCCCCGCAGCAAACCAGAAGGTTTACCCATGGAGCGTCGGCCCTATGAGGCCAAATATGCCTTTCTTGCAAGACATTTTGCCATCAAAAGGCCTGTGCTCTTGCAGATATAACATCTGCGCACAATTTGCTGCTTCGCAGCTTGAAGCTCATCTTCTTCATCCTCCACTCGACTACAGTCCATGGGAACAGACCCATCAGACGAGTAGTTATAAGTGGCAGGCCTAGCGGCCTTAAAGTTGGTCTTGGCTATTCCATGCCACACCAACAGCTTCCTCGAATGAGGACGGGTTTGCCCGGAAGACTTCCGTTCTGGCAACGCCAACTCGGGGGGCCCTCCATGAAGACCGTGACGGTCACTGCCTCAGGCATAGGGTCTATGACCATGGTAACAATGAGAGCTCTCAACTCTGTACATATGCCGCAAGCTCACGCTTGCCTTGGCGACACGCCAAAAACCGCGATCGATTTCGGTGTGCTTGGTTTAGCGGTGCATACTGTCGGTTCGTCTGAACTTTCAGGTCGGCCCATGTTGAAAATGCATCTTGCAATGATGCACCACATGTGAATGCCCACTGTTTGGCTAAGCCACCTGACTTGCCCGTGGCAAACCCACACGGTACGGTTCATAGGTGATGTCGGCTATAAACATAGCCGACTCAACCTGTCGGAACCAAAGCATAAGGTTGTCACCATCTCTGCCGTCAAACTTATCGACTTCCATTTGTATGAATTTTGGTCTGCGGACCACTTCTTGCGCCATAGTCGCCATGAGCGAGGCGCAGAAGAAGGCATCTGTGCCTTTACATGCTCGACTAGAGCTTTGTTATATTCGTCAAGCATATGAATACGCATGTTAACCTCTTCTTCGCCCTGGACGATGAGGTATTCCACGCCCTTAGGGCCAAGGATAGGGAGCAGCTTCTGCAACCCTTCTTGTTGTGCCTGTGACAGGTCAACCGCTGACATTTCATCGTTGTCCATTCTCACACAGAGAAGTAGTCGCAAACCCAGGTGCGGAATTGACTACAAGTGCTACCAGGTGTAGCCGAGCAACTATAGCCACGCTACTGATGCACTATGTGCAGACGCACTAGTGCAGACCATAGAGAGATGTAGTCAAGCTACTTAGGCACTATGTGCAGAAGAAGACAAGATCCAGAGAGCATCTACGTCTTAGGGTGCTTAACTCTCACTAGGCTAGATCGTAAGCTTGTGCCTATCGGTATTAACAACCGAGTCTCAGAGAGACTAGTATCAAAGATACTGATTCCTCAGGAGGAATCGAACACTCTAGCAACTAATGCTATACAGAGCAGGTTTGAAACTGATTTATATTTATGTTTATCTTTTAGCACTAAATATAGAAGCACCTACTCTATACTTAGCGCTAGTCACGATTTACTGGCTCTGTAGCCTGTTATTATTATACAAACATGTATATTCACTATACTTAACTAAGTATAGTGACCACGTGGCTCTCTGCCACGATGCGACCCTTCGCACCGTAGATACGGTCACACCACCTACTTTTGTGCCCAAGGTACAGCCGCACCACATTGGTGTGGCAGGTGCTGTGTACAATACACATTTCTGTGTAAGCTTTTTTTATCCTTTTTTTTGGCCAATTTTTTTTTTTTTTTTTTTTTTTTTTTTTTTTTTGTTTTTTTTTTGGGGGTGGTGGGTGGATGTTTTGTTTGTTTTTTTTAAAAAAATTTTTTTTTTTTTTTTTTTTTAAAAAAAAAAAAAAATTTTTTTTTTTTTTTTTTATTTTTAATAAAAACACCCAAAAATAAAAAAAAATTTTAAATTTTTTTTTTTTTTTTTTTATTTAAATTTAATTATTTCTTTTTTTTTTTTTTTTTTTTTTTTTTTTTTTTTTTTTTTTTTTTTTCCCCCCCCCCCTTTCCAGCTCCCGTTACACAATACATTCAGACGTAAGTATCTAAATCCAAGACTGTTTTCCAATCAGCAAAGATGACAGTAAATTTGTTCGAAATTTGCTGTGACTTGCGACGCTTTCTAGGAACTGCATGAACATGCTCATCGATCTTGCATTGTTTGACCCAAATGTGTTGAAAGGAATTACAGAAGTATTTTGCAATAAGAGACATTGCCGCGTGCCGTGTCAGGAACTTTAGTTACGCATCAAATTCAGCCGCATGCCTACCGGAGAGGCGAGAGCGTATCGACGTTAATAGAAGCATGTAGCGGGTTTCGCTGTAAGACATTGAGGTGGAGCGTGGGGTAATCCTGGATTGAGAGGTTCTGGATCTGTCATTGTCAAGGTCCACCTCCCAACGCACACAGCCTGCGTCACGGGTCGAGCATGGCCTACGGTCATGCATCAACTACCGACATAATCGCTGAATATCGAGGTCTGGTTCATGGGCTCCGCCAGGCGAAGGCAAGCGCGTACTCACCACTGCATGTATACGCTAAGATTGCATGAAAGTAACATCACCATATGAGTTCGCATCTAGCGTACCTTTATTTATAGAGTTCCTGTATGTTGTTTCCCTCATTTTTTTATAATTTAGCAAACGAGATGGCTCATTGTAATATTCAAGTACGTGAGGTGATCAACAATACTTGTACAGCTGAAAGGCGAACAGGTATTGGAGCAAGTAGGGTCTTCACCATTCGTTTCACTGCACTTGCGATAGGTTGTCGAAAACTGGTCGTAAAAGATCTACACGTATTGCATAAGTACAGTAGGTAATAACGTCAATACACCTTTCGTCTTTTTTTGACAGTGACGTAATCTCACCTCTTCTGACGTGTGCTCAAATCCAGTCCACGTTGGCGGAAGGTGCGGTACAACATCGTTAAAGTGTGTTACGCGGTACACTTTCATGCTGGCGTTTCGTAATCTTGCACTGAAATTGGTGTTGCCCACGCGTGGACTGCCAAAAGTGTAAAGCACTTTTACAGGCATTTTCTCAATGTGCTCGAGCTCAAAAGCACATATTGACGCAACAGCTCCACCAAGCGAATGACCTGTGACCATCACTGATGCATTTGGATACTTTTTCCGTAGCTTGTGCAGTGTAGACACCACCTGTGGAGCTACGGACCGATATGCCCAATAGAAACCTTCATGCACCATGACACTGGGAAACTTTGGGTAAGCTCGTGCTTTGAGAAACGTGAGGTTATCCAGCCAATTTGTAACATCCATACTGCCTCGAAACGCAACGATTAAAGCGTCATGAAGCTCGGAGTAGCCCACAAGACCCTGAAAATTGTCCTTTGCATCTTCTACTACTGTCATTCCTTGCAGTCGTGGTACAAATGAACATGGTTGACAGTTCCAATTAATTATATGTTTACTTTGACAATAAGAAACTGATGTTACATGCGCTAGATACAATGATGTAGTCTCATTATACATAGAAGATGTCATAGTAGAAATGAACCCCATAGTCAAAGAAGAAGAAGACGAAGAAGAAGAAGAAGGATAGGTCCATTGCTTATGAGTGAGACGTGAGAATTGATCGATAGGGACGGAGTGTTGTTGTTGCCATATAGTAGACGAAATGATGAATGAGAAGAATTTCAATAAGAGAAGAAACACAAGTAAAACGCTCATTCTAACTCAAATCTGATTCGTTTTCTTCTTCTTATAATGTACTATATTCTAATGTTAGTAAATGGTTTGTTGAAGTAGTAGTAGGGGTTTGAATTTCTTAAATTTTCTTAAATTTAAAAAAAATAAAAAAATGTATACAACTACTTTTTGTTTTATGGCGATACGGTTGCGATATTAAGGGTACGCTGTTAAAATAGGACCTCTCACCCGATGTGAACTGGACTGCACTCATTTGAAACGTACACCATCGACTAGCAGCAACTTAACTTGCAACCAGCATCGAGACCAGAGTATTATTTCCGAACATCATCATGCTCCCAGCTGTGCTATTCACGGTGGCAGGTTTTGAGACACCACCTTGGGCGGAACAACCGCTACGCAACCTTCATGAGCAAATTCTATGGAATTATTCCACCAGCACGGAGGCTGGCCGTCATAAGATGAACTCAGCACTGCTGTACACGTCTAAACGGGCGGGATCGGTTCGGCCTTTATAGGCATTGCGTGCAAGACGCAGCAATTGAAACATGCCGTACTTTGGCTTACCCAGCGCAAAGACATTTACTTTGGGGCATTGGAGGCTTGGCCTTTCATGGTGCGATACAGGAGTGGACAATAGACGTGTCGCCATGTCGAGAAACAACAAGGCGGCCGAAGAGCCCAGGCGACAGATCCAGCAATTAATCGGTCCCTTGCTGCACCCAACACCACCGGATCAGAAGGTAGAGCAGCAACAGTTACTGCAAGCGCTTACCAGCCTGAATTCAGGTGATAAGATGGACGACGCCGGAGGAATGGTGGTGGGGCTTTTTGTGCCCATGTCATCGGCAATGACACCATAGACGAGGCTTTCTGGCCCACATGCTCGTAGGCAGAAAATCCTTGGATTTTAGACCAGCAGGCCAGCGTCTTATCAGCAGGGAAGTACGCCAAAATGCGACCGGGCGCCATCGCGGATCTACAAGAGAAGTGGGTGGGGCTCGAAGCGTATTCGTGTATCACTCCCACAATAGGAGCGACATCGCAGTAACCAGCCAAGCTTCGAAGCTGGGGCATCGCAATCTTGTTTAGTGCTTCGAGTTTAGAAATTTGGAACTGCTCCAAGTCCGGCAGAACCTCGTACCACGTCACCCAAGCATCTCACTCATGCCTATGTGGGAGTATATCACGACGGGCCACATTTGAAAGGCTCTGACAGCCTCTGACCCAGGCCAGCGGGGTGTAATAGAGCTGGAACAACAGAGCTATGGGATCAATTGGAAATTGCCGCGACCAACACCGAGGATCGGGATACGGTAGCTGGCTGCCAGAAGCGACGGAGGGCAAGACGCAGGGGGCATTGTCTTCAACGCGCATCCTTTCTTTCATGGAAATTCATGGAGCGTGCCTGATTCCGTTGCCAGCAGACATGTACTACTGGCACTCAAGCAACAAGCATTTTGGCGGTGCAACGGTTCAGACTATTCACTGGACAATACTCTGCAGGGGCTCCCAGTCGCGGCGCAAGGGGGGAAAACGATGGAAGCTGGGACGTCTCCAGAGCTTTGTAGTCAATACCAAGCCAACGAGCACCAGAGCTATCCACAGTGGTCCGTGAACAGCTCAATCGTGCTTACCCCGACGAGGTGGCTGCATACGTCGACGTATGGCGACGTCTCTGGATCATCCTGAGCAGCATCTGCATTGCTCGCTTATAGGATACAAAGAAACCGAGTCCGAAACGTTCCAGTAGGCAAACCTGACCATTAAAGGCAGCGTTCAGAAGTTCTTGGAAACCAGCATGCAACAACTTCGTGCAATAGTTAAGCGCAAGATCCGACGCGCAGAAACGATCATCAACGGTACAAGCACATCATAGTACGACAATCCCGAAAGCCGCCACCGCCGTTGACTAGCCACCGGACTCGACCGAGGAACCGGCGTTTTGCTACTCAGACTTAGGATTTACCAACTACGTCCAATAAAATTGTCTGTTTCTCTATTTCCTACTATTGCTATAGTATAAAGCAATTAAGATAACAACTTGAAGCTTTAAGAGACGAAAGGTTTATATATAAAGATACTTTTTCGTATAAATATTAAGTACTCCTTTCTCTTTTTCTTGTTAGTTTTAATATTCATTTTTAGTCACTACTAGACCCAAATTAATTAATTACAAATGTAAGAAAAATTACACCGTCCCTCCTCATAAAGACACGCACAATATAAAGTTCAACTTTATCTTACAGGACTTTTGCCACTGTCAGACACTTTTTACATGCAATTAAAGTGAAAGGACACGAGAAATAGAGAGAAAGAGTGAGTGAGAGAGATAATATGACCAATCGTCTAATTGAATTCCTTCCACCACATGATATTCATCCTAATACAGCCGTTTTTATGACTCGTAATTTACCACGTCCACTTACGTGGCAGCGACGTGATCATATGAGACATCGACGAATAATTCTTACACAGATTGGACAATTATTGATATACAATGAGCAACGTGGAAGTGTTACTACTACTAGTAGTAATAATAGTAATACTAGTACTAGTGGTAATGGTGGAAATCATACAGATCTTGGCAAGATGTGGGTACTGGCACGTAAACTGGAAGTGCTCGTGTTTATTCACTCAGCTTCATTGCTTGAATACATTAACACAGACAGTTTAAAACGTCGTGTGCAGGCGTTAACTGCAGGTATCGTGAATAAAAAAATTCGTCGAGCAACGTACATGATACAACCAGTCAGTGAGACTGCAAGCACAAGAATAGTCATGACAGGCAATGTCTCAGCTGACAACAGTGCCACGCGCATGCAAAACTGTCCACCGACGGTGTCTCCTGCAGTACATCGAGCGTTAATGCCACAGGTAGCAGGAAGAGGCATCCACTCGTCGTTGAAGGGCTCAGCGACGCCGCCAGTTGCATCAGCAGGTGGTAGTATTTGTCCACTACCATGTATCTCGCACCTGATCGACAAGCGCAGCCTGGACAAAACGGAGTGCAACCACTATTTGGATAAAACAAATGCTTGCAAGAGGATGCGCACTACGTTGATGTCAGAAGAAAAGCCGCAGGCTGAAATGGAAAAGAAGCACGAGCCAAGTAAATTAGGTATTTTGCTGTTCCGGGGATATGAGGAGCTGAGCAGAATTATTTGGAACTATGTGGATGGCACGCAAATCATGCGCTCGCGTGGCGTTTGTCGTATTGCTGGTGCGTTAGCGCCGCTTTTTGTGACGTCACTGCAGTTGAGCTGCAACGCTGTGCAGAGAGCGCTTGCTACACGCACTAACGGTAACGAGTGTATTTTACGCGAGTGCATTCACTTGCGTCAGTTAGAAATCGTGTCGTTATCGGCAGGAATGACCTTTGGAAAGCTATCGATGCGTGCTACAAACTGTCCGCAGCGGTTTGTTGTGACCCACGATGACCATGAGCAGATTGTACTGTCCGTGGCAGAGCAGATGCGTCTGAACACTTTTCCAGGCCTCGCGCGTTTGAGTATCACGTGCTTGTTTACGAATGAGGAAGCAGATGGAGAAGTTGATGTTCTGGTGAACACCTTGATGCTAGGTTGCTGCCCGCGTATCAAAGAGCTGTGTCTTCCAGGGAATAGCTTTGGCGATTACGGAGCTACTAAAGTAGCGCAAATGTTACGGTCACAAGTTTGCCCAAACCTTACAAGATTGGATTTACGCCGCAATTTTATTGGTGAAAATGGCATTAGAAGCTTGTGCCATGCTCTGGCTGATGGTTGTGCGCCCAACCTTGCGGAGCTTTGTTTGGGTGGAAACACAATCACCGACTCGAGCTTTCATCACGTGTTGTTCGCGATGGAAAGCAGTCAGTTGCGAAACTTGCGCTTTTTGGGTATCGAGATGAATTACCTGACATCGACGAGTATGGAAATGCTTGGACGCACGGTTGGCAAGCTGGTTTGCCCAGTTCTCTCTCAAATCTCGTATAGCGACAACAGCGTGAGTAATGAGTCTGCAAAGCGACTGATAGTGACTGCTGTGTACCAAGAACGTGTGTTGCAGGCAAAGTGTCAACAGCGGATTTGTGATGGTAATCTAAGCAAAGACGAGAGCACTTACGATGAGCAGTTGTCGGACCAAGACGTAGTTTGAATAGGCAGCTGTTCCGATGTGAGCAAGATGGACAATAAAAGAGGATCCGTCTTGATCATTCCTGCTGCTATTGTCGCTATTTAACGGAAAAGAGGAGCGACATCATATATTTGTACCGCAAGCTTCTTACGTGGATCGCTTTGCGCAGTAAAATTGACGAATGCTTTTGTTAATTTTACTCTAGCAAGCTGTCTGCAATTTCTTCCATTCTACACCCGCAAATTGTACAGGCTCGTTCCAGTTAGGCGCTTGGGGATCAAGCGTGAACACTATCAGCTGTAGCTCAAGGCGTGATGTCACATCTTGGGGTCGCGGTGTAGGGAGGAATACGTCGTCGTGGACACGCTTGAAGCGAAAACCGAACGCCAGTGCTTCCTTGAAAAGCAGGTCTTCCGTGGACCGCGCGCGACACACAAAGCCACAGCAAAACTTCGTTTTTAGTGGATCGCGCGAGCGCAGAAGCAGGTGTTTGATTGTCTGAAGAATAGGCTTCACGAGAACGGGCCAGCACACAACGTCGGCGCCAATGATGACATCGACAGGATACGGGAACGTGCGCTCAAAAACTGTCATGCTTTCGTAGTCACCCCAGAGTAGTGGCAGCACCTTCACTTTGCTCGAGTCAGCGTTAATGTCTACATTTTTCTCCAGGAGCTCCAGGACAATGTCATTCCCATCCGTTAAAACAGTGCGAGCCCTGTATCAACCACCATACGCTCGCGGTTAGTTATGAACATGGCAATCTCGATTAAATAAGACAGAGCGTAGACGCACGCGAATTGAGAGGCGACGAGTCCGCTAAGTCCCGCTCCAGCACCCAATTCCACCACCGTCTTATTAGCAATGTCATGACGGTGTGCCACAAGATACCAGGCTAATAAAACTGAGACTGGCCATATGACTTGACCTGTAAGATCATGATCCGTAGAAGCAGCATGAGAAGACTGGAGCTTTTGTTTCGTCACCCCAAAGTCATATTCCTGTATCACATAACTACCGAAATGAATGCAAGAATAACAAAGAAGCAAATGAATTAATAGTGTGAACATGAGATACAAATCAACACTTAGATACAACACACTATCCAGCCGTCATTTACTTGCGATTGATAAACAATTCAGTATTGAAATAGTCCTCATAGTCCTCATTCTCAGGATGCTGCTTTGATAAGCTCATGCTCCTGTCCATCACCAATTCATTGAATTGAAAACGGTATTGTAAGATTTGTGTTAAGTACGACTACCTTCAACTAGGTATTTTTCAAGCATAAATTACCTCACAATTCCCATTGATATGGACATCTCAAACATATGACTATAATCCGTGTACGATCTACCACAGCCTTACGACGCCATTGACGATAACGTGTACGTAAACTACCACAATTGCGACACTCGAATAAATCCGATTCAAAACCATCAACTTCACGGCCATTACGCATGACTTCATGCGTGCGTTTCTTGATCCACTCCTTACGCTGACGCACTAATTGTGGATTAGCCATATCAGGACCGCTCATTCGCACCAGACTTTGCGATGGTAATTTACCAGACACAATTCGATTGCGAAGGTCGATATTCCGAGAATCCTTGAGATTAAATAATAGTGTCCTTGCCTTGTGTGCATATGCTTTCGTCAATGAATACCTTTACACATCCACATCACACATCCACATCCATCCATATCATCAATACTTTCTTGTCAATTACGGCACATACCGTATCAAATTTGTCATGACCACTGTTTTTTTTTCCTTCTGTTTACTTACCTTTGTCCATAGGCAGCAAAAAGCTCTGTCTCGACATCTAAAGCCACTACCACGGCATTTGCATCCAAGGGACGTAGAATATCTGCAAGTCGAGAAGAAAATCGACGACGAGCGACTGTGACACTCGCAAGACTCCATGACTTGCACACGCGTCCCACTTGACCAAAACTGATAACAAGAGCAAGTACTTCCTGTGGCAATGTAGCAGCTAACGATGGCAGACTTTCAGCTCTTTTCTTCTCTTCTTCTTCTTCTCCTCTCTTCTTCCTCTCATTCTTCACTGACATGAGATTCAAAGGATGTCTTACATTCACCAACTTTCGAGTCCCTGATAATACTAACAACATATCAAAAGCATAAACACATATCAAAACCAAGTGATCTTTATTCTCTTCTTGCTACAAATAACAACAATATCACATCATAATATTACCACCAAGATCCAATTCTGCTTCCAGCTTCAATGTCCATGCATCATCATCATCTTTCTCCTTATTTTGTCGTGTAACAAACGAATCCATTTCTAAAATACAAACACTATAATACCAATTTCCACTCGGAATTATCACACAAGGTAATTGCGTTTGTTTAGAAATGAGCTTTACTCGCAAAATGTATTCATCGCATCGATATTCTTGTGGCCCACGCCAGGTCTGACTCGTTATGTTCCTTGAATGTAACTGCGTTTCTATTTTCAGAGCCACGCGGCCTACAGACACGTCAATAAACTAATTGCATTTGATCATGCGACAGCGCGCTGTAAAGAGCGACGTGGACGATGGCGGCTTGGCTACGAATGGTACAAATGGTAGTTTCATCCATGGCTCAGCACGTCGTGTGCTAAAGAAAGTGGATGTGTATCCTAAAATGCATCGGGAATTTAAAGTACAGACTGAATTTGGAGCGACAGTCTCAATTATCGCAGGCATTGTCATGATTATACTGTTTTTATCGGAATTGAACGCGTATTTGAGTATCAATACACATGAACATATGATTGTAGACTCTACACTTGGTGAAAAGCTGCAAGTGAATCTCGATGTGAGCTTTTTAGCCATTAATTGTCGTGATGCAGAGATCAATGTTATGGATGTGGCTGGTGAGCTGCAGCTGAAGACTCGTGAGACAGTGAGAAGGACACGATTGGATGCCAATGGTCAATCCATTGGAGACCCTATGTCTACAGATATGGACGTCAAGACAGAGATGGCTGAGGGATATTGTGGCAGTTGCTACGCTGCAACACATCCATCCGGCAAGACCTGTTGCAACACGTGCGAGGAATTGAAAGAGGCTTTTATTTCCAGCGGTCGTTCACTTGAAGATGCTGATGAGAGGGAACAGTGCAAGCGCGAGATTGTGGGAGTGAAGAAACTTGCACAGGATGGAGAAGGGTGTCGATTTACAGGCAAAATGTTTGTAAACCGTGTAGCAGGTAACTTCCACGCTGCACTTGGACGCACGTTCCACCGTGAGGGAAAGATGGTTCACCAGTTTAGACCCGGACAGGAGTACTATTACAATTCAAGCCATATAATTCATAGCTTGTCGTTTGGTGAGCCAATGCCTAGTGTCATGGGCGCTCTTGATGGGGTATCGAAGATCATGGCGCATAGTAAGCGGAGATATGTTGCATTGAAGTTGGATTGTAGGTGACTAATGTTGTGTTATATATGTGTGATGTAATGCAGCTGGGGGCGTGTTTCAATACTATATCAAGATTGTGCCTACGATCTTCAGCGACATTGACAAAAACACTATTCACTCATATCAGGTTTGTGTATTCACTTTTGACTTGCTGGTGTTGATATCATGTGGCTAACCCTGTTTATTTTGTCGTATATATCTAGTTTTCGGTAACCCAACAAAGCAGCTATATGTCCCTGAGCGGACGCATGACGTCACTTCCAGGTATGCATATAGTTGGCATTCGGTGTGAGAAAGTGATGCTGACACGTTGTATACAGGAACTTTCTTTGTGTACGATTTTTCTCCTTTCATGGTGAAGGTCGAAAATGACCGTATGCCATTCACTCACTTTTTGACCAAGATTTGTGCTATCGTCGGTGGCGTTATTTCAGTGCGTTCAGCGATTCCAGACAACCCATGTACATTTCGAAAAAGCATTAGGCTTAACGGTTTTATATTTTTTGACGTGTTGTATGCAGATTGCAGGCTTTGTGGACTCATTCATGTACAACTCACTGCATGTGCGCCGTCGTCCAACCACAGGAAGCGGGGTTAGCAAGCACGGTTAAAGCACGTACTGTTTGCTAAGGGATTGTAGCAGATTACATGTAGCGAAGCAAGACAATATAGACTGTTGATCCGCTATGCGTTTTGGTAAATATCACGTAGTGAAGAGCCGATCGAAAGCTGGATGAATAAAGAAAAGTGGTTGCTGGCACGAAAGCTGGTTCGCTGGACAAGACAAGTTGGAGAGATTACATTGAAAGCTCTTTGTCATCGTACTCAAGTCCGTCCCGAGGTTGATTGGTTTCTGCACCAATTGATCGTTACAATCTAAGCACTTGTGTTTTATGTCTTACTCGAGCCAGTCATGCGGTTCTCGAGCGTATGTCGAGTATAAAAAAGTTTGCTGCCCTGTGTAAAGCAAATCGTGCTGGCCGCTCGGGATCGCATCGGCAGCGGCAATGAGTTCACGTTCTCTCTCAGCGTACAGTGAAAGTTGTGCTTCTGTCCAACCATACGGTCTCTTCGCAAGGACGTTATGAATCGCACGTCTCTCAAGCAGTGTCAGCCGTGCGAATGAATCTCTTGACAGCAGGGCAAGAGATAGCCGGCACAGCGTCTCATTGTCCGCGCGCAACACCATGAGGATAGGAAGAGCCTTGAAGCGTTGAGCAAGCTTAGGTGAAGTCATCTTTGCCAATGCTGATATGTCCAAAATAGCGACCTCAACCGGCATCACGCGACGAATTTGCCAGGCCGCTGCTGCATTGACGAGAAGGTTTGTCTTGTTCCAGAGTATTATATCTTGTGCATCTGATTTGTCGTTGATCACTGGTGCACAAGGCTGTAAATGGACATGGGAGATATTGATCGAAGGCAGTGGTGTAGACGCCATTCTCTTGTTGTGACTGCTGTCCACGCAATGCACCCTGATGATATTTGCTTCCTCATTGTGTTTGCCCTTTAGACAACTGGTGAAGACGCGTGTGAGCCAGCGACGCAGACCCGATCTTGCCATGGCAAAAGAGTCGTAAATTGGTGAGAGGACCTTTGTTCCTCTTGTCTGTTTAGATAGAACTGAAGTAGCAGACTTTAGGTTAAGTTGATGGATGGTGCAATGTTTTCGTAGGTCTGTCTACCCATTTGTCCTTCATGTACGATGATACCTCTCGCCTCGCAATAGAGATCGTAAAGATGGCTACATCACCCTTTTTCTATCTTCGAATGGTATCTCTTCACCAATCCACAACCATCACTCACTTTTCAATCTGCTTGCTGTATGATCATGGACAATGACTTTTCTACGACGCCATAGCTTTAAAGACTTGCAGCCATGCTTGTCTATAAATGATCTGGAGTCAATGCCATAGCAGGTGTTGGACATAGTCTATACCAGATCAAAAGCCGTAGTAGCTCAACTAGCGACTGCTTCAAAAGTCTTTTGTTGTCCAGAGGATATGGATGAGATTCAACTCATCTAGTAACATCATCAAGTATAAGAGCAGAAGTAAAAAAAAGGTTTCAAGTAATCTAGACATCCCACGCAGGAGATACAAAGGAAAACAACTTACACGCTATTGACGTATATACGACGACTTTGTGCAACAATAGCGTCGAATGTACGCGAAATAAAGTAAACAAGACCACTCTGTCACCTTTATCAGACGAGGTTGAGTGATATCTGGATCAAATATATTCGGTGCAAAATACATCACATATATATAATATGTCACATACAATAGCTGGCACTTTCTGCTTGCTTGATCTAATACATGTCTCATTGTTTATGTTTCACTGTAACTGAGTTAGTTTTGTACTAAAACTCATATACAGAATAAGTTTGCCACAAACTTTGGTAATCATAATATTTCATTCAAAAATGCTATTGTGTCGAAATAAAACCCATAAAACCCACAAACCCATTCCTTCTCTTCAAATCGTTATCGATTGGCACAAATGAACTGATCTGACAAATCTCAGACTTGGTCTTTAACTAATCGATTTCATTTTAAAAATATTCTCTCTATCCGTTCATTTTCGTCACATTTGTCTAAAACCTTTATCTAAAATTTGACTTGTAATTTCTCCCACACATTTTCAATTACATGGCGTCTTCATTGTCCCAGCACCACGTGCTCGACACATTTGACGTGTATGACACACAGTTTAATGTCCTTCCAAAGAATTGGAGCGATATGGATCAAGAGATTTTTGAAAGTTTTCTACTCTCGTCTTCCTCATCAACGTTATTTCTTTCTGATTCGCTCGTATCCGTCAAATCTGATCCGTTAGTAGCCGTTCAAATCTGATTCCCTCGTATTTGTCAAATCGGATTTACGACCGGTTAAGAAAACGACAAGCAAGAATCGACGTAAACGTATGTCTAGGGAAGAAAAACGTTTGAAACATCGAGAGGTGCAACGTCGTTTTATGAAACGGAAGAAGGAAATGTTATCGGACGTAAAGAAGTCGATTGGAGCGCTCGAGAAACAAGTGGCTGTTCTTAAGCTTTCAAGTGAACAAAAGATACTCGAGACAGAAAATAGGACATTACAACAAGAAGCAGATACTCAAAAAGATGTTTTGGTAGAGCTTTTACGCTCGACGTGCTTGAGAAAATCTTCAAAACGAAGTGGAGGTGGTAAAGCAGCAACTTCGACCTTTTACGGTGCAGCAGTGGCAAGACATTGTGTGCCAAACACTTCATAGTGTCGATAGCATTTTGACTCAAGAAGCCATAGAAGCTTCAGGGCTAAATATCATGGGGTGGTCGGACAAACGTCATGTGGAGAACTTGAGTATCGAGTTTACACTGCACAAGGTCTTTCCAAATGCGTGTGCTGAGAATCTGTGGAATATTACATGGCAGAGAATGAGTACAGACAGCTATGCGAGCACTTTAGTCCTTTGCTGCCAGATGCTGAAAGAATGGAAAAGGTGGTTCATACGACTTCTGACTGCTTTTCTTTGTTGTTTTGTAGAAACACTTGTTGCAGAAAGTATGCAACGACGCGATCATTATCTACCGAGTCATCTGTTACCCGGACACTGGCCGAGTTTCAAGAGCTATTGAAGTCATTAGTCGAGCGAGGAGAAAACATGACTTTGTGTACTTTGTACGAACCCTGGACGTCCCTGACGTGAAGCAGCGGGTGTGTGCACCGAACGTCTGGACGCAGTCTCTGACGGTGCTTCGTTTCATACCGAGCGAATTAGATTATCCTGGTACTGGCTGTATCGTACAGTACGGAGGAAACTACGCGAATATTCCCAAAGCCTGTGTCAAGTACTGGCTTATGGAAGTTTTGTTTCTGGTGCTGCGTTTTGAGTCGTCATTGATCTCGCCCATGTTTTTGCTCTGCAATTGATTTTCCTCGTGTTCATATTCGTGTCTTTGCTTGCTTTATTCTGATTAATGGTATTGTTAACTTATTCGATGATGTTTTGACTTGTTTGAAGGCATTATCTGTATGATTATCTACTACTGCCAGATGTTTTTTTGAACTGAGGGAGTCTTGAATAAAAAACGCTTAATTGGACACTGTTGTTAAATCTAATTATTAAGTTTTACACAAGCGCAAGTTTAGAAAGCCATTTTATAATTACCATTCTAAATTACATAAAAGCGTCTGTCCACACTATAATAGTAGTACTAGTCATCATACTCGTATTATCATAGTGTATCCACATATTCGATGGCGGACGACTCTCCATCCCTTAGCAAGAAGCAGCGTCGCAAGCAGGAGAAAGCTCGATGGTTGACTGAGCGTAAAGCCGTGGAAAGAGCAAGTGGCAATGTTTTGATCAAAAGAAAACGTCGAAACCAGCGCCAAAGTCATACAAATGCAAGTGTTGTACGATCCCCCACTGTCCACTATCAGACATGCACGTCCACTACTTGTGACAATCAAATGGCAGGCAATAATTGCATTATTCGTAGCATTGAACCTTATGTACACCGCTTTGCATTGTTTTCGAAAGGTCGTTGGATTGGTTCTTCATTGCGTGAAGTTTTTGCCAGTGAATTTCCAACTCTCTCGACTGATTATTGCGCTCAAGCGGTTCAAGTAGGACTTGTTCGAGTGAATGGAAGGAAAGTGAGTCTTGACTCTGTGATCCAGAATGGAGATTTTCTGGAACATTTCAAACATCGACATGAACCGTGTCTTCATTTACCAGTAAAGGATCCCAAGATAACGGTATTATCTACGACATGGATACATTTTGAGACAGACGAGGTGATAGTCATTAACAAACCTTCTGGCATTCCTGTGCATCCAACTGGAAATTACCAGTTTAATTCGCTGACACATATACTGCAGCATGACCGGCGTAAACGCGTTGATGGGAAGGTGGTGGAGACGCTAGAATTGTTTCCAGTGCATCGGCTGGATCGACTTACATCTGGGTTGCTCCTTCTTGCCAAGACAGCAGAGAAGGCGCGTAGTCTTACTGCTGAATTGACGGCTAATTCATCATTGGCAAATACTGCTACTCGCTCAATGCAGAAATACTATGTGGCAAGAGTCAAGGGGGCATTTCCGGCTGACAAAATTGGTTTTGCACATGTAATAGGGCTGAGCTCAGGTCTTGTGAACATTGAATCTGCAAGTGACAAATTCTGGCGTGTGACGGCTCCGATCGGATTAAAATGTTCACGTGATGGACATGTGCGATGTGTTATCGATGCTGCTGATTCTAAGATTTGTGTGACTCGATTGCGTCGCCGCGGAGAAGTTGTAAAAGGTGAAAGTATTGTCGAGTGTCTACTTGAAACTGGACGGACGCATCAGATTCGAGTTCATTTACAGCATTTAGGCTTTCCAATCGTGAATGATCCACTCTATGGCTTTATGGCAAAGGAGTTGAGCATGACTGAGTCATCAGCTTTACTGGAAGTATCAACGGATGTCCGTAAATGTGGTTTGATTGCAACTTTCAAGTCTACTGAAGACATTACGGACAAGGAACAATGCTGTATCAATACGTGTGATATTTGCAATATTGAAAAAGAAGAAGAAACACAAGCCATTGAGAAGAAAGAGACGAGATTGTATTTGCATTCATATCGATATGTATCATCTCACGGGTCCTTTGAGGTGCCGCTGCCACTTTGGGCATTAGTCCACGAAACAAAGCACAAGTTAAACAAAGAAGAAAATCAACTTGTTTAATCTTTTTAAACAAAGTGAATTGCTGCTCTCTTTTTTTTCCTCAAATTGTGTCATTTTCTACTTGAGCTAAAAAACCTCATCATGCCCATTTTCCATCGTTCCTTCTGGTCAAATAAATATCAACAGTGTGGTATATATTTAATTTACGGTAATATATCAGCAATCCATCTCATAGCGTCATTAATCTCATTTCATCCATGCAGTCTCTCTCGAAGCTCCCTGTGTGTCTCCTATCACCTTTATATGCTCGTAATATCTCAAAACGTGTACAGTCATTACCTACTAATGTATTTGCAGAATTTTCAGCACTAGCTGTTCAGTATGGGGCAATTAATCTAGGACAAGGTTTTCCATCCTTTACGACACCTGATTTTGTAAAACAAGCAGCTATTCGTGCAATTCTTGCTAATAATAATCAATATACAAGACCGGGGGGATATATTAAATATGTTGAAACACTTGGTGAAATGTATTCTCATCGATTAAAGCGAGAACTAGATCCATTGAAAGAAATTGTCACGTTTAATGGAGCACAAGAAGGAATTGTATCGATTATGACGGCAATATTAGAACCAGGAGATCAAGTGATTACGTTTGAGCCGTATTTTGATGCTTATATGACTGTATCACAGCTTCAGCATGTTACTTCAGATGGTATTCCATTCTATCATCCTTCACTTGACTCACCTACTACTTCTACTACTTCTGCTACTTCTGCTACAAGTATGATGGAACGTGACAATATTAATGTCATGAAGCGCTGTTCATCGAGTGAGTTTCAGTTGAATCTCCATCAATTGGAAACAATGTTAACGTCCAAGACAAAGTTATTGATACTTAATACACCACATAATCCAACGGGTAAAGTCTTGTCCAAGGCAGAATTATTACAACTTGGACACGTACTGGAACGGTATCCAAATGTTCTTGTGCTAGCAGATGAAGTGTATGAATTCATGACATATGATGGACTTGAACATGAACGAATGGCATCACTTCCTGGATTCTTTGATCGTACTATTTCACTTTTTAGTGCAGGGAAAACATTTTCCTGCACTGGTTGGCGTGCTGGATATGCAGTAGGACCGGCACATTTGGTTGAGGGGATTATTAAGGCACATAGCACGATTCCATTCTGTGGCACAACACCGTTTGAGGTGGCATTGGCTTCCGTTTTTCGTGAAGCAGAGCATAATGGATACTATGATGAACTAAGAGAGATGCTCGAAGTAAGTTATAATTATTACGTGTTGTTGCTCATTCTTGTTGTTGCTTGTTGATGCTGTGATAGTATACACTAACATTACATGGTGCAGACCAAGCGCAATCGCCTATGTGACGCGCTCGAAGCTTACAATTGGTGCCCCATTGTGCCGGATGGTGGCTACTTTGTGTGCTGTAACGTAGAGGGTCTGCCGTCCTACGATGAGTTCCGCGGCATAGAAGTTACGCTGGACACCCCAAGAACAGTGCGCGTCTAGTTGCTGAACTTGTGGTGGTTGTTGTCTGAGACTAATAGGGATGTATTGTTACATTTGCAGAAGTTCCCCGATTACCAGTTCGCGTACAAGCTGGTCAAGGCTGGTCACCTTGCAGTGATCCCAACGTCACCTTTCTTCAGTCGTCCGGAGAATCGTCTTGCTCCGGGTGTTGTACGTCTTGCCTTCTGCAAAGATGACAAGACGCTGGATGATTCTATTCGTGTCATTGAGTCCCTAGAAAAATAGACTCTTGTGCAGATTCTATCAAGCAGCTTGCCATCCTTTTCGATAGTGATGCTGCTAAATACCGCACATATGTTTTTGGTTCACGTGTTTCCAGATTCCTTTTGCTGTTGACTCCGAAATCCACGGCAACATTCGTTTCCAGTGCATCTCGTTAAATTTGAGCACAGGCACCTGCCCCGCTGCAAAGTTTTTGAAGCGAAAACTGAGAGAAAGTGCGCTGTCAAGCGATAACGGGTGAATCGTGCGGAAAAACTCGAGACGTGAACCAAAGTCTGCGTCTATTCCGAGTCTCCCACCACTAGAGTCACGATGGCACAAGCTTGGAGATGGTAGTTCATACCCTTCTTCAAGTTCCTGACGGGCAAGTTGATGCAGCTGCGAGCATAAGAAATCGAAGCACGGCTGAACAGCGACCGTCACATTTGGGAGCTGTCGCAATCGCAAAACCTCAGCTAAGTCACCTCCATCGCAAACGACTGCTATAACAATCTTCTTGTGCATTGCCAGTAGCGTCCGAATCCGCCGGCTTTTGACCACGTTTTGGGCTGGGGCAGCGAGAGCCATGTCGTGTAACTGCGTACCGGTTAGAAACAGTACTGCCATGCGCACACTCAACAAAACATCCGTCTCCAACGTACTATCGATGACCACATTGCTGTTGGTGTGCTTGCCTGATAGAAATGTAGCATATCCACTTGAGCTTGCGAAACTTGAGCTTACGAAGATGACCCAGCTAGGTTGGCTCTCCTGAATTGATCCAGGTCTTATCGGCTTCAAACTTGTTAAGTCAACCGTAGTCGCAGTACGCTGAGAACTTTGGGTGGAAGAGTTTTGACTTTGTCTAGATGCATAATGGTGATCAGCTGACTCGTCCTTGTCCGGTTTCTTCGAAGTCGTAGCTGCAATGGAAGCGCGACTATGTTCAGCAACTTTGTGAAAGAGAGCTTCCTTCAGACCGTTGTTCGACAGTGCCGCAGCGTCATGTGGTCGTAGAAATTGCGCGGCTTGCTGAAGTTTTGCTTGCCTGCGTTCTTCCAGCTTGATGAGAGCCTTCATACGGTTTGCTTCAATCTTTCTGTGCAGCTCGGCATCGTTCATATGTCCTTCAAGTGTGTCACAACCACTTGAACCATTTGCAGCACCAGCAAGTGGTCTCTCAGTGACCCGTGAATTGTAGAATGGTGAGGCCATTTCGATATCCGCTGTACTCATACTTTTGACTTCTCGTTGCTCGACTGGGCCGCAAGTACTTGCTTGCACAATTTCCAATGGTTTAGCAGCACCAAGCAAGTCAAAACTGGGCGAAGGTTCGGCTTCAATGAAACTGTCATTGTCATCAGACTCAGTTACGGCGGCAGTTGCACTAATCGGTTGTGTTTCCAGAATGTCTCCTGCCGTCTGGGGCACCAGTGGAGAGCGTAGTCTCGGACGCGAGAAATCTACTTCATTCTCTTCATTATGCAATTTAGTCAGACAAGCACGAATAATACCATTACACGGAAGAGCTCCTAGCTCCCGCCCGCCTCGGCGGAGTAGAAGTGGAGAATTCTGTGACTCAAACAGCGATCGCGCATAGATAGCGCGCATGTTAGGACTCGACTTCTTCCGCTTCTTCGACTTGCTGTACTCAGCTTCGTCAGGAGATACGACTGACTGAGAATACAGCAATTGCGACGAATCGTTGATAAAAGAGTCATCTGCCGCTTCTTTATAATCGTCTCCGTAGTCGTCTTCATCCTCATCATCAGATCTCACACCGCCTTGAACATCTGCTGTGTCTTCAATATACGCAGCTGCCAAGACCCGAGACGTCTCTCGTCGCCGTTTGGACCGCCTGATACGCTTTTGCCACGGTGAAGTTGAGGACGGAGATTCACTTGATCCCGGTTCTAAGAATGCTTGAGATTGCGTAGCATCGTACTTCCGTTTTAATCGCCGGAAAGTCTTGTACTTTTTCTTTGCCTCTGCAGAAGAAGGTGACGTTAACAAGTGGCTCGGAGACAAAGTTTCCGTCACTGTAGGAGTTGGAGGTTCGGGGAATCGAACCTTGGTTGACAAAGGTGTTTTCTGCTGCTCAGGCGAAATAATTGGCACTTTCGAGTTGCAATGTAGCGGACAATACACCATAAACAATGCTCCACATTCAGTGTCTCCTTCGTTAGGAAAATCCAGTTGATCCATGCGATAGTGAGCGAAGGCAGCACAACTGACATGAAAAGCTGCTAGGCATCTCTTGTGTGCACACTGAATTATTCCAGTTCCTTTCTGTGAATGACATAAGGAGCAGTCGAGGGTTTTGCGGTCAGGGTCTAGCCTGCTTAACTCACCAAGAACAAGCACATTGTCGTCACTCTTCTCCACTCGAAGTTCCGGGATCCACAAGTAACACTGAACATGCACCCATTTGCCACACTTCGTTTGCTTATACGCACCACCACGGAGTGGACAAAGCTGGCAGACACGTTGGTTTGGTTTTGCTGCGCATTCGCTACTTTTTGCATCCGCGCAGATATCACAGAACCATTTATCGAGAGGAACAATCCAAATCCCGTAGCAAAATTGATGGACTGCCACATTGCATCCATCGCAAAACACAATTGGATCATCGTCGTACGACTCGCTTTCAAGGCAAATTGAACAGCTATCTTCTCCCGTCTGTTCCTGTTCAGCTCCGTTTAGTTGAATCTGAACCGTCATCTGTGTGACGACATTTGTCCCACCTGCACATGGTTTCAAACGTGATTGAGTCTCCGTTGTCTCATCACGCTTCACTGCAGTGCCGAATTCTCTCGTCTCTTCTACGCTTATACCTGTGTCAGTTTTGAAAATTAACTCGTCCTTGGCTACAAGGTCCACCTCGTTCATTTCATCGATATCATCACCATCAGTGCCATCGTCAACAAGTTGATACTCTCGCTCATGAGGAGTCGCGTCTATCAACTCTGCTGATAAGCCATGTTTGCTGATCGTACCTCCGTTTTCAGCTTCAGTGGGCGGCAGCAAAGCAAAAGAGCACGCTGAAGAATCTTTCTCGACCTGATCTGTATTGCTTGTCACATCTTTAATGCTGTCTTTAGTGTTCACCTCACCTGTACATGGTTTTGCAGAAAACATTGCAAACGTAAACCCAGAATGACCCTCGTCTTCAACTTGTGACATCTCATGCTTCGGTCGCACATCTGCGTCTTCGGCTGGAACAGTGACCTCTTGCAGCGAGGGTTCAGCGCTTTGCATCTGATTCAACGAGTCACGACCAACTTCGTCCTCATCGAAATGCAATTGCCGAATGCTACGTAACCGAGAGGCAACGAAAACACTTGTATACGTACTAGTGTTGTTCGGGTACAGAGGCGCCTGGAGGCAAACATTCTCGCACAAGTTCGAGGAAGGACCCCCTCAGGAAAATCAGTGGCAATAGACATTGGCTGAGACCTCTCCTCGCTATCAACATTATCCAAACCAATACACTGCTCTTCAGATACGTTTGGTAAACGACACAGATTTTCTGCAATCTCGCTTAGGTGTGTCTGTGCGCCCGACGAACGTTCCAAGTCTAGAGCGCTAGAAAGCATTTCATCGACACTAGCCGTGGGTGGTGAAGATTGCTTATCTCGACGGCTGGTAATGCTGCCCTGTAACTGCTCACCATCCTCCACTTCAGACGCAGCATGAGTTGCTACATCGACAAACTGCGGGCTAAAGTGCAAGTCATAGGTGGTCTCTGACTCATTCATTGAAGCAAATGATACCTCAGCTATACCCTCACCATTCAACTTTTTAGGAATACTGACGCAACGCCAAGAAGAGCCAACTTCCCTGCCACCTTCTGCATTGTCCGTAACCATACTAATTTTACGTTGAGTTTTGTCCAGAGACGGCAAACTACCACAAGTAACTTCTGCTGTAGTGTCTGACAACACACAGTTGCTTGATGCAGCGCCAATCTCGTTGCCATCACTTTTATCATCGTCATCGTCTGAATCTGTCTGCAATATGTCCTTATTACTGTGGATCTTTCGCACCAGCAACTGCAACATCATCGAGCGAGAGCTATATCCCACTCGAGTACCCATGCCTTTCCGTACTAAACTACGCGGCTGACGTCGAAGTAAATGCGTTCGATTTGCAACAACCGGATGCAACTTGTTTCTCGAACTTGCCGCAAAGTTTGAAGGAAAATACTTCATTAGCGCTACTGCTTGTTCTGCCTCGCTGAGCTGCCACAAATTCGGGTCAACTGTCCCAGATGCAGTTTTACCACCCACCTGGGACGCATGAAAAGTCGGAATCTTCATCTCCAGCTCTCTCAACTGTGGGCAAATACCTGTTGGTAACATACGAGGGCACCGGGAGTACGTGAATTTGCTCTTGAATGTCGTAAGGGCGCGGCTCACAGTCTTCGCAGCTGATGCGCTTCGTGCTAATTTCTTCTCCTCATCGCCCTCTGTTACTAAAATGATGACCCTGCCCACGCGCTTGCGTCCAGTTCTGCCCATTCGCTGAATCATTCGCACAGGTGAGGTGAGTGCATCAAAAGAAACAATAAGGTCAACTTCACCAATGTCCAGGCCTTCCTCCGCAATGCACGTCGCTACAAGAACATTAAACTCACCCAGCCGAAATCTGCGCACAATTTCTTGCTGAACCTTTTGCGACTGACCTTTGTTTTCTTTGGCCTTGCCAGATGCTCCCTGGCCGATAAATGGTTGTGCATTCAAAAGAGGTGCTAGCGGGCGTAGAAGCGCTACAATCTCGGACACGCTTGCTCGATACTGCGTGAACACAATCGCACGGGTGCTGGACTTACCTGCAGCATGACGTTGAAAATGCTCCAGCAGCACTTCACGAAGCTTAACCAGCTTGGGGTGGCTAGCAGTATTGCTAGAGCTGGCAGTCACCGCCACACTCAACTCAAGCGACTGGAAGTCCGATGACTGCAGCATTTCCCTCTTGGACCACGACATTTTCCCTTTTTTGCGCTCCTCGACCCAATTCTTGATCTGGTCACAAAAGCTGCTCAGACCATGGCCTGTCAAAAGGCTTTTGGCGTGCAGTAAACTCACCAATAGTGCGAGGTCGCTTTCTGCACTGCGGTTTGACGCGTAACTTGGACTCTTACGAAATTTCTCCCGCGCTTGTAGTACATACCAGCTCGTGAGTTTCTCTGGATCGCTGTACTGAATAATGTTACCTCGGACAAGTCGCTGAACAATCGGTGTAAAGCACTTCAATAATTGCATTTTTACTTCCATAATCTGGACACCTAAGCGACAAACAATCACTTCTTCTTGACGCACGTGAGTATACCTCTTCACATCCGGGTCATCAGCCGACCGGCTTTCAATGTGAGAGATACGCAAGTTGGTCACCACGTCCTGAATCACATCAAACTTGGCTCCAGGCGTGGCTGAAAGCGCTAATACACGGAAAAATTGCGTCTTTGCTTCTATCTCCTGTACCACACAACAATACGCGTAATTGCCCGTGGCACGATGGGCTTCATCCACAACAATACACACAAACTTCTCTGCAGCACATACACCTCGCTTTAGGTCGTTCTGTAAACTCTGTGGAGTGCAGAAGAAAACACGCTTTGAATTCCAGAGCATGCGGCGTACAGTCGGAGGTACATTTCCCTGCAGCTCTGCCGTATCCGATAATGGAATGCCCATAATTTCATGACAAGCTTTAATCTGCTGAGCTACCAGTGGTTTTGTTGGCGCCATAAATACAATTTTTCCAGTTGGAAACCATTGATAGAAATTGTACATAACCACAGCAGCCACTAGCGTTTTACCTAGTCCTGTTGGCAATGACACGAGTGTATTATGATACAAAGCTTTTTCTGCAATGGTCAATTGATACTCTCGTATCGAGTAATTGGTCGGGTATACAAAATACTGCGCAGCTTCGTAGTCAATATCAGGAAAAGCCAATGAAGTTTCAATATCTAAATACCTCCTTCTAGCTTTACAATCTTCTCCTGCTGCATGACGTGATATTTGCAACAAAGGAGATGACGCAAGGCTGTTTGTTGTAACAGTAGTAGTTGCAACTCCTGTATCCACTTCCGAGTGCCCTAAAGTCCTACATTGTCCCAATTCTCGTGCTCGTATCGTTTGCTGTGATTGTGTCACTGTTTGTTCTTCATTTGTCGCCATTAAAAGCGATAAACTAGAGCGTTTCATCCGATGCGGCTCTTGGTTTTGCTGTAATGTCACTGTCTTTACGTCAGGAATCACTCTTTTAGTAAAAGAAAGTGTCGATTGCATCATTTTCTTGGCTACATCCTTCGTCGCTGGCGATTGAAATTGCTTACGTGGTGTGGTGCACACCACACACACACTCCTTGATGCTTCATTCTGTAGTGTACATGACTGACAATTCCAAGTCGATGAATCATCAGATGATACAATAGATAGATGACAAGATGTCTGATTATCATGACCACGACGTGTCTGTAAATGCTCCGTCTCTAGTGCTGTAATCTCAGACAATAGCGCATCATCCCACTCGTCTTCTTCCATTCTACGGCCAAATAAATGAGTGCGGGCTTTTTATTATTATTGTGTATCGTTTCAACCAATGATAGATTTGTATATAATAGCCAATGACGTATCGAGATACTAATAGCCAATACCGTATTGATACATTAATAGCCAGTAATCTGTCAAGACTATATTAGCCAATAATCAACTTGAAAACAATTTCAATTCTTTTATCTCATGGAGCGCCGTAATGTTTTGTGTCGATATTTCTTCCAGCAATTATTTGTAGAGAAGAGAATGCCGCATCAAATGTGCGAGAGTTTACATCGTCCTTGATGTTATCATCGTATCCAACATTAGCTGAAATACGTCAAAAATTTCCATTTGAAGGTTCGTATCACTTTCGTCTACAAGTTCCAGTGTCTGACACTGGAAATAACAATAATTGTAATTATACGAATTATTATTGGCAAGATTTAATTGATGACAATAAATTGATTCCTATGATGAAGAATGGTGAAATGTATGTAAAAGTCTTACAATTAATTGAAAATGAAACGAAAGGAGATAACGAACGAAGAGAAGGAGACAAAGAGCTGGCGAGACGGACGAGAAATGAAGAACTGATGGGTGATGATGGGATGGAAGATCAAGAGTTTCATGCGTTTTTTCAGTGGCAGAATCAGATACAGAAGGAAGGAGCGACGGGTTCTCCAATGCCTCAACCAGAATTTCATACGAAGGACAGGAATAGCGTCTTATTTGGTGTGAAAAAAGCATTGCTAGCTTCGAAAATCAAGAGCTCAGCGATGGCTCATACGCTACAGAAACACTCGGCGCAGATGTGGGAGAAGGTTACAGCTGCAGCCTCTGGAAGCGGAGGTGGAACTGTCAGTAATGCAGCACCTTCGGCTTCAGCTTTAGCGCAATTAGCTAAATTGATTGGTGCTATGAAGACCCCGTTGCATTCTAGTAACCCTGAACATGTTAAGATGCTGCAGCGTTTGTGGACATCCTGCTTTGAGTCACAGCCATTTACGGTGACAAACTTGGAATGGAATCGATTGGGATTCCGACATGGTGACCCTGTGCGTGAGATACAATTCTTATTGCCGTTGCAGTGTCTGGTGTTTTTTCATGAGGTGCATCGCACGGTCGCATTATCCATTGTGAACAACCAACACGGACCAGAAGCCTACTCATACGCGCTAGTGGGGTCCCAGATTGCGTACTTGGTCGCTAATTTGCTGCAACTGCGAGATGGTGGATGTTTGGGTTTAGAACGACCGTTTTGGAAACTTTTTGAAGACCCGATAGCTTTTTACGAGCTATTTTGCATTGCTGTCCGTGCCTTTGACGCGTCCTGGAAGCTAAATTCCACCAACACGACTGACGTTAATTTCCACCTCAATTACGTGGGTGACTTTGCTCAAGAATTGCTTTGTCGCGGCCCAGATAATGTACCAAACCTCATTGAGTACGCCCACCAGTTGCAGAATTGGTAGGCACACAATCAAACGGACATTTGATAAAATATGCAATATATACATTGATTCCATTACGGCTGTAGAGGAATGGCAAGCATAGCCTTGATAAGATATTCCACACTTGGTGTTGCAGTCTTGGCTGACACGACAAATTGTGGAAACGCATTCTGGAGCTTCTTCATTAGCACTTTTCGTTTCTCTGAGCTCTCCAGCTGATAAAACACAGCGCTTTCCTTGATTTTATCCGTCTAAGATACAACCAAAAGAACACGTTACTGAAGTCTGACCAAACACTACATCGAGCATGTGCGTATAGTAGTACCAGAGTTGAGTCCTGCAGACCTCGAATAAGTGTTTCTTGGACATCACGATAAACAAAAACGATGCCAGAAGTGCTGATTCCGACAATGGTAGGGTCAATCTGGGCAGAGAAGTCACGTATACCGGCTTAACAAAGAATGTGAATGCACGTCTTCCACAGGAATTGTTTGTAAAGATGATCTAGCTGTGTGAGCGCCCAGCTAGGGGCTCGAAGACCGCAGCCGTAAACAAAATCCCGGGTAGAACTATCGCATTGAGGATAAGAACGCGGTGTCGAGGTCGTCGATACTCGCAATGCAGTGAGGAGGCGGCGCTGTGCATTTTTGATGCGGAGAGCCCAATTAATGTTGCGCAACTTTCCTGTACCCATTGATAGCCGAGATACCTCGTTAGTTGTTGACGGAGCAACTACTGCAATTCCCTGATACGTGAGTTGACGGGTAGCCGTGTTTAAGAATATGATTTGGCTTTTTGTCGGTTGCACCTATAACCCCGAAAGCCGTCCGAACTCCAGAACGATGTCCATAGCCGGTCGTAGTAGACTGGTATATCACAACGTACTTGACCTTGCATGTGTCTTACGTTTCTAAAAATAAATTTCTATCTATGGTATGAAATCTATTTATAGGATGAAAGATATAAAACACCGTCGTGATAACTTCTCAATTTATAGCATAATATATTATAAAAGTAAAACGATCTTTGGTTCTGAGTCAAAACGTTACAATACAACCAAAAAAAACACACTTTTCGTCATTTCTACTTTTGCCGTTTACTTCACACACGTCTACCTCTCTATCTTATATAGTCTCGTCATGATGCGATTGGTCACATCTCCGTTCCGTCCAATTCTTATTTGGACGTTATAATTACCCCTTCCTCCAATTTGCTTCCTATTCTATTGGAGGTAAAGGACCATTTGCTCGATCACGAAAGACTCAACAATCAAGTGGCCATGACGCGAGTGAACGTGTGGAATCTAGCACTAAGTCGTTTAGCAGTAGTTGGTCGTGGAAATATGGCGGAAGCTATGATTACAGGTGTACTTAATGAAGGTCTCTTCCTAGTTCCAAGGTTGTTGTATCGGATCCAAATCGTTTGATTTACAAAAAAAGAAAATATAACGTAGAGACTCATACACACACGATAGCTTGACAGTGAACGATGCAGACGTTATATTAGTCGTAGTAAAGCCTCATTGTAGTAAATCACACACCTTGGTTTGCGACTACTCTCTGTGTGAAAATGGGCATCGATGAGATGTCAGCGGCTGGCCTGTCATAGGCACATCAGGAAGGGATGCAAAAACTGCTCCCTATCCTTGGCCCTACGGACTCCATCTTAGACAGTTCGGACAGTGAAGGTGACCTATGGAAGGTCTATCTCATGGCTACAGAGGAGGAGAAGGACCTAGGGTCAAGGATTCCGTAGGAACAACCTATCAGAAATTTTGATCAGCCTCGACCCTCGACCAAGGAGCTTGGATCCCGCACGGTGTCGGCACTCCAAGTTCTATATGTGCCCATTGTGGGTCCAGGAAGCATGGAGACTTGGGTTGTTGGAAGAGGCTGACCTGTGACCGCTGTGGAAAGAAGGGTCATCCATCAGATAGTTGCTTGTTTGTGTGTCGAGGCTGTGGAGGAACACACGAGGCTGGAGAGTGTCCTATGGAAGAGTTTAAAAACTTAAGTTGCCAATAGTATAACCCGACTTACCGCGCTGGGATGTTGCCGGAGAAGGTCGAGCAGATGATAAATTAGGACTCTCGCCAGGTTTGAATCGGGTACGAGACGAGTATTCTAATTGTTATATTTTTGCATATGTGGAAAAACAGCCCAAGGAAGGAAGGTACGCACAAGATAACGCGATTGAAAATATATCGAAGGTTGGAAGTCACCCTTTGGTCCATGTTGCTTCTCTGAATGTATCTAATGATTTTTTTCGGGAAAGTGCAGTGGTGGATTTGGACCTACTGCCGGGCGAATCGAGGAGGTATTGGAAATACCATGCTCTTACGATGTAGTTCAGACAGGTCAAGGCCTCTGGGAAGATTAACAGAGATCGCGCAAACTTGTTGTTCGATACTGGCGTCGAGATATCCATCCTGGATATTGCCTTTGCTCGTAAGGTAGGCTGTCAGATTGCCGAAGGTGAGCGACAAGAATGTGCTGGTATCGGGGAATCCGTGTATACCACGGAAAGACGCACCCGCATCAAGGTCACCCTGAATGGAAACTTTGTATACATCTTTAAGGTGTGGGTAGGCCCGATGGTGGTTCAAGATGTGATTTTAGGCATGGACTTAATGGTCCCAGCCGGTATTCGACTGGATCTGGCGGATGGAACACTATGTCTCCCCGATGCAGTTCGGGTCCAACTATCAGGAAGAAGAACTCTTTACGATAACCGGGTATCAAATGTGAAGCTGAGTCGATACATGCAGCTACCGGCCGGAGGGTCCGAGGAAGTGCCTCTGAAAAGGTTGACCTCGCACCAATGGAAGTTGTGGGTCACGATAGGAGAACGGTGGGTTACGACCATGAACCAAGGGGTAGGAAGTCGGAAGTTCTTGAAGTAAACTAATGTCAGTTCCCACTCCCTATATCGCACGAGGACACAAAGATAAGTATGTGGTTGATGAAGGACCAAGTATCAAGGGCGCAGGGTTTTGTGTCGGTGGGGTCTCGAAGATATGCCAATTGGCTGAATCTGATGTATGAATCTACCCGACTATCAGATGGACCTGACGGGGAAGGATGAAGGGCCATTGGTGAAAGTACCACATTACAGTGTTTTATCCGGCATACTACAGCGACCAAGGTACCCGCTCCATTGATGACTATAGCATTCCAGCCGAAGACCGATCAGGTAGACCAGGTAGACCCTCGGGTCGGCCAGGAAGACCATCAGGTCGACTCAAACGCGAATGAAGAAGGACCAGCGGTGAAGACTCCTCAGTATGGTATCTCATCCGGCAAAGTATAGTTACCAAGGGAATCTGCTCCAGTGATGACCATGTCACCCCGGTCGAGGACCAATAAGGTCGATCCGATAGACCATCAGGTCGACCATACGGAAGAAGGTGAAGGGCCGCTGGTAGAACCGCCACAAGCGGATGACCAAGTGTGCGCGTTCGAAGGTGGGGAGCTCTGGGCCGTAAGCCAAGGGTGGGATATCATATCGGAGGTGGACCTTTCACCCAAGAGTATGAAGCTGGAAGATATACAGATTCCTGACCCTGACGGAAACATCCCAGAAGAGGTAGACCGACTGAGACAGATCATAGGGAGAAGACGACATCTACTCATGGGAAAGGGTACCGCCTTACCACCGGCCGCTCGAGGAGCTATCTATGACATTGGTTTGGGTGATGCCAGGCCGATTGCACAACGTGTACGGAAGTTGGTCCCTCATTTCAAAGAAATGTTGGCAGATCTGATCAAGGGACTATTATTTGCGAAGATCATCCATCTTTCTACTTCGCCATGGGCCAGTTCAATCGTCATTATTGTGAAGGAAAATGGGGTGGATATCAGCCTGTGTATTGATTATCGGTTGGTGAATGACTTGACCCAGCTTATGGTCTACCCTATGCCTCTAATCAAATAAGTATTGGAGGATCTGAACGGAGCATTGTGGTACTGCTCCCTTGACATGGCAAGTGGTCTTTGTGTCGTTGGTATGACCGAAAGGGCGAGAAGGATCTCGGCTTTTGTCACCCCAGTGGGGTTATTCGAATGGCTGCGGATGTCATTTGGACTCAAGAATGCGCCTCAGATATATCAGAGACTGCTAGATAATGCTTTGTATGGGTTTTTACGTATCTCTCAAGGAGCTGGTACAGAGGATACCAAAGATTTGTTTGCGATGGGGAAGCCGGATGCAAAGTCGAGCTCCTCGGTACTGGGTCGGCGGTCCTACATAGATGACATTTTGATACCGACCGACTCGTGGATATGTTGTGCGCAAAGGTTGAGCGGTTGTTGGATGTGTATGACTATTGGAATCTATCGATTAGTGCGGTCAAGAGCTCATGGGGGTGCCGAAAGGTAGACTACCTCGGTTACCGGGTGTCGGACCAAGGACTAGAGGCCCACCCAAAGGACCTCCAGTCTTTGGTCTACCTACCATTGCCAACGACACTCAAAGCCATGCAATCGTAGCTAGGAAGTTTGAACTACTAAGGTAGATTCATTGAAGATTATGCGTTGGACGCATCGTTCCTCTATGAGTTACGGGAGGTAGATTTCCCCGCGTGGCGATGTAAGTTGAGGACGGGTGATAGTGTGGTGGCTAAGGCAGAAGACGAGGAGAAGTGGACAACTTTTGTAGCCTTCGCTATGCTCAAGAATAATATTGCCACTGCACTTATCTTGCGACACTTTGACCCTTCCAAGGAAGCAGTAATTATTGTCTGTGCAAGTGAATGGGCCATATCCGCGTCTTTGGTACCAGATCATGGTGGCATTGAGGTGTAGTGGATTTTCAAATTGCATAATGAGACCTCAAGCCACTCACTGTGCCGGACTGCCGACTGTCGGAGGGGGTGCCCCGCTACCGCGTATAGACCTTCTCTCACCTTGTGTACCCGTTGCCTGGCGGTTTGCACTCTTCGGAAGACTTGGTTGAGGCGTGATGTCGGCCTTGAGAGAGGTCGACCTTGGAGTGCCTCGAGTGGGTATACTTCACTCGGTAGGCGGGTAAGTGGCCACTCGGTCGACTAGGTCGAGGGTGGGCTCATAACCAAATTCTTCAGGGGAGGTACTCAACCCTGGCCTTTTCCTTCCTTTTCCTTGATATATCAGGGGTGTTAACCGCCTGGCATTTAATTGCTCCCGGACCACTAGGGCTGGTACGCCGCTTCCGATAGCGGGTGGATCTGGGGGGTGCTACTCAGAAGAACCCACCGACCAAATATATTATGGGGCTCTTTTCGCACTTTGGTCTTACCACACGACTATCTTCGACGGGGGCCAAAATATATCCCTTCCCGGAACAGGCGGGTAGACTAATTAAGTACCTTGGAAACACGACGAAGGTGTGCTATGTAGATCGCGAATTGAGTAGTATTTAATATAGTTTTATCCTTAACTACTTTACTCTATCCTTACCCCCTAGACCTGATTCTTGATTCTGCTTGCCGGGTGACCGAGGGGCCGAGGGGCTGGGTGGCCAAGGGCTAAGGGGCCGAGGGTCCACCGATCGAGGGACCAGGGTCAACCTCGAAATACCAGGGTCTACCAACGAGAGACTAGTGCCAACCTCGAAAAGACTGGTGTCCACCTCGAGGAACCGCGGTCCATCGGACTAACTGCGGATAACTCCTCTGAATGGAGAACGCTTAAGCCATACATTCTCCTCATCAAACGGTCGTCTCCCGCCCCATTGTTAGCGCCCCGTCTCTCTGTCCCTTACCTAACGGTAGCTCCTCCTTGGCGGGTCCCCTTCTCTTTGACCCACCGGTCCTCTGACCTACCAGTTCTTGACACGCGTCACCAGACGAAGAATTCACAGTCAAAGCGTGCTATTTGGCCACCATTCAAAAGAGTTATCCGCGGTTATCCCGGTACACA